AGTGAGTTTGGTTTGACACCGCTTTCAGCAATATTCCAGCAACATCACTACAGGAGAAACCATTATTGACATGAACATAACTATACAATTTACAATAGTTACCGTATTCGACGTAATAAGCGCCCCGCTCTAATAAGCGCCCACGGCGACATTTGCTAAGATATTGGCTAGTGAACAATCCCAATTAGCACCCCTTCCGATTGATCAATGTACACAAGACTTATTTATTCGCGTATAATACGCACTTGTGTGCTATATGCACCCTTAATTATTGGCATTTAATTTCGAAAAATATATCTGACGTACATAAACATTTCAGGCTGACAGCATAAACAACGAAATTTATCTTTCAACTCTGTTTTTTTTCACCAAAATAATATTCTAATAAGAGCCCCCTATTTCTTATTTTGAGAGCGCTCTGGGCGCTTATTACGTCGAATACGGTATTTGTGATGACAGTGATATGAGATATACAAAAGATGAAAATTATGTATATAGCACTGACCTCTTGCTTCTGATTTACTGTTATTAATTATTAATTTATTTATTTAGAATGTTCTGAGCTCAAGACTTGAATCAATATAGAACTATTTCATGTATAACAAACTGTGACTTACTGTCGAGTAAATGAATCAGTTATCTATGTTTATCTATGTTTTTTAAGGTGTTTGTTTTTCAAATATAATTAAGTGTGTGGTTTCTGTTCTATTTGAATAATAATGTGGGCATTATAATAAAAGATGATATTCATCTTCTAACCTCTCATTGAATGTAATTTACAAAGGCTATCAGATCTTTTAGTGTTATGATATCTACAGGTTTTTATCTCAAGTTTATGAGCTCAGACGAAGATGCTCCTGCTTATTTTGATGTTTTTGAAGGTATGTCCAAATATGTCTGTTGGGGTAACCATTGTGACGTAGTGTTTTATGAAGTTGAAATTAAGAAGTTATTTTGAATTTATTTAGTACATGGCTACAGATATTGGATAGAAACTAGGTACATTTTTTTATTGAGACAGGTATATGGTATGATTCAGTGAGATTATAAGTAGAAGATGATGTCATTGATCACCCTGCTTGTCCCGTAGACATATGTCTGGTCTGCTGGTCAGTTTGTTATGGCTACTGTGTGAGATGGAACCATGGCTGATGGGTCTGACAGAAGCTTAATGACCAGTGGTCTTGCATCAGTGACAGCTGTTCACACATGTGGCTGGGCTGGCCGTGCAGGGCCAATTGCCCATGAAGGGGTGTCTTGGAAGACTCTGATATTCAATATGGTCCGATCTCCAGACACAGGATAGGAATGTCACATGATAGGAGGAAGATGCTCTTGTTTTGTGAACTTTTCACTTACAGTTAGGTCTTAGTCATAAAAATGCACTGTTAATTTGTAAAAGCCATTGTGGTTAGTTTTGATGGATGTTTTAAGGAGATGCCAGTCCTATCAGCCTGTCGGTGTATTTCCCATTCACTGGCATCAGGGATTTATTGAGACAGCTCAGAGGCTGATGTTTGGGGCTCCAAGTCTGCAACAAATGTCCCAAATTGAAATTAAAGTTCCTAATTCATGTTGCCATAGTTATTGCTAATTAAATTATATTCTCTGTAGAAGTGACTAGAATTGCCGGATATCAGGTCCAATATGGACAAAGAACCTTTAATGCTTAAATTTACATTATAGCTTTGAATGATAAAATGCAATGTTAAAATTCCTCCAAATTTACAAAATAAGAAATTTTTAACAAAATAATGATTCGTTCCCAAATTGACAAATTAGTTTCGAATGGCAGATGAAACCCTGGGGAAAGAGACTGAGATGAAGACTGAGATGAAGACTGAGATTGGAAACTCAAACAGAAGCCCATTCCATGATGTTTGTGCTTGTTAGAAATATCCTTTTAGCATTGATTTGACTCTCTGTTGTGTCATGTGGGGGAAATAGCGCCAGCAATAAAAGATACAGAAGTAAACATGATTTCACTGACACATTTGTCACAATGTCACTGATTTTCAGCCACAATAAAGTAATCATTCAAATTTCATTCCAAATTTTCCAATTGTGATACAGGTGTCTTTTTCTATTTTGTAACATATATTCTGAAACCTGCTGCTGAAGGCATCTATTCATAAACTGGTGATGGATGTCATTCATCTGAAACATGAACAGCCTGTGTCTACTAGCCCGAAAATTGTCTCTTGGCATCGTTAGAGTAGGTTTGGGTACTGGGTATATTTGATGCAAATATTCTGCACTAAACAATAAAATAAGAGAAATTAGGGCGTCTATGGCACCACGATATGCTGTGCAGAGTTGCGTCCCTTGGGCACGCCAAAAACCTATGAGTGTGGGTTTGAATCCCAGTTCGCCATGATTATGTTTCTAGGTTTGTCAGCACCATACCCGTGTTCATGGGTTTCATCAAAGTGGTAAACGTCTGAGACCTGCATCACTTTGGGCTTTCCTCCCACATTGAGCTGACATGCGTGATATAACTGGAATAATGTTAAGAGCGGCATTGCACCAAATTCACTCACTCACCCAAAAATTGAGGATCAGGAATATTTTTAGGGATATGTGCTCAGTCTGCTCAACAACAAAATACCCCCCAAAATATCACCCAAAATATACATCATCCCTAACTATTTTGGTTCATAAAATTTGGACGTTCTTTTATTCGGGTTCCAACTGATTAAAGCGTGATTGTTAGGTCGGACTGTGATATGTTTTGTCACGTATAGAAAGAAGGCAATGCATGGTCTGATTTTCTTCATCTGTAGGTACTTGGGAAAATAAAAAGATGTGAGGTGGGTTTCATTGTAAGTCAGGCGGAGATGGAAATCTATGAATTTATTTTCACCTTATCAGTCTATGTAGAGGATTTTGCACGTATTTACACATGTCTTTGATATGGGAAACATCAATCATGTCAAAGTTAATCTGTATTTGGCCAGGGGTCTAACGCAGCATGCTGCCTACGTACAGTTATCTGCCCATAAAGTTGATACACGATGACGTAACTGAAATACTATTGAAAAAGGAACTTTGAAAATTAGTTGGTAGTTGATAAGTTCGCCTTTAGCAGAATTATAGAGATTTAGATTTGTTGGGGTTTTTCACTCGTTTTGGGGGATTGCGGAATATGTAATAAAGTTTTTGAAAAAAGTTGTGCCAAAACATTCATAACAGTAGATGAAGGTACTAGTAATTATACTGGTATTTGGGAAGTGTCTGATTGGCATGTAGAAGTTTAACACAAGACACATAACCTTTTATAACAACCTTATTTTTCCTCATAAGGGGGCTCTGGGTGGCCCAGTTGTCTAAGGTCCCGTTCGCTCTGATTATGTTTCTAGGTTTGTCAGCACCATACCCATGTTCGTGGGTTTCACTTTGGGCTTTCCTCCCAATTTAAGCTGACATGCCGTGATGAAACGGACATACTGTTGAAAGCTCCGTTAAACCCTACTCACTCACTCACTTATTCCTCAAGACCTGTGTAAGTGACTTGATATGTGACTCGGTCAGTCAGTCAGGGGCAAGAAGTAGCCTAAAACAACATACAGAATGAATGGCGATATTGTCATGCATTCATTCATTCATGGTGTAAGGGAGATAACTCTTCACTGGATTATAATTCTCTGTGCCCCAACAAACAGTGTTGAATGTCAAGTAAGTGGATAATATCCACATCATGTGGGATTTGTTTTAGAAATATTTTGTTTTGGATTTTTCTATAAGACTATATTGACTTCTGAGACTGAGTATGTAAGGATATGTTTACGTCGTCGGATAATGAATGACAATTTCCTTAAGTTATGATTTCGTTGTTTGCATGTCATCTTTCCTGGCCAGAGTGGAACTGCTCGTTATAAAAATTCCTGGTTTGTCATGAATGGATATTGTACAGGCAGGTGTAGATTTAACAACAAGTTTTATGTTGCCAGTGGGGCTGCTCCTTTTAAAAGTTACTGGCCCTTTCCAAACTAACTGTCCTACAACTAAATGGTGGAAGCCGCAAAGTGGCCGAACCTGAGGTTGCAAAGCCACCAAGCAGGGCTCCGAAAATTTTAACTCCTCAACCCTTTAACGTGTTTCCTGCACCCTGAGATTAAATCTTGGCTTCCATTTGCCTCATTTCATGGTGATTTATGATTAAATAAAGAAGTTTTTGTACACAGCATTACAAAATGGCGGCCTGTTATCATTCTACCGAGATGATCCAATGAAAAATTAAGCATACATGGAGAAAGGGTGAAATTTTGCCTAGCCAGGCTGGCCATTTACTCTACATTTCAGAAAGCTCTTTGTAATTTTAACTGACCACAGGCCAATGGGCCAGCATTTAAATCGACCCATGACAGGAAGCCATGACATAGCTGCAATATGTCCAACTGTGGCGTAAAACAACAAACATGGTGTATCAATACAACTTCATTGTCACAGTCCCCAATGATAGTTTAAAAACTATATATGTTAGGCCACATGAAATACGTTTCTTTTTCATTAACTGGCCTAAACCAGCTAGTTTATATTTTTTTGCATATTGAGTTTTGTTCCACTTCCACATTTTTAGAGTAACGTTCCAAGCAAAAGTTGCCTTTTTGATGTAACCCATCATGGCAGACAGTATTGGTATTCTGGATGTATTCTCCGATGAAGCTACATACTCACATCATTGTTTTCATATCCCAACTGTGAATTTAGGTTTGAATGTTTGGGAAATCGAAATACAAATTTACTTTAAAATTCAACAGTCTTTCTGATTTAAAAAAAAAGAAAATAATGAAAAACAGTAGGTTTTTGTTGATATTTCTTTCAGAAGACAGTGTATATGACCGGACTGTGTACTTGAACTTGTTGTTTCCTTGCTGCTTTTTCTTACCGTGAAACTGATGTTTGATTTTCCAGATGGCTAGATCAACAGAGAGTTGTTATGTCTGCATCACCAGAATCATGTCGTGTCCCTGACTTTACCGGTTTATGTTGTGTTACAGTGCGATGCGGATCTTGCTGTCCAAGTTGCCGCGGCCATGGATTGTTGATGAAAAGAAAGACGACGGCTACACCGCTCTCCACCTGGCAGCGCTCAACAACCATGTGGAAGTCGCTGAACTCCTTGTTCACCAGGTAATAGTGGGACCATTATGTCACAGTGTAACTGTTCATTCTGCTGTCCAAGGGTCCTTCAGGTGTGCCCGTGACCAAAACGGTGGAGTAATCTCTAAACTCTCAAAAATGATACAACGGAAACCAAATCACTTTTCTTGGATGAAACAGTTTGTCTCAAATGTGTCGTGCTTGTGTGATGATTGTGTCATGACTGTTCACTGATTGTGTCATGATTGTACAATGATTGTCATTTTTATGCAATGATTTGTCTTGATTGTATGAATGATTGTGCTATGATTGTTATGATGATTGTGCTGATGATTGAGCTATGATTGTTATGATGATTGTGCTATGATTGTGCTGATGATTGTTCTTTGATTGTGCTGATGATTGTGCTATGATTGTTATGATGATTGTGCTATGATTGTTATGATGATTGTGCTATGATTGTGCTGATGATTGAGCTATGATTGTTATGATGATTGTGCTATGATTGTGCTGATGATTGTGCTATGATTGTGCTGATGATTGAGCTATGATTGTTATGATGATTGTGCTATGATTGTGCTGATGATTGTGCTATGATTGTTATGATGATTGTGCTATGATTGTGCTGATGATTGAGCTATGATTGTTATGATGATTGAGCTATGATTGTTATGATGATTGTGCTATGATTGTGCTGATGATTGAGCTATGATTGTTATGATGATTGTGCTATGATTGTTATGATGATTGTGCTGTGATTGTTATGATTATTTGATGATGATTGTTCTTTGATTGTGCTGATGATTGTGCTATGATTGTTATGATGATTGTGCTATGATTGTTATGATGATTGTGCTATGATTGTGCTGATGATTGAGCTATGATTGTTATGATGATTGTGCTATGATTGTGCTGATGATTGTGCTATGATTGTTATGATGATTGTGCTATGATTGTGCTGATGATTGAGCTATGATTGTTATGATGATTGTGCTATGATTGTGCTGATGATTGAGCTATGATTGTTATGATGATTGTGCTATGATTGTGCTGATGATTGAGCTATGATTGTTATGATGATTGTGCTATGATTGTGCTATGATTGTTATGATGATTGTGCTATGATTGTGCTGATGATTGAGCTATGATTGTTATGATGATTGTGCTATGATTGTGCTGATGATTGAGCTATGATTGTTATGATGATTGTGCTATGATTGTGCTGATGATTGTGCTATGATTGTGCTGATGATTGAGCTATGATTGTTATGATGATTGTGCTATGATTGTGCTGATGATTGAGCTATGATTGTTATGATGATTGTGCTATGATTGTGCTGATGATTGAGCTATGATTGTTATGATGATTGTGCTATGATTGTTATGATGATTGTGCTATGATTGTGCTGATGATTGTGCTGATGATTGAGCTATGATTGTTATGATGATTGTGCTATGATTGTTATGATGATTGTGCTATGATTGTTATGATGATTGTGCTATGATTGTTATGATGATTGTGCTATGATTGTTATGATTATTTGATGATGATTGTTCTTTGATTGTGCTGATGATTGAGCTATGATTGTTATGATGATTGAGCTATGATTGTTATGATGATTGTGCTATGATTGTGCTGATGATTGAGCTATGATTGTTATGATGATTGTGCTATGATTGTTATGATTATTTGGTGATGATTGTTCTTTGATTGTGCTGGTGATTGTGCTATGATTGTTATGATGATTGTGCTATGATTGTTATGATGATTGTGCTATGATTGTGCTGATGATTGTGCTATGATTGTTATGATGATTGTGCTATGATTGTTATGATGATTGTGCTATGATTGTTATGATGATTGTGCTATGATTGTTATGATGATTGTGCTATGATTGTTATGATGATTGTGCTATGATTGTTATGATTATTTGATGATGATTGTTCTTTGATTGTGCTGGTGATTGTGCTATGATTGTGCTGATGATTGTGCTATGATTGTTATGATGATTGTGCTATGATTGTTATGATGATTGTGCTATGATTGTTATGATTATTTGGTGATGATTGTTCTTTGATTGTGCTGGTGATTGTGCTATGTTTGTTATGTTTATTTGATGATGATTGTGCTATGATTGTTATAATGATTGTGTCATGATTTTGTTGATGATTAAGATGATGATTGTGTGTTTTGTTCCAGGGTAAAGCCAACATGGACATCCAGAATGTCAACTTGCAGACCCCGCTCCATCTTGCTGTGGAGCGACAGCACACACAGATTGTCAGGGTAGGTGATGTTGCTGATGTTGCTGATAGTGGAGTTACACGATGACAGGAAGACTTGTTGCTATTCTAGTTCTATGTACCATGATATACAGTCTGACATCATGAGATGCCTCCGTAATCTAGTGGTAGAGCTTCCGCCCAGGGAGCAAAAGTCACAGGTTCGATCCCAAGATATGTCATACCAAAAAACGTTAAAAGATGGTACTTGTTGCTACCCTGTCTGGCGCTCGGAATTAAGGGGCTAAAACAAGGACTGGTCGGCTTGGAGTCAGGATACCGTGTTCGTGATTCATGTTAAACTGCAGCATGGTATCTCAGTGAACTAGCACTATTAATTGGCATCAGTCCAGACTAGTACAAGCAGACACACACACAAACAAACATGCATGCACATCGCTATATAATTGCAATAAGCTTGGATGCGACGTTAAACCCCATTTCACCTCACCTGACATCATGAGCCATAGTAATAGTCCACATACATTTTGTCTTGCCTGAAATTCAACTTACCATTTGTCTTTAATGATCATATTGCCTTTAGACATGTTGTGATTTTATTAGATATGTGATACCTGGTGGAAATGGGTACTCATGGCAGACGCCCTTTTTCCTGTTGCCCTCAACAGAGAAAATACAAAATAGTGAATACAAAAAGTGTGGACAAAGAGCTAGATTAAATCAACCAAATCTTTCTGGCTGGGCATCTGTTAATATTTGTAACTGTTGTGAAAAATGTAACACACGGGGAAATGTGTTGTGAAAGACTGGGAATTAAGGATATTATGGAATAATGTTCCCTAGGAATATTTGGTACTTTTTGGTGGTAAAGATCCATAGCTTCACTTTTGCACTCAAGACTGCCTCTAAGGTCTAGTGGTAGAGTGTCCGCCCAAAGGGCAGAAGGTCCGGGGTTGTTACTTGTTGTTACCAAGTCAGGCACTTGGCATTAAGGGGATGAAACAAGGAACGGTCGGCTCGGAGTCAATATGTTGTGTTTAAGTTGGGTATTCATATTAAACCATGGCATGGTATCTCAGTGGGCTAGCACTATAAATCGGCATCAGTTCGGACTAGTACAAGCGCGTGCATGCGCGAACCCTCACACAGATTTGCTATATAAGTGCAATAATCTTGGACGTGATGTTAAACTCATTTCAAGGGCGTATCAAGCACATTTTTAAAAGGGAGGGGTCCAAAATATCAAAATCCTCGCTCAATTTTACTGCCTACAACGCACAACATTTGGTTTTCAAAAAGGGGGCGTCCGGACCCCCTGCACCCCCACACCCCACCCACCCCTCTGGATCCGCCTATGGCACTCGTCTTTATCACAAGATGACATTGTACAACAAGTGGGGATTAAAACTTGGGCCTGGGCTACCATGCCCGCTGTCGTCCTAGTAATGAAGCACTTGCAGTTTAGATATTTGTTACGGACTGATGTCTTTCCTACAGCTCCTGGTGCGAGAGGGATGTAACCTGAATGTGCCCGACAAGGATGGCGACACGCCACTCCATGAGGCACTCCGTCACCACACTCTCTCGCAGCTCCGTCAACTCCAGGACATGCAGGACGTGGGCAAGGTAAGCAGTGTCTCGGGGATGGTAAGCTGTATCCACTGAGGTAAGCAGTGTCCAAGGCAAAAAAATCAATGTCATGGATACGATAAATATGTTCTGGGGGAGGTAAGCATTGTACCAGGGGAGGTAGGCAGTGTCAGATGAAGGTAAGCAGTGTCAGATGAAGGTAAGCAGTGTCCCAGGGGAAGGTAAACAGAGTCCCAGGGGAAGGTGAGCAGTGTCCCAGGGGAAGGTAAACAGTGTCCCAGGGGATGGTAAGCAATGTCTCAGGGGAAGGTAAGCAATGTCCCAGGGGAAGGTAAACAGTGTCCCAGGGGACGGTAAGCAATGTCCCAGGGGAAGGTAAGCAATGTCCCAGGGGAAGGTAAGCAATGTCCCAGGGGAAGGTAAGCGGTGTCAGGGGAAGGTAAGCAATGCTCCAGGGGAAGGTAAGCAATGTCCCAGGGGAAGGTAAGCAGTGTCCCAGGGGAAGGTAAGCAATGTCCCAGGGGAAGGTAAGCAATGTCCCAGGGGAAGGTAAGCGGTGTCAGGGGAAGGTAAGCAATGTCCCAGGGGAAGGTAAGCAATGTCCCAGGGGAAGGTAAGCAGTGTCCCAGGGGAAGGTAAGCAGTGTCCCAGGGGAAGGTAAGCGGTGTCAGGGGAAGGTAAGCAATGTCCCAGGGGAAGGTAAGCAATGTCCCAGGTGAAGGTAAGCAGTGTCCCAGGGGAAGGTAAGCGATGTCCCAGGGGAAGGTAAGCAGTGTCCACAGCTACATTTATCTTGAGCTTCATGTAATAAAGTGATAATATTGCATGCCTGTGGTGTTTTCTATGCCAGCTACTGATGGGACTCGGGACACCAGGGGCTGACAAGAAGTCCAGCGCCTCCATTGCCTGCTTCCTTGCCGCCAACGGGGCCGACCTGAACATCAAGAACAAGAAGGGCCAGACCCCTCTTGACCTGTGTCCAGATCCCAATCTGTGCAAGGCCCTGGCCAAGTGCCACAAGGAGAGGAATAGGTAACAGTCCTCTCTAGTCTTGTCTTAAATTTAGTTTTCTTTTGGGGTGATCAGCCTGCTGGATCCACCATGACAAAATACTACTTGCCGCACGACAGTCATGTGCCATTTCTTTGATCCTCTGAGACAAGTGAAGCGTGCTTGTATGTTTCCCCTCCATGTTGCAGCCTGACATATCTGCTGACCAGCCCAACGGTCCCCGCATCCAACGCTGCTGTCATCCGCAACGACCAGGAGTCCCTGGAGGAGTGTATGGTGTGTTCGGACATGAAGCGGGACACGCTGTTCGGACCATGCGGACACATTGCTACATGCTCTCTCTGCTCTCCTCGGGTTAAGAAATGCCTTATGTGTAAAGACCACGTCCAGTCTCGCACCAAGGTAGGTTCAAGGCTTTAGATGGGCTACAGAGCTGCAAAACTCTATTCTATTCTTATGTCTGGTGATAGAGAGTGGTGGACTGGGACTTGGCACATCAAATTTGGAAAATAATCAATGGGTCTTTGTTGTAACCTCAGTCCTTGTCAGTTTCCCTACATGTGCTTGTAAACCTTTGTGGCAGTTGGATTTTTCAGAAATTTTACCTTGTTTCATGTTGTCACTTTTGGGGATATGTGACTGCATTTTGTGATGTTGTAACATATAGCTTCCCTTTGAGAAATGGCAATTATGCTTGCAGATAGACCGATGGATTGCTGCTAAAGCTGATTATTGACTAATTTATTTTTGTGCTTTTTAAACTTTACCTTGAAAACTTATTTATAGGCAGTTGCCTATTTTTACTTAATGTCATGCCAGAGACTAATGTTAAAAGTTAAGGACTTCATGGGTCCCTGGATTCCAAAACTAGGTGCAAGACTCTACATTATTGCTTTAAATACTTATGAGGAGAATGTATCACGTCCACTACACAATGCATTAAGTGTGGTGGTAACATTTGCTTTGGGTTTGGATATCAGTGACAATCAGTTCCTGGCTAACCCTTTTGCTTACATTGTTTATTATTATAATTTATAGTTGATGCAGATTTTGAACCTGAATAATAAGGTTGTATGTTGTTTGTTTCAGATTGAGGAGTGTGTGGTATGCTCGGACAAGAAGGCTTCCATTATGTTCAAGCCATGTGGCCATATGTGTGCCTGTGATGGTAGGTGACAGCGTCTCGCATCTCAGCTTAGTGTGATTAGGGCAGGTACTCTGTCGTGATGTGTCACGTGATTAAGGCAGGTACTGTGTCGTGATGTGTCACGTGATTAAGGCAGGTACTCTGCCGTGATGTGTCACGTGATTCAGACTTGATACATTGCTGTGATAGTTTCACTTGGTTCAGACATTGTACATTGCTGTGATAATTTCACTTGGTTCAGACATGGTACATTGCTGTGATAGTTTCGTTTGTTCAGACTTAGTACATTGCTGTGATAGTTTCACTTGGTTTAGACATGGTACATTGCTGTGATAATTTCACTTGGTTCAGACATGGTACATTGCTGTGATAGTTTCGTTGGTTCAGACTTGGTACATTGCTGTGATAATTTCACTTGGTTCAGACATGGTACATTGCTGTGATAATTTCACTTGGTTCAGACATGGTACATTGCTGTGATAGTTTCGTTGGTTCAGACTTGGTACATTGCTGTGATAGTTTCACTTGGTTCAGACATGGTACATTGCTGTGATAGTTTCGTTAGTTCAGACTTGGTACATCCCTGTGATAGTTTCACTTGGTTCAGACATGGTACATTGCAGTGATAGTTTCACTTGGTTCAGACATGTTTCATTGCTGTGATAATTTCACTTAGTTCAGACGTACATCCCTGTGAAAGTTTCACTTAGTTCAGACTTGGTACATTCCAGTGATAATTTCACTTGGTTCAGACCTGGTACATCTCCGTGATAATTTCACTTGGTTCGGACATGATACATTGCTGTGAAAGTTTCACTTGGTTCAGACTTAGTACATCTCCGTGATAATTTCACTTTGTTCAGACATGGTACATCCCTGTGAAAGTTTCACTTGGTTCAGACTTAGTACATCCCAGTGATATATGTGTGCCTGTGATGGTTGGTGACAGCGTCTCACATCTCAGCTTAGTGTGATTAAGGCAGGTACTCTGCCGTGATGTGTCACTTGATTAAAGCAGGTACTCTGCCATGATGTGTCACGTGATTCAGACATGGTACATCCCTGTGATAGTTTCACTTGGTTCAGACATGGTACATTGCTGTGATAGTTTCACTTGGTTCAGACATGGTACATTGCTGTGATAGTTTCGTTAGTTCAGACCTGGTACATTGCTGTGAAAGTTTCACTTGGTTCAGACTTGGTACATCCCTGTGATAATTTCACATGGTTCAGACATGTTACATTGCTGTGATGGTTTGGTTGTATAAGCCAGGCAAGATTGTGTGACTGTAGCAAGTATATATATGTTGTGCAGGTTGTGCTGCTCTCATGAAGAAATGTGTCCAGTGTCGTGCCTCCATCGAGAAGACCATCCCCTTCATCGTGTGCTGCGGAGGAACACGTAAGTTACCACATTGTCTTGTGGCCGGTCAAGTGAGCACAGTTAATATGCGACATCGCCAGAATGTGGACAGTACTTAGAGAATAAGGGGCAGTGGGGTAGCCTAGAGCGGAAAGCATTTGCTCGTCACGCCAAAGAGCCAGGTTCGATTCCTCACATGGGTACAATGTGTGAAGCCTGTTTCTGGTGTTCCCCACCATGATATTGCTGGAATATGGATAAAAGCAGCATAAGTCCATACTCACTCATTCACTAGAATATGACGTACAAGCTACAAGGAAATGCTCCAAACTCACAAAAATTAAATATTTTTATTAGATAATCCATAATTTTTAGTAACAAGATTATTCTTTAACCAGCCTATTTCTGCGAAAATGTAGACAACTGTGGGTTTCCTGAACTGAGGTAGAGACATGAGCTGAGTTAGACCCCTGTTGGAACCTGACAACCACCTATAGTTGTTGTGACCTCGTGTACAATGGAGTCCGTGGGGAGTCCATGCTGGAAGGGGTACCCAGCAAGTCTGTGCCGGTCGTAAGAGGCGATTTAATAAATCTGGTGGTCAGGCTCAGTGACTTGGTAACAGCATGTCAAAGTAGACCAACAGCATGAATCTTTGCCCATGATATCAACCACTGGAATGTCTTGCATCCAACATATAGATGGTATATTGCCGAGTGCTGCATTAGATAAAAAAAGCAAAATATTGTGTTCAAAGGATGACTTCATCTTCAGTTATTTGAGACCAAACATTCAAATGACTACTCTTCATAAACATTGAAGACGTGGAACAAAGTTGCCAATCAGCTTTGAGCTTTGTTTGTTTTGTTTAACGCCGGACTCAGCAATATTCCAGCTATATGATGACGGTCTGGACCAGACAATCAGTGATTGATGTCATGAGCATCGATCCACGCAATTGGGATACGATGACATGCATCAACCAAGTCAGCGAGCCTGACCACGCAATCCCGTTAGTCGCCTCTTACGACAAGCATAGTCACCTCTTACAACAAGCATGGATTGCTGAAGACCTATTCTACCCCGGATCTTCACAGGGCCAGCTTGAAGCAAACATTTGAATGCACTGTGAGAATTTACTGACAATACTTTCACCAGTATCCTCGCCCCCCCTATGTAATACTGTACTCTTCCCTTGTAGCACCCCCCGCCCCCCAGGCTCCCGGGGTGATGAACAACGGCTCCAGGGACGTCTCCCGCGACATCCAGAAGCTGCAACAGCAACTACAGGACATCAAAGATCAGGTGAGAATTATCTTTCCTTGTATCCTAAATCCTCTTGTCCCACAGGGATTCCAGGTTAGACTAGATCCCCACAAACCTATGCTTGCCATACAAGGCAACTAAATGGGTGGTGTGATCAGGCTTGGGGAATTGGTTGGTTCGAATTCCAATTAACCCTGATTGTGTTATGTGCTCAGGGGTTTCACTGTGCAGAATTGCATCCCTTGGGCACGCCTAAGACCTATCATCGTGGGTTTGAATCCCAGTTCGCCCTGGTTATGTTACTAGGTTCACAAGCATCATACACATGCTCGTGGGTTTCACAAAGTTGGTTGGTTGGTTGGTTTGTTGTTTAACGCCGCATGCAACAATATTCCAGCTATATAACGGCGGTCTGATAATAATCGAGTCTGGACCAGACAATCCAGTGATTAATATCATGAGCATCGATACACGCAATTGGGATCGATGACATGCATCAACCAAGTCAGCAAGGCTGACAACCCTATCCCGTTAGTCGCCTTTTACGGCAAGCATAGTCACCTTTTACGGCAAGCATGGGTTGCTGAAGACCTATTCTACCCCGGAATCTTCACGGGTCTCACCAAAGTGGTAAACGTCTGACACCTGCATCACTTCAGGCTTTCCCTCCGCATCAGGCTGACACAACTGGTCAAACCGTCATTAAACCCAACTCACCCACTCACTCATCAAAGTGGTACACATCCAAGGCCTGCATCAGTCTGGATCCCGCCGACAGATGTGATATAGCTGAAATCCCGATAAAGTGAAATATAACATAAAACCCAACTCACTCACTCATCATCTGTTTGGTTGCTTTTCAGACATGTTGTCCTGTGTGTATGGATCGGCTCAAAAACATGATCTTCCTGTGTGGCCACGGCACATGTCAGCTGTGTGGGGACCGCATGAACGAGTGTCCAATCTGCCGCAAGTCTGTAGAGAAGCGCATCCTGCTCTACTGAGCTGGGACTCAGCCTCCGTACCAACATATGTCTAGATAATACATAACCCAATATCTACCGGTATATATGCCTCTGCATAGACATGACACTGCCATGTGTTATAACCGTTATAAACAATTTGTAGCAAAGAGGAAGGGAATATGACACAATTATGTGTTATAACTTTCATAAACTACTTGTAATGAATGAGGGAAGGAATAGGACCTTGGCATGTGTTATAACCGTTATAAAATACCTGTAATGAAGAGGGAGGGAATATGACTCTTGCATGCATTATAACCGTTATAAACTAATTGTAATGAAGAGGGAAAGAATAGGACCCTAGAATGCATTATAACCGTTATAAACTACTCGTAATAAACAGGAAGGAATAGGACCCTGGCATGTGTTATAACCATTATAAACTACTTGTAATGAAGAAGAAGGCAGCTGTGAGATGTATGTGGGAGATATTACACTGGCATATGTTATACCTGTTATAACCCTCCCACATGTTATATCACACCTGGTATATACCTTCATCTACATCAGCGTTGCCACGAGGATGCGGAAACAGATTGCCGAGGGTGTGCACCTGTTTGACCTCACATACGAACCTTTTGCTACAGACAAGCACAATGAAAAGCCACTACACTGGACAGTATCATTCCCAGTGAATCATCCAGGCTAAAAACTGGAATAACATATACTACTCAAAAGAAGTTAAGGCATGACAGATTAACTAATGTAACATGAAAGAATATTGTGGTCCTTAACTTCTTGTGAGTAGCATATTTGTTTTTATAGCTGTCCTTTTTATTGAAAATGAAGATGAAGATGTCGCAACAGTTATTGTCAGGAAAGGTTCTGGATGAAGAGGGTATCGCTGTATCAGTTTTATCTAGATGCCTGTACATCATTTTAAAGATCTTGTGTATCAGCTCTGTTAAGATGAAGCTTAGAGACACAGGTGACAATGTGAAGTCCTGTATTGATTGTCTAACATGTGAGACAAAATTTGGCCGAGGAGGGCTTGTGTGTAAGATATGTTTATATTGTGTGTCAATACAACGGCATTGCAGGATGTAGTTGTCCAGTTGATGTTTTATCGAGAATTTTAATGTTGTATCACACAACCCGCTACAGATCTGAAATAGCTACGAATTTCATGACAATCATAATGCATCAAACGAAGATGTGTCTTAATACTTTGCAGGTTTGTGTAAACTCACCCTCAATTACCCAGCGTATATCTCCATTCTATTATGATAAACATAATGTCTTGAAATCCACTCGAGTGAATGCCCATGACACTACGTTATTATTACCCCAGTCAGTGTATCAGTGTGAACTTAATTTTCATTCTCAGCTCCCTGGGGAGTATAGTATAGTAATAGTCTGGTTTTAGTCCAGTAAATGGGGTGTCTAAATCAAAGAAGTCGAAAGAGTTCTCAGTGCACGGATATTGTGCGACCCCACTATCATTGCTTGATATTAAAATAATGTGTAGAACAAATTACACAAGTCTGTCGCTCATGTTGCAGGAAAAATATGGTCGTTTTTTAGATGTAATCGTAACTTCTTTTTTTGATTGGAGAAAATTGTGTTTGCTAACCTGTGAAGTATTGACGATGATATAGGCACCACTGTCAAATTGACAGTACTTGGCCAAATCTAGATAATCATTTAAGATCAGTATAGCAGGACCACACCTAACTGTTCAAATAAGGTTCTGAGTGGAAATACAGGCAGTTTCGTAACAATCATTGGCCATGTCCGACGTGGCGTCCCGTTTAAAGAAGACTCTCACTTCATGGGTGGGGGATGGGTTAGCCTAATGCTTGAAATGTTACCTCAAAACACCAAGGACCCAGTTGGATTCTCTTCATAGGTACAATGTGTGAAGTCATTCCTGTAGTCCCCTGCAGTAATATTGGGCTTAAAAAAATAAAAGAACTGGTTCTCAGTCAATGTTTTTTGAAAATTTAGTGTGGGCGGGCGGTGTCTTATTTTTTGTTCTTCAAACTGGTATGTAAAAAACAAACAAACAGTTGTGTAACCAAATAAACAGTTGTGTACAATCAACCTTGGAAAGGGCCTCCCTACATAAATGTATTTCCTTGATGAGTAAAATACTGGAATACTGTTGGACTTGGAATTATTAATGAATTTTTGTTTTTTTTAAAAATGGAAATAAAACAAAACGTGCTACGAACTTTATGATGATGCAGGCGGTGCCTGAGAACCAAGATAATTATTTTTTTTAGCCTTGGTGGAATTTTGTTAAAAGTGCTGTAGAACCATACTCCCCACTGACATTTTAGTGATATGTGATTGTTTAACACGCCTCGCTACAGCAGTCTGTTAAGCTTCGAAAGGGGTACAACTTGACCTGAAACATTTTCTTGCACAGATAGTGACACTGTGTACTGCAGATGTGTGCAGGAAGGGGAAGCGATTGTGACGTATATACAGGGGTGAGAATCCTCCGTGGATGTGCAAATTTCCTCAAATATTAGTGACCACAAATTTGTTAAAATCTGATGGCTAATCTGAATCACCCCCAAAATTATGAACCCTGCGCTATTGCAAATAGGTTTCAGCTAAACAGGAAACTATCCATTCTCATCCCTGTGTATAGGACATTGTTACTTGGGGTCTTCCGTGACTGGGTGACTGTGATAAGCTGGTGTTGATCTGGGGGTCTATGGTAGTTGGACATTCATAGTTGGAGTCCCAAGACTTATCCCATAAAGCAAACATAGTGCTACAACTACATAGCTCCTAGACAGACGTCAGTCTTAGCGTTACGATGGCTTTGGGAAACAGGCTCTTAGGCCCTGTTCCACAAGGTGATCAGTAATCTATGCCAGAATATGGGAGTTAAGACTGTCATGCTCTAAGATCGCTTTGTGGAACACCTGGTGTCTTGATTTATGCAGCTAAGGTATGTGTTATGTCATAGAGGTTTAGCATGTGGAAATGGCCAAAGAATCTCAACTGTTTTATACGTGAGTGTTGTCCAAAGTTGAAGCAAATAATCTCCACACAATCATGTCATCCAGTTAAGAATGAATGTCCTTTTGGATGATGTGGACCAAACATTTTGGCTCATGTCATCCATAGTTTGGTAGTGAGATCAATGTCCACAAACTTCCCATAATTTGGGATCATCTCCAGAGTGAGCTGAGATTTTGATTAGGTGTCCATGTTTGTTCTGAGAAGATATTAAATTTGACCCTGTGAGGGCCATCTTGGCGTTTTTTCTACAAATAATCTTCTTCTCCAAACAGTGTTAAAGTTGTTCCAAGCAGAAATTAAATATGGCCTCGGGGGGGCATCTTTGTGATTTTCTCCAAAATACATGGACAGAGGGGATGAACATTTGACAACATGGGTGACACAGGTCAAGATGTTGAAATTAATTTGCACTCAGACTGACTGTGTGAAGGTCTGTGTAAACACTCTGTGCTAAAACATTGAGTCTGCTAGGTCCCACTTGGCATTTGACATCATTTCCTGTAGATTTTAGTGTTATTAAATGGGGTTAATCTCTAAATTTATTCCTGGACTTAGGGCCAGTGTTTGAAATAACAAGAATTGCCAGGCTGCCACCAGGACCCAGACTATGGAAGCTGCAAGCTCTGACTAAACTCTTCAGGCCCTCATTTAAAAAACTGCAGCTTATTGTGACAAATAATTTGACAAATAGATTAACTGCAAATTTGAAACTACAAGCCCAACTTGAAATCTACCTGCCACAGGATTGCGCTTATTTCAAACAATACTTTGCACTTGTGGCCGGAGTGGGAGACTGTCTCAAGTATCACTGAGTTTGGCTGACTTTCATGTTGTCCTATAAGTTAGGTTAGCTTTGGTGTCATGTTTATCAATGAAATCTTGTTTATATATATATATATATTCTTCATCAGGGCCCCATTCCACATGCTATGAACACTTTGTGGATCATGGTCAAGATCGAAGTAGTAATAGAGGGTCGGCCAAATCATTAATTTATGTGGTTCTGAATCTGAAATTTTCATATTTGGAAAACAATATGGCTGTTGTCGGCCATCTTGGGAAAATATTACAACACTGTTCGAGGTCAGATTTTGAATATTCTGGATGAGACTGACAGGGATTTCTTTTGTGCAGATATAGATATGACAAAAAGATGATGTTCAAAGGAAATGTTTACAGTCAGGATGACTATTTGTTTGTGGAGTTTTTCATGTTCTTTTAATGTCCCGTCCCATAAGCTGGATATTGACGAGACAGTCCGTCATTTGATTGGCTGAAATTCCTGGGAAAATTTCTCAAACTGAATCCGACTATGCCATAAATGCCACATCTGCAATATTTAAAGGTCAAATAGGTTAAATTGGGAGGGTGTGTGTGTGTGTGTGTATGTGTGTGTGTGTGTGTGTGTGTAGAAGACAATCATGACTTCCTACATTGATCAAGGTCAAGAGATGCAAGCAAGAGTGTTTTCTGTGACAAGTGTCTGCATTTGAATATCTATGTGTGTATGGATATGACCCTCAAAGCATCAAGCACAGATTTTGCAATAAATGATCAGAAAATATGAAAATGGCGTGCTGAAAAGACAGTCTTCAAGTCATTTGCCAGTTTTGATCTGATCAAACATCTTGTTCTCTACTGAAACAACAACTTGCTATACGGTCTTATTGTCTCATGTTGATGACTGAAGACATCACATTTAATTGATAAGTTACCATGGCAACAGCCGGGGGAGACAATTAATAGCATTATGTACATTAGTCTAGTGTTACTTAGCTATGTCTGTTTATTTTAGCTTTATTTATGATGTAATCTTATTATTGTTAGTTATCTGCTTAATGTGTAAATGCTGACATATTTGTTATTTTGTGAGGTTATTGACACACAGATATGATCCAATAGCAGGAAGAGCACAAAAGGTAGTCTTCCTTCCTTTGCTGTGTCAACTCCTACATATGAAACTTAAAATAGAAAATCACACACAAAGGGTTTTGGTGGAACAAGATACTAATTTAATAATTGTAGACATGATCCTGAGGAAACCTAAATGTGGGACTGGTGGATCATTGCATTCCTCAAATTAACACGACAAGAATGTTTGTTGCTGCATCTTTTCGTCAATTCATGTGGATGCTTTCATCATCTGGGCAAGGCCAGAAAAAAATATTTCTTATTTTATGGATAAGCCTATTGTATATTTTGTAAAAGTGAACAGAAATATGCAAATGCTGATAGGACTGTTCAACTGTTGTTTCAAGGGTGGTTTGGGGGGTGATTGTTTTTGTAAGGAGGGCAGGGCTTTTAGCATACAGATGAAGAAATCTCTTTAACAAGAAAGTATCTACAAAGTATCTGCTCTTATATAAGGGCTTAGTCAGTCTGTCAAACAGGGTATCGGTTTGAGAAAAGTCGGTGAGAAATATTTCATGGTTAGTGGTGCCCAGTTTTTCTAGTATTCTTTGGGTCAACCAATTTTGTACAGTTATTAATGTCAACTTATTTTCAAGTCCTTCCTTCGTGGTACATTTGTATGTCTTTGCTGATGGTAGGTTGCACAGAAATTAAGAAAATGTTATTTCAATGCTGCTGCTGCTTTGCGATGATGTCTTGTTGATGTTGATACCATACACTGGTGCTGTAGGCTTGGATTTGACAAGGGGAGACTTCTGCTACATCTTTAACAAAAGATGTCATCACGCTTACCTTTCCCATGTTTTAATAAAATATTAATAATATTAAATACCAAATTTTAGACAGTCAACCCAGTAATTCTACATATATGAAACGGTCTCCTTGACTGAAAGTGAAAATAATGCATCAGCTGTGTATACGTGGGAGATATAGTGGATCGGTTTATTCCATGAAATTATATCCTGTGCAATGTTATGTACAGTCGTGATCTATCAATTTATAACAATGTGTGTAGTTTAGATACATTAAGATGTTTTGTAAATATGTACGTACCAGGATAGAATTCATACCTGATGGCTTGCATTGTGGCTCATATCTCATATCAAGAACTATGTTTTAGAACTATAGATTGTCTGGTCCAGACCCAATTATTTATAGCTGGACTATTGCTGATGAAAGCCTAAAAGCAACAATGATATGACATATGAGCAGAAACATCTGATGGGTTTTTATTAGCTCCGAGGTGAGGTGAAGTGACTTTGCATCCCACACCCATATCTTGAAAACAGGTTTCTAGGACAGACAATTGTATACCAATACATGCCATTCAAGCAGTGGTCTTACAGAATTTGACACACATAATTAAAGCAGCCACTGTGAAACTGCATTCTTCCATTTGGAAAGATTGGACATATTAGGTATGCTCCGGGTTATCCGCCTGGAGCCCCTCACCGGTGTTGTGCTCATCGGGACAGTGGAGATGCAGACTCCGAGGAATAGGATCAAGATATACCGCTACTCATAATCAAAAGATGTTGCAGTGCCATTTTGCATGTCCATGTTTTAGATATTGTTGAAAGTTGTTATATTACATGTGTTTGTAAATATCCTTGTGTCTGCATTGTTTTGCATCCTTGATTTGCCTCTGCTTGAGTGTACATACGGCCAGATGGTTGCCACTAATTTACGCCATTTACCAATCTTGCATCTCGTCCATTAAATGTATTTGATCAAGATGGAATTTTGCGTTGTTTTTGCAGAAGCAAGAAAGTTTCATGACATTGGACATCTTGACTGTCACAATAAATATCTGTTAATCAGAGAATGTCAACTTCATATTCTTAGAAATGTCTTACTGCGGTGAGTTTGACAGCAACCATTTTGTCCCTTAGTGCATCTGGGCATACCAGTGCCAATATTGTAGTGCTAGCCCAGACATAACCATCCTGCAGGATACCCCACTCAGGCACAGTATACAGACTGAGCTGACAGTTCTTTTTTACCCCTTGATGCTGAACTCCAGGGATTGAACCACTAACCTACCACTCTCAGTACAGAAGCTGAATCCACTATATATATATATATGAAGGCGGTCTCTTCCTGGATAAGAAAGACACTGAGATTTCAAGTATTCAAGATTTTATTGAGAAAGAAGAGTATAAGACAGTGTTGCCAAGGCTACTGCAGAGTACACAGCTAATCTCTTCACATCACTTTCACAGAAAATGAAGAAGTACTTAAAAACTGATATCCAGTACTGGTTTCAACTTAAAAATTCAAAATAGATTTACAAATAATAAATTAAAAGTTTTTGGAATAGATTGAAATTAAACATTGTGACTGGATTGGTGGAAAGGTCAACAGTTCATTGAGCTGGCATATTGTGGAACTATTTTGAAAGTAGAAATGAGGTTTGGTTACAATGGTGACAGCTGCAGATAATCCAATGTTGATAGTAGAGATGACGACATCAAAACACAGAATATGCGGCGACCGGTTGCTACTGGCCGTGTTTGTCCCTCTTGGCCGGACCTAGTTAATTTTAAGTAGCTCCACGTCGAATATCAAGGTAGCATTGGGTGGAATAGTGGTATGGTTAAGGAGAAGAAATTCATAATAGATAAGCTGTAATATAATATTAACAATGCATAGTGATCACTGTTCATAGGTGACATCTCATGTAACCTGTGTCAGTTGCGGCAATGATAAAACCCTTGACTATAGAAAGCTTAAGTCTTCATCTATATGATAGCAACCTCTCCTGTAGTCTTTTCATAGATGTAACATGTGATTTTATTGAATAGAAATGATTCCTTATGATACTTTCTTGCCAAAATCTGCTACAAGGTTCATGATTAGTCAAATTTAAGCATGTGACCTAAGGCAGCCAATCAAATGACAGCAATGGTACCGTATAATATATATATATGCTGATTTTATTTATTACTTTATATATTTAAAGATTCGCTTGAAACGTCTTTGTTTTGTTCTTTGACATGTTCAATGTGGACCTGTTGTCAAAGGGAATTCCAAGGGGTTTTCCCAGGAATGTGGAAGAGGTTTCCCCAGGAATGTGGAAGTTTTCCGTTAGTGTTTACGTCATTTCAAGAACACGGTCTCGTGAAAAACATGTGAACGTCAAATTGTGTTGTTCATACACTTATGAACGTCAATTTCGCGGTCATGTGACCGACCTCTTGTCCAATGGAAAAGCTGTATATCTTGTAAATGTCAAATTTAAAAATTATATAATTATAAACTATTTAATTGAAACTGGGGTGATTAAAGAGTTAATTCATTGTCAAGGATATACACCAGCCGCACCCGCTGCTCCGTAGCCATATTCCGGAGAGATGGTCAGCTTAGCCCGTTCACCTAGGGACATCTGCAACAGGAAGAACAAACTCACAAGTTGGAAAAGACTTGAAGCTTGATCACAGATTTCATATAGCAACACCCCAAGTTGCAATTTTCCAGCAATGTCACAACGGTGTGTAAATTATCGAGTCTACTGACTCATATTACAAGCAAATATCTATTTGTCCATGACATGATATCAACCAAGTCACTGAGCCAGACCACCGAATTCACCTAGTTCTCTTTACAAGCTATGGTAATTGATGATCGATCATGAAATCGAATAGAAAAACAGTTAACTGAGACCAATCTTGCTCAATATCTTTATTGTAATTAATGTTTGTTTTGTTTTTAACCCCACACTCAGCAATTTTTCTGCTATATGACGGCAGTCAGTAAATAATCAAGTCTGGACCAGACAATCAAGTGATTGACATCATTAGCGATCCACGCTATAGGGATATGATGACATACATTAACCAAGTCAGCAAGCATGATATATCAGGTCAGTGAGTGAGCTAGGTTTAACGCCGCGTTGATCAGTATTCCAGTTATTTCACGGCATGCGAGCCGAGCTGGAGGGAGGAAAGCCTGAAGTGAAGCGGTCTTGGATGCTTACACTTAGGAGAAACCTACAAGCATGGGTATGGTGCTGACAAACCTAGAAACATAAAAACGCATCCACTGTCCCCAATATATCAAGTGAGTGAGTATGGTTTTACGCCGTTTTAGCAATATTCCAGCAATACCATGGCTAGGGACACCAGAAAAGGGCTTCACACATTGTACCTATGTGGGGAATAGAACCCGGATCTTCGATGTGACGAGTGACTGTTTTAACCACTTTTTTTGCCATTGAGTATTTACTCAAGTGTTTTCAACATATTTTTACTTTGTTTGGATGTCTGATAAGTAAAAAAAAATTTAATACATGTTGTCTCATGGTTTATTCTCCCTGCAGTGTTTAATTGTACGATAAACAACTCCCACTCGTCGTTTATTTCTTAAATGCGCAGCTTATCTGGAGCGCTGTTCTTTTGATGCCAGATACTTACAGTAACAACACCTTCATCCCAACCTGAAACGAGAAATATCCTGTTAGCAGTTGCATTCAATTGATCGGGAACAAGGAATTTCCTGATGCATTATTCCCCCTGGGTGCCGTTGTATACAGCAATCTTAGCTCTAAGGTGATCATAACTCCCATACCTTAACAGACTTACGACTGTCGCACCCTGACAGAGGTTTCCAAAAGTGGACAAGCAGTCAAACTCCAAATCTCATTTCTAAGGATTTACTTGTTAAGAAGCCCATAATCTATCTCAACCTGATAGAACTATAGTTAGCAGTCACCATTGTGTAGAAGCATTAGCATCGTCAAAACACGGGTAAATGGTCATTACTTGTTTCGGATGCTACATTGCCCTGGACAAGATGATGGGTAACTTCCAGATGTTACAAGATGATGGGTAACTTCCAGATGTTACAAGACGATGGGTAACTACCAGATGTTACAAGACGATGGGTAACTTCCAGATGTTACAAGATGATGGGTAACTTCCAGATGTTACAAGATGATGGGTAACTTCCAGATGTTACAAGATGATGGGTAACTTCCAGATGTTACAAGACGATGGGTAACTTCCAGATGTTACATTGCCCTGGGACAAGAGTATGGTTAACTTCCAGACGATACATTGCCCTGTTACAAGACGATGGATAACTTCCAGATGTTACATTGCCCTGGGACAAGACAATGGGTAACTTCCAGATGTTACAAGACGATGGGTAACTTCCAGATGTTACATTGCCCTGGAACAAGACGATGGGTTACTTATAGATGTTACATTGCCCCGGGACAAGACAACGGGTAACTTTCAGATGTTACATTGCCCTGGGACAAGACAACAGGTAACTTGTTTGTTTGTTTGTTTGTTGTTTAACCCCACACTCAGCAATATTCCAGGTATATGACAGCGGTTTGTAAATAATTGAGTCTGGACCAGGCAATCCAGTGATTGACATCATGAACATCAATCCACGTTATTGGGAAACGATGACATGCATCAACCAAGTCAGCGAGTCTGACCACCCGATTCCGTTAGTCGTCTCTTATGACAAGCATGGGTTGCTGAAGGCCTATTCTACCCCGGATCTTCATGGGTCCAACAGGTAACTTCCATATGTTACATTGTCCATGGACAAGACAAACAAAGTAAAGAAACGACTAGCCGGTGCGGATTTTACTTGAGGCACAATACTGCATCCTACAAGTGTAACACACTGCATGGGGCAACTGTGTGTCAGACTCACAAAGAAAAGAAAGGTACAGACAAATCCCTGGCCAGCCATGGGCACTCAGCTTGGAATCCCAGATAAATCCCTGCACTTACCTTTAATAACTTGTCCTACGCCAATTTTGCATTCAAAAGGCTTTCCTCGATCCCGTGAAGAGTCGAACTTTTTGCCATTCGTCAAAGTTCCTGACAAAACATTAACCCATGTCAAACTTGACATCAACTTACTTCAGTGAAGATCGCCATGTGTCATGTCATGTATCTCTATAATAAATATGAATTGAAGCTTGTGAATTGTATTTTTGTGTTCCAAAGATGCTGTAGTTTTACAATATAATGAAAAGTCAAAATGAGCTTTTTCACCCATAGGGTCCCTTATCTCATGATTGGTCTCATTTGCGTTCATCATGCTGTCAGCCACTGGTTTTCCAGGCCAGACTCGAGGATTTACAGGCCACTGTGACACATGGCAACAACAACAGCATTAACCATCACTCACTCCCACCTCCAAGATTATTACACTTATTCAATGACTATGCATGTGCGTGTACTAGTACAGACTAATGTCAATTTTAATATTTATAGTGCCAGCCCACTGCAATACCATGCAGCAGTTAAACATGAATACCACACTCAGACACAGTACACTGACTCCAAGCTGACCAGTCCTTGTTTTTGTTCCTTAATGCCGAGCACCAGCCAGGATAACAAGTACCATCTTTTAATGGCCAGGGTTCGAACCCCTGACACGACCACTAGATCACAGAGGGTAGATCACAATAGACAGGGTCATGATGCACACCATGCCCAAGGTTAATAATCCTTAAAAGATTACCTAATGAAAGCTGCCCTCAGCATGTTTTTATCCAGCAGCCCTCTAAGTTTGGTTTTTTTTCATTAGGGAGTCCAAAATACTAACAGGGATTGCAATTGAAATGGTAAATCATCCTGTCTAGAGATGTGTTATTGCAAATTCCACCTTTTCATTGACAAGTTTGCTGTCTGTTCATCCACCTGAAGCCATGTGGTTTTTGACTGCACATCATACTCAATATTATGGGGTTTTTTTTACAAAATAGCTGCATCCCCTTGCAGGGGTTGTGCATTTATGCTTGGCTGCTCACCATATTTAAGAAGGTCGAAGCCTACTGAACAAATTGGTGGGGACAAGCATGTGATGTTTCAGTGGTATATGTTTGTTTGTTTGTTGTTTAACGTTGCACTCAGTAATATTCCAGCTATATGATGGCAGTCTTTAAATAATCGAGTCTATACCAGACAATCAAGTGATTGATATCATGAGCATTGATCCACGCAATTGGGATACAATGACATGCATCAACAAAGTCAGCGAGCCTGACCACCCGATCCAGTTAGTCGCCTCTTACGACAAGCATGGTCGCCTTTTATAGGAAGAATAGGTTGCTGAAGACCTATTCTACCCCACATCTTCCAGGTCCAGTGGTATACGTGAAGGTGTTTTACACAGGACACTGAATGACATACAACACGCTCCCGACAAACAGTCCATGACAATTGAGTGAGCGAGTTAAAGTCTTACGTCACATCGGCAATATTACAGCCATATCATGACGAGATAAAGTCAAACATTTGATTACAAAGAAATTGCTACTTGTAAAATACCTGTCGCCAAAGGACAGTACAATAACTAGAATATCACAGATTTTACTTAAAACTAGTTTCAGAGTATATAAAAGAATAAACTACAATTTAACAACACAATATAAAAACGGGTTATAGATCACCAGCAACCAAAGCTAGGCCACCACACTAGGGGCCGAAGAGACTTACAATGCTTCTGCTACCTGCACGGCTCCCCAGCAGGATTTACACCACCAGTCGCTGGGGATTGTAGTCAATAATAACCACCAGTTAAAAGTAACCATTATACTATGATTAAAATTGTGATAGCTATAAATTTACCTTGAAAGAAATGGAACTTATGTATTTTAATGTACTTTAACCCCCTTCGAGGATACAACCACTAACAATCGCAGTTGTTAATTTAATCTACCAAATTTAAAACATAGGTTTTATACAATATTATTAATCAAAATTTTGCAAACAATTCAATATGCTTTAAAAAAAACTATAATTAAAAGAGAGATGTTACTAGTAAAAAAATCCTTAATAGATGATGATTTGAAATATTCATCCCTTGTTATGGAAAAATCAATACAGTCAAGCAGGACATTCTTGACTGTGGTTCGTTCATCACAAGGGATGCAGAATGGAGGATCCTCACCTGTCAATAAATATTCATGAGTGTAGCGTGAATGGCCAATACGACATCGTCAAAGCATGACTTCGTTAATTCTGGAATGACAACCCAAGTAGGTGTAACCCATCATTGGTTTAATTTCATGTAATACCAACTTGGGTGTCCCACTTCTTTTACATCAGATATCTGATGTAAGATCTAATCACAGATTTATTATCACTGTAGGGGATTAGAAGTGTTGTCACAGATTTGTTGAGTGCTGCTTTTGCAGCAGCATCAGCCATTGTGTTACCAACGATTCCAACATGGCTGGGTAACCAACATAAAGCGATGTCGTATTGGCTAGTAGCTAGGTCATTATACAATTTGACAATTTTGAGTAATAGTGGATGTGACATAAGCTCACTTGAATTTCAGAAAGGTAAGACGACAAATTGAATGCTAAAACAGAAAATAATAATAACTCACCTGTATAATGCATGGAAACCTTGTCCCCCTTCTTGGGAAAGTTTTGACCTGAAGAAAAAAATAGAGATGCATAAGCATGGTTTGCCCTGAAGCAGGAAACCTGCATATTTGATGCAATCTAAGGAGAAACTATGCAATATTATTTCTCCATTGCATCAGTAATGACGCAGATCATTCAGACTGTCAAAATCAATTTATTGCACTTTACCCCCGAACATTAAAATTTGAAACTGATATATCACTTGACAATAAAATACGATCGATATCAGCTTTGTCTAATGTTGGAAAACCTATTGTCTAAAAATGGAACAGCCCTACTGGCAAGTTCTCAGTTGCAGCAAATCAGAATTAAGTTTCAATAGTTGCATAGTGGGATGTTTGTATTTCCTGTATTATGAAATTAAAAATCAAAAAGTATTTTGTTGAAATGACCCCCTTCAAAAGACATATGACTCCCTGTAGTACAGCTAAGGAGTCATAATGACCCCTAGTTTTAAGAGGCTTGGGCAAATCCTGCATAAGTGGCAACTGTTAAATAGATTGCTTGATTTTTTCATTATTTATACATGTATTTCTTTTGCATCCTACTTCTGCAGATTATCTGACTGACATTATTATGAAATAATGTGGAGTTATGGTTTAATTTATTCTCTTGGGACAGATAACCTGTAATTCCTCGTAGACTTACGGGCAATGTTATTCCTAAAGTAAAAAACCTGCCCAGGCTTTTGGTATTATGCACAACACTGGCATACTCCATTTTATACTATCAGCGAGTGATATCTAGGTCTTTAATTAGACAGATATACATATAAAGGTGTTTCAGGTGCAAATGGATGCGTCGTTGCATGACCCTCGCTTTCTGAATCTTAGCAAGGAAACGTGGTGCGAACGAAAGTTCCTGGTATTTCATTGGATCAATATCATTATGGATCTGATATATCTAAAACAACTCGCAAAATCAATTTAATACATGTAATATTGGACACGTGTGAAATGAGTCAGAATCATTGCTGCAATACGAATACAAGTAGGCCAAACGCGGGAACTTCGGTAGATAAAGGAAGGTGCGTCCCCATTCCAGCATGGTCGATGTTGTGCACCTTCGTTTTCGCTTACTATGTAAATCATAGCTGGATGTGTGGCTGTAAATTATAGCTTGAACATATATAAATATGATTGTTTCAAATGACCATACCATCGCCAGGTGCAAGTACTTCTTTCTCTACACCCATTGTTAGCTTTGAGACCGGCGAATTTGTTCAATTGAGTCAAAAAGGACGAAATGGGACGAGTTATGTCCCTTGGTATTATAAAAAGGCCAAGCTCCTTACCAGCGCGTGACACCTTCTTTACACTCTCGGTATAGAGAGCTCTGCGAACGGTCTATCGCTGTGAGGAGCTTGTATAAATGGCATGATCCACCAGGAAATTATTTACGTGACCTATTCAGGTCAATCATATTTTGAAATGTCACATGAGAGCCCCCTGTTGTTGGAATGCTTTTACTAAGAAAAGATAATTTTTACTCACCACTGATATCAAGATACATAAGACAGCTACGCAATAAATCACAAAGAGCAATGAAAAATGAAGCATGGTTTATTTCACGATAAAACATTCTTCTATCATGACATCATTTGCGAAGATTCGAACATATGCTCGCATGATGACGTCATATACTGGACGGCGTTTTTTTAGAGGGAGGGAAGTGTCTAGTGAGTTTTTCCCCATAGATGTAGTCTGGGGTACACAGAGAAAACGCATTTGCCGAGCGATCGCATCCTGAAGTGGGAGAGATAAGACAATCAATTAATGTGGGGGTGGGGGGTGGGGTGTGTGTTTATTAGGTGAAAAGGTACAAATAATCGAAGTGAGGATTGTGAGAATAAGCGGGAAATACCAAATTTAACCTACGTGTTCATAAAATGGTTGGTTGGTTGTTGTTTTTTACGCCACACTCAGCATTATTCCAGTTGTGGACTTGTCCGACATTGTCGAGGTCGGATTGTCTTCAAAATATTTATTAAATTTAATCAAAACTATTTTTAAAGCTTGCACATTAATCAACATAATGTACATTATGTTGATATCTCATATAAGAAATAAACGACGAGTGGCAGTTGTTTATGGTACAATACAACACTGCAGTGAGAACCACGAGGGGCGATAAAACAATGTTCCACCATGACGTCATTTTTGAAGATTCGAAACATGCGCTCGCAACTTGATGACGTCGTATATAGAAAATACAACACTCATTCTCGTAGATACCATTTTGGACTTTCTGTGGTATCTGACCGAGCGAAAGCGAAAGCACGACCAGATCACTAAAAGTGAAGAGTTCCATTCGGAAAACTCCGTGGAAGTGTGCCTGACTTCTGATTTTGTGGCCCCAAACATCCCAGATGTGAACAAGATCATTCCCTATCTCTAGAGTAAAACGCTGTGAGTAGATCACGGTTGTCTTTTCTTATTCCAGTGTTGACCTTGCCCTTCGATCGTTCGAAACTGTCACTGACATGCAAGCAGACTTGAGTTTGTTGATTTAGTAATAAGGGTGGTACAGTTAACATATTAATGTCTTTGGCGATCACTCTGATTTCTCTCTTCCAAAATGGTACGGACAGGATATAAATTCAGCTGATAGATCAAGGAAACCGAACCATTTTGATTGCACAGACGGGAACACGGCAGTGCGAGTGACCGACTGTTGGTCCAATATTCAAAGCCCGGCGCTAATGTGACTTTTCAAATTTTCTTAAAGGTGTCCTGCGTACGTACAAAATGGCGCTTGAATCACCATAAGTTGAAGGATTTCTTCCAAAAGGATCTTGAGCGTCGGTGCTGTTTTGTTTGCAAACACTACTGCAGGCGCACGTTGTTCATGCGTATGCAAAATAATGTCAATAATGCCCATATTTGGTCATATATCAATATTCATGCGCAACCAGATTTTGCAACCGGTTTCAGTTTGGTCTGTCAACGAAAGAAAGTTATGTATTTACGCTCAATATATATTTAACGTGGGTAAAAGATAAAATACCACACATTCTCGTTAGATACCATTTTTACGAAACGAGTGGACTTTCTATGGTATCTAACGAGAATGAGTGTAGTGAAAATATCAATTTTTCTCACCTTCAGAAAACTGAGTCTTTCACACTGAAATATATATAATAAAAACGCCATTGTTGACAAAATACAAAGGTAATTTCTATGTAGACATTGTAACGTGTTTTATGACGTCATACCCCTTTGACTGGTTCCGAACGTTCGTGCGATAGACTGCAACCTCATTAAAACATGACCTTCTACCCGGACACCATACTCTCCTTCGTTGACACATGAGGGCATCTCTGAGAAGGTCGATTCAGGTGAACACTGAGCGACCTTTGATCGAACAATAAGGAAGGATGTGTCGGTTCTCGGTCGAATCCAGTGTTCCAAACAAATACCAAAATAGCTCACCTGACTAAAAGTCTGACTTATACCTTGGCGCGTTGTCCGTCCTCTGGTTATAAAAGAATGAAACTGTGTTGTCTTGCAATATTGTAACCGACATGTCCTCTAAGAACAACAATGCTTACGTAGCGGCTATAAAATTTACGATTCCCATGATGGGACTCGGACCACGGACCTTCTGATCCGAGGTCGGACGCCTTGTCCACATGACCAAAGAGGTTTACCCTGTCCGCAAGCGGAAAAGGTAAGGATGTCATCTGTGGGATAACTCCACGCCCTGATACATATATTCCCCCGTCAACAGAAGGCCCGTCCCCGTCCGCATTGTAGGGTACTGAGACTTATTTTGCTTAAAGTTAATATACTCAACAACAAACGTTCCCGTGAACCCAATATATTACTGTATTTTTCAAACAAGTAAAGTTTGGTATTCAATATTGTGGTACATGTATGGCATTAGGTCACAAAAACGCAACTGCTACAGAAAAGTTGCAAAAGTTGACTTTTATGCAAGCCCCACACATTTCACTACCCAAGAATGGGTATAAAAACATGTGCGTTAACGGGATTCCAGAAAAACAACAAAATTACGCAATTATTCACTCTCACTCTTGTGTTCATTGCGGTCCATCAGCTCTGAATCGCGTTGGCCATCACTATTATTAGTTCCAAAGCTACTGTCATCATTGTTTTCACTCACAGCTTTAATTGGAACGATCGTAGTGTGCTGTGAGAAGACGGTAATGTTTGTCAAGTAAAGCATAACGACCAACGCATGTCAGAAGTTCGATGCACTGCACTCGATACACTCCACACAGTATATTAATTTAGCGTAACCGAATCCTCGCACCAAAACATGTTCAATGACACAGACGGAAAGTACGGTCATAAGAGTTTCATTGCAAACGAGGAAACTGGCGAATGAGAAGACGGCGGAGCAAATGTCCGTCAAGTTAGTTAAGATTGAAGAAACGTTAGGGTCGGAAGCATTTTATAGGGTCGGTCGGGTAATCGGAACCACAAATCTTTCTGATAGGCCTGGGTAGCAAACGACGAGATCCTAGCACTTGCATAATATACTCAAAAAAGTTCCCGTGACACCAATATTTTAGTGTATTTTTCAAGTAAAATTTGGTTTTCAATATTGTAGTACATGTATGGAATCAAGTCACAAAAACGCAACTGCTACAGAAAAGCATTCATTCAATGCAAAAGTTGACTTTTATGCAAGCCCCATGCATTTCACTACCCATAAAAACATGTGCGTTAACGGGATTCCATATGCATTGTCTAGCATCGTGCTGACAACAACCACTCTGAAAGACAACAAAATTGCGCAATTATTCAACATTACGAAATGCCACGCCTGTCCGAAAATGAGCGTCTGCGAGCCATTGGTATGCTTGAAGCAGGATCGAGTCAACGTGATGTTGCAAGACAATTTAACGTCCACAGTAACACCATTTGGTGTTTATGGCAACGTTGACAACAGACGAATGCAGTCAGAGACCATCCTCGGAGTGGCAGGCCACGCGTAACCAATAATCGACAAGACAACTTGATTCGAACAACACACCTACGAAATCGATTCCAGCCAGCAACAGTGACTGCAAGAAACATCCCTGGCCTTCGACGAATATCTTCACAAACCGTACGTCGCCGCCTGAGATCTGATGTGCAGGGATTGTCGCCAGATGTCCTATTTTGACAGGAAACCACAGTCAAGCACGTCTGCAGTGGTGCAGACAGCGTCTACGCTGAACGGCCATGCAGTGGGGACAAGTTCTATTCACTGACGAGTCTCGTTTTTACCTCAGCCACAGCGATGGACGGATTCGAGTGTACCGACGTCGAGGTGAACGTTACGTCAATCATTGTGTCATGGAAGAAGATCGGTTCGAGGGCGGCAGCGTTATGGTATAGGGTTGGATTACAGCAAGACAGAGGACCCGTTTGATAGTGGTAGATGGAAATCTCAATGGACAGGGCTACCGCGACGAGATCATCGGCCCTGTTGTTCTACTGTTTTTGCGTCGTCATGGCCCAGGCATTACCTTTCAACATGACAACGCCCGGTCTCATATTGCTCGACTTGTTCAGGGTTCCAATCAATAAAACAACGTGAATGTCATCCCCTGGCCGGCTCGCTCCCCTGATCTCTCACCAATCGAGCACATGTGGGATGAGATGGATCGGCGCCGTCGACGTCAACCACGTGTTCCACAGACACTCCAGGAACTTCGAAACATGCTCCAGCAGATATGGACAGATATCCCACAGGACTTTGTTCGACGCCTTGTCCATTCCATGAGACGAAGATGTGTTGCTTGCATCACAACCAGAGGTGGACACACACGCTATTGATTTGTAAATTGACATTTTGGCATGTTCATGGGTTGTTTTTTTTATGAAATCACGCATTTTCTGAAGTCAGTATGGCAAATTAAACCATTTGAACACTTACAGGAGTCTTTTATCGGTTGCAAACCGAAATTGTTTCAAATTTGGTTAAAAAACATAACTTTGCATTAAATCTTAGTCAATGTCACAGGAACTTTTGTTGTTCAGTATATATACCTCCTCAGCCCCACGTTGGGTGCCAATGTAGCGGCCATAAAAATTCCCGACATGGGTACAATGTGTGAAGCCCATTTCTGGTCTCCTCCACACCAGAAAAATATTCAGTCAAATACAGTTTTTGCCCATTTTAAACATGTAACGTGTAATTGTGTAGAATTTAGCATGCAGTGGGCATACCTGTAGGCTGTCTCACAGTCTCTGAGCCACGTTATTTTCCCAAACCTGAGTTTTGATGGACTTTCCACCCACATGATTGGTTGGTTGGTTGGTTGGTTTGTTGTTTAACGCCGCACTCAGCAATATTCCAGCTATATGACGGCGGTCTGTAAATAATCGAGTCTGGACCAGACAATTCAGTGATTGACATCATGTGCATCGATCCGCGCAATTGGGATCGATGACATGCATCAACCAAGTCAGCGAACCTGACCACCCGATCCCGTTAGTCGCCTCTTACGACAAGCATAGTCACCTTTTACGGTAAGCTTGGGTTGCTGAAGACCTATTCCACCCCGGAATCTTCACGGGTCTCCTCCCACATGAAGCTGACACGCTGTGATATTACTGGAATATTGTTAAAAGGCTTTTAACACGAATCACTCACTCACTGAATTTTTATCTTCATGTTCCCCGAACTGGGGTTTCGGGTTAGGCTATGTCTACAGCAACCTATGCTTGAATGAACCGAGTAAATGGCTTGATCACGTGTAATCGTTGGTTCAAACAGAGACCATATATATCGGTATATGGTCTCTGGTTCAAACAGTACAACAGTATGTTCGTTTGTGCATCGAACCAATCTAATATCTCTTGATTATGAATTCATTGTGTCGGAACACTCTGAAAATTTGAAAACAGTAGGTCTAACATTGTTTTAGAAGGGGTTTCCGCGTAGTCGTTTATCACTTAAATGGGTGGCCATTTTATTTTGTGGATGAAAATTATGTAAAGTGCAGATACATTGTTTTCGAAAAGGGAAGGTGAGAGTTTCTGTAAGAAGGGTTTGGGGAGGGTTGTGGTTGCACTGATTGTTCAAAACTACTGGCACACTTTGACAAGTGACGTCCTCCGTGGTATTATGGTAGAGCGCAAATCAGGGGTTCGATCCGTGGCCGCGTCATACCGAAAAAGGATATAAGATTGTACTTGCTGTTACCTTGCCTGGCGCTCAGCATTACGGGGCCTAAACAATGACTGGTCCGCTGGGAGTTTTCGTATTAAACTGCGGCATGGTACCTCAGTGGGTTGGCATTAGTCCGGACTGTACAGAGCTAGGAACAGAGTGACCTCCCTTCGTGTTACCAATCCAAGTTCTACAGAGAGCCTTTGTGTGTGGAACTTTTCTACAGGCTTCCTTATTGTTGTGGATGAGCTCCCAGTCAATCAAAGTCACGTGACAGCACAAGTTTAAATCAGCTCAACCGAACAGCTGTTTTCTATAAATATTGAATTTGTTCTAATTCTTTTACAAAGTCATACTAAAACATGTCAGTAAGATAAATTTGTTATGGCAGGATCAGGAGGGGTACATGTGGTTTTATTCGAACCTCGTTTGGAATTATACCACACGCCTCTGGCTCGCGGGACACATAAAACCCCATGTACCCCTCGTGATCATACTACAACCTCTAGTGTCTAAACTACTACACCAGGATGTTCTTAGTCTGTTACCATACAACCAACTAAAATTCAAATCACAAAAACTCACAGAGTAGCAGATAAAGGTTTTTAATGCAATCATTGATGCTATATAAAATTCTATAATTATATCCTTGGTATGGCCTCCAAGCACATACTGTGATAGCATCATCATTGCTGTACTGCGTGCACAGCTTAATATTGTACAAATATACCAGACTCTGTAGCCTAGACTTTCACAAAGCTAGGTGGTATCTCAAGGCATAATAACACCGCCATCATTCGCATCACAGGTACATAGGACTATACAGCCTTCATCACTGACTCGTCCACTTCATCGCAATGTCATAATTACCTACAGAAACTTTTCTAGCACAATTATCCTTTGGATATCAACTCTATAACAAGCCTTCTTCAGTAACAAAACATGTACTTAGTTGTGTTAACAAAATAAAATCAACAAGTGGTGTGTAATTTTGTTCTGTAAATATCATGGTATTGCTTGCATCTGACTGGTATCCAAGCTTATCACATGTAAACAGAAAGAAATTGGTAGTTTGTGAATCAGTTAAAATACACCAATGCAATCACTTGAACTATATCATATATAAGAACTCAAAGTGATCAAATCAGTGAAGGAAAATTCGAAAATAGGAATTGACTGACTTTTGGCAGCTACTGCAAGACCTTAATATGGGGAGGGGATTTGTATGATTGCTGCAGGTAGCCACTTCATAAGTTTTACATTGGATATAAATGTTGATTCCTTATGTTTTGGTGGTGGGAGTGGTGTAACAAGCAAGTCTGCAAGTTGTCCCTCTGACAGAGTCAACTTTTCAATAAATAACAGCTCTAATTGGGTATTTTCACCCTGAACATGAATGGCATTCCGGTATTAAAAGCAGCTCAGTGAAAAATCAGTTCACTTGACATACTTTCTTGAAACCACCGCTTTACGTCTCATTCACCATAACATCCTGCAGATCTTACGAGACGAAATGTTTATCAATGTAAGTTTAAAGTTACTTAAATAAATAGAATATCAGAGTTTTAACATTTTCCAAGTGGGGTGTGTGTATCTTATAACATAAGGAACTACTCTTAATCCAACATTAAACTTTTGAATTTCCCCCATAAGAAAGGGGGATAACTCTGGGTTATAGGAAAGTAGGAAATCACTACAAAGTCAAGAAAGAAATACATATTAGAGAAATGTTTCAAAGCATTGAAATGAGAATAAAAACATGAGAAATGACTATGAATCAAGATTACATCTGACAATTGCACACATTAAAAACAGGTTAAAAGAACAGAGAAAAGTGTTGTAAGCTGGCCAGCTTCCAGTAAATGTCAAGCCATGAAAAGGGTTCTTTACTTTCAGTTTGACACAAAGTGCATTGATGGCATTGCAGGTAAGTAGTAGAGGAACAGTACAATCAGAATTATCTAGCAGTACCACTTCTGCCTCAAAGTATCCTCAAAACCCAGTTTGATTAAACAATTGTGAAAATAAAGTTGATGTTTCATAAATCTGTAATAAATGCATTTTACTGACAAATCCGTCCACAGGACCATTCAGTGCTGACACTGTCACAACATATTATCACACTTTTCCGCCTTTATCTTCAGCTCTACCATACATATTACTTACTTATTTAGCATCACATTAACATAAATCACACATGGAGAATATTTCAACACCAAATGACAAATATGTATAATCACTTCACAAAGTTTGGAAAACGCTTTGTTTTTTAACAATGGCGGCAACTTTCTCTGGCTTGTCAATGTTACACATGTATTTACAAACAAGACTTTCTCCGAAAGCATGTAACACCTGTTACCTGTTACAGAGCATTACTGATCATATCAATAATGATCTTCATCATCATCCATCACTAACAAGTAGATATTATGTAACCAGGGAAGATTTGCATGTCCATCTCCAGAAAACTCCATATTTCATCAACAGCACAAAAACTCTCTTCCCTGGCTGTGTAATTCCAAATAAAAGGATACAAACATGACACAAATGTACATAATGAGAGATTCATGTATGATATCTATGCATTCAAGGAACAGAGTTTGGACTAAATGACCTATCAATTCTCCTCAAAGTAATGGTTCTCGGGCCTCTTTGGAAATCTACAGATACCTCTAATCAATAAATATGACAGCTGAGAAAGAATTCTCAATAAGCATATAACAGAATAAATGTAGAAATTATACAAAAGCATTGTCGAGGACAACTGATAAGCAAAGTGTTTGACAGCCTGCACAAGGCAGCAGGGTTAGCACCAGTGCTACTACATAGTCGCGCAAGGTACTATATAACTGGGCTCGCCCAACAAAGTATGACGAAGCATGTACACCTGACAATACATGGGTTGCGTATGTACAAAATCTACACTGGCACATGTAATTATAATTTCATAAAATGTCCAGTCAATTGTAGTCATCTTCAGAATCCATGGTACTGGAGTTTTCTCCCCTGAAGCCCTCTCCAGATGATGAAGAGACGGCTAGAGAGATGTTGGTGACATCTTCAGCTCAGCTTCAGCAGTTCGATGTCGAACACTAGTGTGGCATTGGAGGGTATCGTGGGTCAGTGTCAAGGTCATGCATACAGAGGAGTGAGAATTGATGCAAATAGTCAAATATGTATTAGCAGGCTGAAATAAAACACCCAGCCAACCAATGGTTGATTGAGTTTCAATTGGATTTAACAACGCTTTAAACAATATTTTGTCACAGTGTGTCAGCTTAATGTGGGAGGAAAGCTTGAAGTGACACTGGTCTGAGATGTTTCCACAAGCATGGGTGTGGTTCTGAGTTCTGATAAACCAAGAAAAATAATGTGGCAAACCAGGAATTGAAGCCATGATCACAGGTTTCTGACATGTCTAAGGGACGCAACTCTGCAAGGCACCTTAGATGACTGAGCTGAGTAAGTGAGGAGATATTATGATATTAGGTTTTTGTTTGTTGTTTAACGCCACACTCAGCAATATTCCAGCTATATGACGGCAGTCTGTAAATAATCAATTCTGGACCAGACAATTCAGTGATTGACATCATGAGCATCGATCAACACAATTGGGATATGATGATATGCATCAACCAAGTCAGCGGCCACTCGATCCCGTTTGTCGCCTCTTACAAAAAACATAGTCGCCTTTTACGGCAAACATGGGTTGCTTGAGACTTATTCCATCCCAGATCTTCACTTGTGACATATTAGGTAGTTTCAGATTTGGGGGTATTATTGAGTATTTGATGCATGGAAATTTCTTTGGGACATTTAATTATCAAAAACTGAAATACACAAGTCTAAAAAGATGTTATGTTTATCAACATTGTAAATACAGAACTTAATCAGTTATTTTCTGTGGCACTCAATTCTATTATGTGAACTGAAACAACAGAGAGACACACATGTTGCCACTAGGGAGGGACTTAACTTCGTGATTCAATGGATAACAAATCTCTGTGGCTTTTCCTGCCATGAATAATGAATTTGTCCATTGTAAGGCCATATCCAAGAAAACCATGATTTTAAGCACCAAGTGCGACCTGGGAAGACCTCTTCCCAATGACCACCTAATCCCATCAATTTCAGATCCCACAAGAACTGGCCAATGTGGCCAAATCTACCCTGCTTAAAACCACTTCTAATAGTGTAAGCTTTAACCACTTTGCTACCACACCGACCAGCCACTTTGGCAGAATCCACAAGCACATATATGGTGCTGAAATTCAAGTACATGTATGGTGCTGAAACTCAAGCACATACATGGTTCTGAAAGTCAAGCACACTTATGGTGCTGAAAGTCAAGCACACTTATGGTGCTGAAACTCAAACACACATATGGTGCTGAAATTCAAGCACATATGGAGCTGAAACACAAACACACGTATGGTGCTGAAAGTCAAGCACACGTATGGTGCTGAAACTCAAGCACATGTATGGTGCTGAAACTCAAGCACATGTAAGGTGCTGAAAATCTAGCACATGTATGCTGCTGAAACACAACCACACGTATGGTGCTGAAAGTCATGAACACATATGGTGCTGAAAGTCAAGCACAGTTTTGGTGCTGAAACTCAAGCACATGTAAGGTGCTGAAAATCTAGCACATGTATGCTGCTGAAACACAACCACACGTATGGTGCTGAAAGTCATGAACACATATAGTGCTGAAACTCAAGCACATGTAAGGTGCTGAAAATCTAGCACATGTATGCTGCTGAAACACAACCACACGTATGGTGCTGAAAGTCATGAACACATATAGTGCTGAAAGTCAAGCACATGTATGGTGCTGAAACTCAAGCACATGTAAGGTGCTGAAAATCTAGCACATGTATGCTGCTGAAACTCAACCACACGTATGGTGCTGAAAGTCATGCACACGTATAATGCTAAAACTAAAGCACACGTATGGTGCTGAAAGTCATGCACACATATGGTGCTCATAAACCAAGGATCATAATCAGGGCAAATTTCCATCCCTTGACCACAGGATCCTGACATACCTGTAAGGTATGTAACTCTGCTGTGGTGGCTAAAATGACCGGACCATCATGCCCTGGAACATGGTCTACATGCACTTTAATTTTCAGCTGTACGTATTTAAGAAAGGATATAATCCAGGATGCCCTCTATGCCCATAGGCCAACTTGGGAGGACATGTGACTCGCGCCCGCTCTCCCATACTCATCTGAAACAGAGGAAAGCATTAACTGCAAACATCTCCTTTACAAACAGTAATACATGCATATTGCTTTGAAAAGTTTGTGGTTATTATAACAAGAAAAATTCAATGTTAAAAAAAATATATATTCTGAAAACCACTATTGTGCATACAATACATTAAACTGAAATCAGGGTTTCAGATCAGTTCATTTTTCACTTTTCAATCAAAACTTCCAAAGTGACCATGTGGCAATGATATTGTACTAGACACCAAAAGAAACCCACGTAAAAAAATCATATGCACAGTTTCATTTTGCACCTATTATAGAATAAAGTTGATACTATCAGGAAAACGAATGTTATTGGTCTCTAAACTGAATCTGTAACATTGTAACTGAAGTCAAGTGTGGAATAACCAGGGTCTTCACAGGGGCAGTGAGAGACACAACAGATAGCACAGTGTTCCCGCTGGCTTTTGAAACTGTCAGTCCACCAGGACTGGCAATTCTAAAAATTACCAGTCCCCCCTAATTTTTGTCAGTCCCAACTTTCGACAAATGAAAAAATGTATGAAAATTATTTTCTTTTTTTTCTATCAAGTCTCTTTTTTTTAATATTTCGAGACTAAATCGCTGCAAATATATATTTACCCTTGAACCAAAGCGAAATGTCATTTGATAGCACAAAAAATAGACAAGGGGAAACCTAGATGGCAACTGACAAGCTGACTTTATATAAAAAATATATACTTATATGAATATGAATATGAATATTTGCCAGTCCACAGAGACTGGCAGTAACATGATTTACTGGTCGAAGCCTAATTTTACCGGTAAAAAGCTGGTAATTACCGGTAAACGGGAACACTGTAGCAATAGTACAACATGAAGAAAGTAATTGCACTCTGCAATATTCCAGCTATATGATGGCAATCTGAAATAATAGAGTCTTGACCAGACAATCCAGTGATTGATATCATGAGCATCGATCCAAGCAAAAGGGATACGATGACATGCACCAACCAAGTCAGCGAGTTTGACCACTCAATCCAGTAAGTCGCCTCTTACGACAAGCATAGTTAGTTGCCTTCTACAGCAAGCAAGGGTTGCCAAAGACAAGTTGCAACCCGGATCTTCACAGGTAGGATTTTTGCTGACTGTGGCATAAAATAACATTCACTCCATAACAGGCTAATGTGAGATTGCATCACATTATCAAAGTTGTTTTCACACATTATTGTAGGATTAGATGAGAAAGTTTACAGTGACAAAAACCTTTCATCATGTGTTTGTGGCACAGAACTGTTCACCAATGAACAGTCTCTGTACTGACATGTTACAACAGGAGAGACTGAGTCAGGGTAGACAGAACACAATCATATGTACTCACTCTTTTCACACCTTCCTCCCATCCTGAAACAGAAGGATGGTGTCCTTGTCAAACATTACACCCGGAATGTATTCCAACAGTTAACAATAGTGGCAACTGCAATTAATTTGCTTCAGACCAAAGTCACAGATTGGCTCTATATTTTCACTTGCTTTAAAAAGACTGAAGAACTTGTTAAATATCATCACGATCAGAGATTAATAAATGACACAAAGCTTCAAGAATAAATATAGGACAATAATTCTCACCTTTGATCACCTCTCCCTTACCAAGTTGGAATGTGAATGGAACACCCCTGTCTCGAGAGGAATCTACCTTCTTACCATTCTCTGTGAACAGTGTACCTGCAAAATACAAACACAAAGGCAATGTCAATATATTACAAATACTAAATATCATTTTCAATTCACCATACGCAAGAAACTATACATGCTATAAGCATTGGTTGTTACCCAGTAAATATAATAGTTTTTTTTGTTTAATGCTGCACTCAACAATAATCAAGCTGTATGACGGCTTGTAAATAATCAAGTCTGGACCAGACAATCCAGTGATTGATGTTGTGAGCAATGATCCACGCCTGCTGAGCACGATGACACACAGTCACTATCAACCAAATCAATGAGCCTGACCACCTGATCTATTAAGGTGCCTCTTATGACTTGCATAGGTTGCCACTGCGAGGGACCAGTTCTACCTCAGTGAGTGGGTACGGTTTTACGCTGCTTTTAGCAATATTCGACCAGTATCATGGCGGGGACACAAGAAACAGGCTCCACACATTGTACACACATGGGGAATTGAACCCAGGTCTTCAGTATGACAAGCGAACGCCTTTACCACTAGGCTACCCAACCGTCCCAGTTCTACCCCAGAATCCCCACTGGGTAAATTTGAGAGTAATATTGAGAATAGGTCTTTGAGAGCTTTGATGAATAGGCCAAAAAGCTAGCACAATGTCTCCAATGTCATGTTTGAAGCGAATTGACAAAGTGTGACACAATGATTTGAGCGTGCTGGCATTTGTAATATCCTCATGTACAAATTATGTCATCATGAGTGAGTGAGTATGGTATTACGGCATTTTCAAAGCAATATTCCAGCAACATCATGGCAGGGGACACAGGAAAAGGCCACACATTGTTTTGTTTGTTTGTTGTTTAATGCCGCACTCAGCAATATTCCAGTTATCGAATACAGGAATTTGCCGTGATGAGTGAAGGCTTTAACCACTAGGCTTCCCCACCACTCTAATTACGCCATAAAAATATATTCTTGCATAATAGCAGACATCTAACCGTAGCTAAGGGCGATCAACACCAGAGATGCTGCAGTACAGGGACCTGTATCAAAACCCCCATACTTCAACACTGACTCATGACATTCGTTGTGCCATAATCACTTTCTAGAATGGAGCCCTGCATTTTTTGGGTCATACTTGATTCTCAATTACCGCTCTGATTGGTTACATCTTTAACAGCCCTGCTAAGATTCTGCCTGTCCTAACAGGCGGCCAAAATGGATTGGGTCATCTTCCCAAGGCAAGGGAGTAAACCAAACTGTAAAAGTCCAGTTTCAACCCTTACCGAACTAGGCTGGAATTTTCGTGCTTGATCCTAGTGCCACCAGTGGCTATTATGGGTTATGTCTAGCATTAGAAATTGGCACTAGTCCAGTAGTCCTTGCCAAACTGCCCAATAGTAAAGGTATCACAAGGATTAGTAGAAATTTGCCATTTTTAAAGGTTTTGCATCATAAGGACTAGCGGACTGAAAATGATAGTTTCTGCCACTGGTTATGTCCCTTCTATGTCAACCTTTTGACCAATCAGATTCCACCTCTCAAATCACTTGCATTTGCTTCAAACAATTTGGTGCCCAGTCAAGACGATCAGATTGTAAATATGAAAGGATTTGGAAAATATCTGTTGATGCCAAGTCGACGGTTCACATGCTTTACAAATCCTGTAGTCGACTGAAATACGCACTGCTGTTGACGGACTGGATGTCGATTTTGTTACGCAATTTTGATTGGACTAGGCATAGACTCATTGATCCACCCAAAATATATCTCCATTATTCCAGCCGAGTTCAGCACGGGTGGAAACTGGACTTGAATTGAAATATGAAATCCTGACCACCTGTGCATCTCTGTTGAGTTAGTAACCATGGTAACACACATTGACAATACCCACCTACATAATGGAGAGTCACATACTGTCCAGGCTTCGGGTATGTTTGACCTGTGAAAAGATGTGAAAAAATAGAGTAAAATAGAGCCAAGTTCTGTTAATTGGACATGGCTGGTTGCATGTGATAATGTTGGATTATTGAGTATGTCGAATATGAAATTAAGTAGTATCAACGTTCGTGATAAAAAAATCGGACAATTACATGTCAGATAATGATACAAACACCTTGTAATAAAACAAATGAAAAATGAAATATTCATATTGTTATGCTCAATGTCAGCGGAAGGTTTTCTAATCATGCAACCTCTGAAGCTCAATACAAACCTACTGTTGCGGGCTGTATGGCTGTTTCAAAATACTTTAAAAGCATAGGCTTGAATGCAAGTCACCCGTTTGAAACTAGTGCCACAAAGCTCAAGAAAGCAGCTTTCTTAACGGCTGATGTCGACTTCCTGTTAGTCATTTCATTGGTCAGTCAAAGTTCGCGAAAGGTCATTCTGACGTGACTGAAATGGGATGTCCTCTGCTGTAGTCAGAATTTGTATCTGATTTTAATGAGATTGAGGTAATCTAAGCATGTGATTAATCCTGTTATTTAAAACATTAAATGTTTATTGTTAAGCAAGTTTATCTCTGCAGCTGCTGTAATATGCAGCTTATAGCCAACTCATCTAGCATCAAAACATGGGCTGTGTACTCGCATGTTGATGATCACTGTGATGGATTAAACAAACTGATAAATGAGTGACCTTGGTAATTTGTTTCAAATAAGGTGTGTCGGATTAACGAGTGTTGGATTAACGAGACTTGACTGTTATTTTAGTGTGATAAGTAACCCATGTACATTAGTACTTCAAACAAATCTCCAGTTATATCTCAGAGGAAAAGCTTAAGTGATGCAGGTCTCACATGTTTACCATTTTGGTGAGACCAAGCAAGCATGGGTATGGTGCGACAAACCTAGAACCAAATCAGGACGAACCAGGATTTGAACCCACGATCATGTTTCTGGTGTGCCCAAGGGACACAATTCTGCACAATTGGGGCGCCTTAGACAACTGGGCCACCTGTGGCTCCTCTTACATATCAGCAGACATGAACAAACGGCACCTGTAGATGATCACTACACCTCTTTACTGCAACACTAGTAATGGCAAAACACTAATGTCAACTGTATGACAGGGGAACTCCACCACAAAACTGCTCGGGTCATTGACTAAGATTAAAACATAACATACTCCACAAAAAGTATTATTCAGAAGTAGTGTTTTGAAGGTGAAAAATTAAAAGAGAGACCACTAATGTGGTTTACCAACTGTGTGAAACAAAGGGGTATCCTGGGGTTCCTGAGATTTGCCTCTATAGCAGCTGAATCTGGGGATTCTCTCAACATTCTCAATCTGTCATTTATTTAACATTCATCATTAGGTCATGACATGGACCCCTTTATTGTCAATACAAATATGTATTGTATATTTTCATGCTTAATTCAATAAAACTGATAAGTGTAAAAATGTGCTGGTTAAGATTAATGTGCTGAAGATGTAAGTTTTTTCACTCATAATTGATACCCTTGTCATTGAAAATGACCTAAAAAAAACAAAGTCAACAGTCATGAGTACTCCCAGTCCCATGCATGTATAATATGAGAATGAGTCATACAAAAATACAAAAAATTATAATAACAATGTATCGGTATTCATGATTTAGGTCATCTACCATACCTAAGTTACACAGCAATATTGATACACCCCGTGCATGTTTTGGGGAGAATAGTTGTAATTGATAATCAAACCTCCATCATGTCTAGTTAGGTTCACACAGACAGATTAAGGAAAAGCCCTGTAGCTCTTCATGTCAGTGTCAAGGTGAAATGAACCCCAGCAGGGTTTTATAAATTGTTGGAATTCGCTCAAATGAATGTGTATGGCTCAGCATGAAAATGGTAGGATGATCATGATGATGAAAGTGCTTCAACATGTTCAACAAACTCAATGATCATGTGGACTTGGCTCTATGTAACAGCATGACTACAGGATTCTTCAATTAAGAGACAGTTTTGCTGGTGAAAAATAATCCAGTGTTGTGTATCAATATATCTCAGATGTGTGTATTTGACTACTAACCGATAATCTATTAATTTAGTTACACTTAATAGTCTTATCATCGATGTGTCCTGGACAGCATTTCAACCTCTGTGACTGAAGAGACACATCGTAATCAACGGACTTTTACAATACGGCTAAATATAATTATTAGGTGTTCATGTTGTTAAATAGGGTTACTAATAACATGAAGCCCAAAGCTTGGTTCCTATCTAAATATATATTATATTAACGATAAACACTATCAACAGGGGCCCTTATCATGATGTAATGCTGACCACAAGAAGCAGACATGACATCATCTATGTTGACAGACTGTCACAGACAGGGAGTGTCTGGCGCTCTAATTGCAGCCATTGGCGATTTATTTAGCAACTAACGGTACGCAAAACATTTCTGCTATCAAAAACCAACCGTCTTACCGTCTCCTTCCTTAATTGTTTCCACTGTCACGCCCATCATGAGCGGCCAAGCAGACAGAAGAAAGCAATTTTGCACACCTGAGTTTCTCAGTCTCGCTTGGTCTCGCAAGGTGCGAGACACAATGACGCATGCGCAAAGCCAGTGCGGGAAAGAGCAATGTACGAAGTGGGAAGAAGCGAAAACTGAGACAGAAATGTAAATTTAACATACCTTGTGATCGTTTACTATATTTCTGTATGGAATTAATGAATGATTATAGTCAGTTTCACTTTGTCTGTTGTTGTCATGCAAAAGTGTGACGAAAGTGTTTGTTGATTCATTTGCAACAAGGTGGCCTCATAAACTTGGCATACAGCTGGTAATAGTCCTAGCCTAGTAGTGTTTAGACTATGTGTAATAAATGTTACTTTTCGGTAGAATCATTGGGCTATGACATATGGTTTCCGGGGACAACTAACGTATAAAACAGCCACACCTATGCATGTATATTTAGGGGTATATTGCTTTGTGTCTTTGCCAATTTAGTGTTGTTAAATTTTCAGTTGCCATGGATTTTGATCAAACACAAGTCATAGCACTGGATGAATTTGAGGATGACACAGATGAAAACATTTCCCAGTCTCAGAAAAGTCCAGTAAGTATAGATGTCAATGTCAGATAACAGATTTGACTTCAATGTGTTAATCAAACAAATATTAACTCGATCTAGTCAGTGTTAGAAATTGGCTCTATAGTCCTGTAGTCCTTGCCAAACTGCCCTATAGTTAAAGGGGCACTGATCTACAGCAACTCCCCAGGACTGGTTGTTGCCTTCGTTTTTGTTTTTGCCCTGTGACAACCCGGATGATATTCCAGAAATCATGACTCTTTCGCAACCTGTACTGCACCAACAGTGTGCGCATTTGTTGCTTTTATTGATAGTATAAGGGTGTATCATCACATTGATCAATTGATACAGTTTTTTCTTGGAAATAAAAAGGAAATGTAGGTATCTTGGGGGGTAGCATCGTTAACATGGTTAATGGTGATGAAGTTTGGATGAGTCATTGCTTGTTTTGTATGATTTTCGTTTACACTACATTGACTTGTAACTCAAACTATATATTTCACCTGAAGATTGCTTACTATCATGTGTATATGTTATAGTCAGTGTGTAAAATGACTAAAATATTCTCCTTGGCAACTTATTAAATGCCTAAATATTCTGTTATTATACAAATTGACTGAAAAATCTGTCCATTTATTTCATTATGATAACAAATTCCAAACATTTGGTGTTTTATTTCATCACCAAGTGACTGAAAGCAAAGAAAAAAAACCCGAAAGTCAAGTTCATTTCTATATTTTTTGGTTTCTAATCCTTGCATAATTTGTCAATTGTGATGTTTTAAGCCCTTTTGAACCTTTAATAATCTTTTAGTCAATCCGTTAAATAAACGGACAGGTTTACAATTTGTAGAATGGCTGAAATATTTAGACATTTTATTAATTGCCTGAGTCAACCACATTTTACACATTGACTGTAACATATTGACACCCGCAGATGAAAAGGCTTTGTGTTGTGTGTCTCACATCGGAGAACTTCCCAACGAAAACATAAAGGAACAAGAATGATTTGTTTTTTTGGCTACAGCAAACAAAATGCAGATATTGGTCTAACAACTGACCAAAGTTATATGTATAATATTCGGCAGTTACATTCGGCAAGGAATGTATCCTTGAATATCCACATAAAGGTACAATATCCCATATGGTGGAGCTGTACAAAGAAACTTGTTTGATGTCATGTCTTTGTAACAATCTGTTATTTTATAATATATGTAGCGTTGCTGGATATAATAACTTGTATTCGTCTCAAACTGATCACATAAGTTTGTTTCGGGTGTTTCACATAGGTGTCAAGTCTTATTGGTCATCTGAGATAGCACAAGTGACAACTACTTTCGTGATGTCCACGGTTCTTTGAAAAAGTCCATTGAGTTAGATGACAGTGAGCAATCAATTAACATATTATCGGCTATTCCTTTGAAAAAATATGTAGTCGCTTCACTCCCAGATATGGGTGTATTCTCTCTGCTTTAGTAAACCTAATAATGAAAACACTTACCTTTTCACAATCCACTGCAAGATAACAATGATTAATCATTCAACATATTTCCATATTAAGCTTTGATGGATGTTGTTTTTTTGTAACCATGGTAACTCAGCTGGTCATACTGATTAATTGTTTCTTGCTACGTTACAAAACCTATGTTTCACCCTACTTCAAACCTGGATTTAGATTGAATAATGACCCCAGACACAAGAAATGACAAATGGGAACCTTTATCAGGTAATTTCCGAGTGGTGCTACCACTGATTATACCTGTAGCGAATTCATTAACTAATCATAAAGGGAGTGTTGACAAATACATAGGTGTAGGGTTATACCAGGAAACATGTCAAACAAGGGAATAGCAATCATATTGTACACGCAATCCGAAATCTGATACTTTTTATTAAACTATAACTCTCATCCCTGATTTCCAAAGAACGACGTCCGATGAGCTTCCACCCTTCTTTTTGTCTGTTTTTGTGTAGGTTGAAGAAATTAATTAACATGCACCCTTTGTGTGATCAAAATCTTCATCGATCACCAGTAACCAATCAGTGTTTGGAAATGTATATAGATATTGCCTCCAAGTTTATTTACGCTGTCCTTACTGACTGTAGCCCAGTCTCTTGTCTCGCTCAGTTGCATTAGCAAGCAAATCAACTCTTGTCAGCTAGTGTGCCCTAGTGGGCAGTGTTAGACAGCCGGAAAGAAGCCTGAGACTGCCCCTTTAAGGTATCTGAAGGACTAGTAGAATTTTGCCTTTTTTTAATGGTTTTGCTATGATTATGTTATTATTAGGACTAGTGGACTGAACCTGTTAGTTTCTATCACTGCTTACAGATCCGTTACATGTACATAATTAACATTGTCTTTTGTAACCACACCATGCTTTATTCATGTTTTTGTTAGGAATGAACAAAATATTATGAATCAGGATAGTACAGAAACATTATTAAAATATTTAACATATTAAAATACCCTCCTGCAGGTGGCTCATTTGAAAGTTGGTTGCCAGAAAGGTGTTCCTGAGAAGCTGTACCCACTGTATGAAGGTGAGGTACACTATCATTACTGCATGTTGTCTCTATATGAGGTTAAGCTGAGGCAGAGGCACGGGCAACCTTGTTGCTAAGGCGCCGCACTATGCAGAGTTGCATCCCTTGGGCATGCCAGAAATCTATGATCGTGGATTTGAATCCTGGGCCACCTTGATCATGTTTGTAGGTTTTTCAGTACCATGCCGTGCACCCTATCTTCACACTTGTTATACTGTTTCAAGTAAATAAGAAATATATAGTAGGTAAATATGTCATATCCTTAGCATATGGAGCTATTTAGCCAATGTGTTGCCGTTACAATCAGGAAATTTGGGTGCTGTGTCTGATCTCCTCTATACCTGTACACAGGGGTACTAATACTGAGTTGAGCCATCAAAGTAGTCGTTCCTGCAGGTCTGTCGAAAACATTAATTTTGGTTGCCTTTGTTTTAAGTTTTTGACCATTGTTCACAATGGCAAAATGACATGAATAACTGTGGTGTCTTTCAGTGATCTCTTTGGCCACCTGAAGAAAATATATTTGTAGAACCTTGAAACCATTGTATTGTTCCATTGGCAAGGGAGTTTTGTTTGACACAGTGTTTTGTATTTGTAGTTTATCACAACATGTCGCCCCAATTGGGGTGAAAGCCCACCCAGATGTTTTTTAGAGTTGTGACGATACACATTGAAACCGATGTGATATGTATCGCGATATTTGCTTTACGATTCGATTCGATATGTATCATGATACACAATTTACTGCTGAACATGCCTGTTTTTAAGAAAATAAAATCTTTAAACTAGCGAGACTAGACAAGATTAAACGTTGCATAGCAACCTCAAACATTGCGGCGTCCACGAGACAGCGTTTCCGGTTGTATTACATGTACAAGTAAATATTTTGTTTCAGAACAGATTAATTTATTCAATGAAATGTATAGTTATTGTATCGATACATAGAAACCATATCGATATATCGTATCGGATACCTAGAGATAGTGATTCAAATACATATTGATTAATCGTCACAACTCTTATGTTTTAAGTGAAATACATTGACACAGGTATTGATAAGAGACACCAAGAGCCAGTCTGGGATTCAAACCCACAATCTCTGTATCCTGATTACCAAGGGAAGCAACTCTGTCGTTTTTGGATCCTTAAAAAAACATGTAATATCACTTTTTGTCATTGTGTAGAACATTTACTTTTACTACAAGTAGCTTTTTACTTTTTCAGGTAACAATATTGTTGGCCGACAAGAGGATTGTAATGTATATATCCCCAGTAAGGTAACTAGAACTTTTCAGTAGTCCACATAAATGTTTTTGCCCAATTTATGATAGCAGATAATTTCAAATGAAAACAGCATCAGATGTATCCTCAGGTTATCATTGTTATCTGTTTTTATGCACATGAAAAAAAATAAATATATTGTGCACCTCCCAACATTGAAAACATGCCCAATATGGGTGTTATGCATGTGAAGCAGGATGTGGTGTCATCCTACAGATAACTAGTGTCTGTACCTTGTCTGCTTGTTGACAGGGTTAATCTCTTCAGTCATTTGCCGTAAAAGGTGACTATGCTTGTTGTAAGAGGCGACTAACGGGATCGGGTGGTCAGGCTTGCTGACTTGGTTAATGCATGTCATCATACCCAATTGCATGGATCGATGCTCATGATGTCAATCAACGCATTGTCTGGTCCAGACTTGATTACCTACAGACTGCCATCATATAGCTGGAATATTGCCGAGTGTGGCGTTAAATAACTAATAAACAAACTTTGGTCATGGACAAGGTGTCCGAGACCACTGGCTTGTTAATTCAAGACGCAAAAGTACCAAGAATAGTGCTGTTGTGGCATAAAACTACATTTATTCTTTTGCGTTCACAGGGGTTGATTTAAGTGATGGCCTGTTGGCCTGTGGCCAGTTAAAAGTACAAAGGGCTTGCTGAAACGTAACATAGATGGCCCTTCTGTCTTGTCAAAACTTCACCCTTTCTCTATGTAGGTGTAATATTTTAAATTGGACACTACTCGTGAATCCTGTAATTGGGCCGACAAAATATTTAGAGGGGATGAGGTCATGTGAATGGTCAACTCAAAAAGAGATATATGTCAATCATCTTGGTAGAATGATAACCGGACGCCATTTTGTAATGTTGTGTACAACAACATCTTTATTTGCTCAATAATCACCACAAAATGTGGCAATGGAAGCCAAGAGTGCAGGAAAAGGCGTTTCAGGGGTGAGGTCTTCTAAAAATTTCAGAGCTCCGCTAAGAAGCTACACAATCTCAGGTTCAGCCATTTCTCAGCCTCCACCATTTAGTTGTGGGCCAGTTAGTTTGGAGAAGGGACTTTAAAAAGAAGCATGCCCTGCTGGCTACGTACAAATTTGATGTTAAATCTACCCCTGCATACTTGATCATTCTTGATCAGTTGCAATAATGTTAGTCTTGTAATATGTTGGGACCTAGGCGCTGTCGAAGCAGCATGCATGTGTTGAGATCCAAGGAGACAGTCACTTGATATACGACAGCGGCAGCAGGAACAAGACCCGGCGTGGCAGGGTAAGTCAGCATCCACGGTGCACACTTTTCTGAGGATTTACCGTCAGATTTCTTGGAAACTTGTGTGATAGATAATCATTATGAATATCAGTAATTACAGTGTTTGAAATATCAACAGATGGTCAGGAGTTTAAAAAGTCCACCAGTTTAATGTTAGTAAGTACCATGATTACAGAGTTTAAAATACCCATCTGCCCAACAGTACGAGAGGGTCTATTTTGCTGACAGACGGTCAGTTTTGAAAAGTTTCACGCCCAATGGTCGGGAGATTAAAAGGTCCACCAGTTTAATGTTATTTTCTGAGAACTAACATTTTCTACTTCTCATAATCGGTGTATATATGTTTGAAACGAGATTGTCATGCAATTGTGTGTCGTAGTGGGGCATTTGTTTGGGGGAAACAGGTGTGGGGGGGATGGTGTGTTCTGAGGGCTGATTCCAGTGTGTCTGTATGTTGGTGTCCGTCTATCTGGTGATCGTCAATAGAGGTGGAGTAAGTGTTGGGCTGTTGTATTCAGTGTTCAAGTTCATCGTCAGAGACGTGTCTGTTGACACTCTTTCTCCATAGTGAGGACTTTTTTTCATTGTGTGATTTCAGCGGTTTCTGACGCCCAACGTCCGCTATGAGCTGAACCACAATGATGCTCTTGTGTTTGCTGATATCCAGGCATCCTACCTCATCAGCAGTGATGTAAGTCCAGAGCACGAGATAAGCTGCATATTTACATACAAAATAGGCATAAATTAAACTGAAATATGCAGACAAATCCAATCCTAGCATATCAGATACTCAACAAAAACTATAAATACGCTATCGAAATAAAATTAATGTGTATATTATAACTATAAGTTAATACGATTGCGTATATTAAAAATGTTAGCTAAGCAAATCAATCACCAAATTCACTTACCGACAGTTACATTCTGAAAAGCTTCTGCGACAAACATACTGATAGATGCCAATTGAAAAGCAATCGTGCCTTAGACCCTGATTGGTAATTAAAGAATTAAACATATACAAAAAAATGGCTTCCCAGAGAGGGAGCTGCAAACAGACGCAGACGGGTATACTACTATTCATATAGTTTTACATGATTTACAGGGATTGTTACGAAACATGTTTTAAGTTAAATGCCCAAATGTGAAGAAGCAGGTGGGTAAACAAAAACTGAATACCCCTAAATTGTCATCAATACTTAATTTATTTTTCCATGATGTGCATGACATTCCTACCACAGAAGGTAGGCAGACGCCAGTGTGTGAAATGAATGGTAGACCTGTGGCCCTGGTTATCAAAATTCTGATGGCCTACAAGACAGATTGTCTATGGTGATTAAATTGAAGGATCAGCGTTTGTTTACACATTTTAACATTGTTCAGACTTTGTTTATCTTGTCAATTTGACAACATCTATTCATTTAACTTGTTTATGCAATGTAAAATGCTACAAGAAATATGTAAAAAAAGGTCTTTAATTCTTGCTCCCAATTGCACCATTTGTAGTCTGCTTTTTAAACTTCAAAGGGTGCATGCCCCTGTATTCCCCAAGACGTCCGAAATGCATAAGTTTTGCGTGTTGGGTGGTCCACCTTCAAAGGTTCTGGGGCTACTAGAATGTTTCTTGATACCCCAGTGGGCTAATTGTTATACTTCTTGATGTCCTACACAGTCCTACAATGTTAAAGGTTACCATAGTTACGAAATGGGTATATGTTGTTTGCCAGTGTTTTTGTTCTCCAGTATCAGACACATATTAACCCCCCAAAATGTGACTTGGATCGGTAAATTAAAGCGTCGTAGGTCCTTGTGTCTATTTCAAATACAGTTAATCTTTTGACCCCTACACAGCCCACAGTGTAATTCTTCCATATAGCTTAATCATGTAGATATTGTATTTGGATCAAAAGCATTTATTACACCAAATACACACCATGCTTTATTGGATTATACTGAGACAGACAGGGTAAATGTTGAAATGAAACTGACTGATAAAGTTTTAATATCTGGTACATTTGTGACTTTAGCCTCTAGTCTGAAGCCCGAGTCTAGTAAACTTCTGTTTGGCCTGGGGAGCTCAGCTAATTTAGTGTTCGTACAGGCTTGTAAAAGACTGGAATTTTCAGGTCCCTCTTGAAAAGCCTAGAATTTTCAGGTCCCTCTTGAAAAGCCTGGAATTTTATTGTCAACTTTGAAAAGCCATGAAAATCACCAAAATAACTTGAAAAGCATTGAATTTGTTCAAAATGACATATACATGTTAATCAAAGTTAGCAAAGCTCACAATAATATGTGGCAAAGATATTTAAGTGTGATTTATAACAGTGGTAAGATTTGGTGCCAAACACCCTGAACAATTCATGACCGACTTAATGAATGTTTTTGTTGGGTGAAAACTAATGTGTGTGAACATTAATTGGAATAAGTTGGAAAATGTGTGATGGTCATTCTGCTTTTAAGATCTTACAACTCTATGTATGATCTGCTGGATTTAATACCATATTGACAGACTGAGGCTAATAACCCAACTAAGAAAAGCCTTGAAAATGACAATTGGCAGCCTTGAATTTTAGTGTTCCATATCTGTTTGAACCTTGTAATAACAGTCCTCATAATAACACTAAACTCAACTAAAAATGATGCTAACAAGTCAGGTTTACCTAGTCTAGTAGTCTCAAAACATTTTTGGAACAGACTTGGTATTTTCTTATGCCGGCAATCCCTCAATGTCTAGCTGATACCAGGGACCGCCTCCGTGGTCTAGTGGTAGATGGTCCGCCCGGAGAGCAAAAGGTCCGGGGTTTGATCCCCGGCCGCGTCATACCAAAAGACATTAAAAGATGGTACTTGTTGTTACCCTGTCTGGCTCTCGGCATTAAGGGGCTAAAACAAGGACTGGTCGGCTCGGAGTCAGTAAACAGTGTCTGAGTGGGGTATTCATGTTAAACTGCGGCATGGCATCTCAGTGAGCTAGCACTATAAATCGGCATCAGTCCGGACTAGTACAAGCAGCCACACACACACAAGAGCATGCACGTCGCTATATAAGTGCAATAATCTTGGACGCTACGTTAAACCCAATTTCACCTCACCTCACCTAGCTGATACCAAACCCACCAGAAACACTGACCAGGGCCCCTTTTCACAAAGCAATGGTAGCGCTACGACTGTCGTAAGTCTATGTCAAAGTATGGGAGTTTCGTCTTCATAGCACTAAGATCGCTTTGTGGAAAGGGCCCCAGGGCTGTGAAGGATGGAATATCTTGACTAGTGACAAAGTCTGCATTGTCCCACTAGTACTCGGCAATACCTTCAGCCTTCAACATGTTCAACAATACATGTTACATTGTGGTCCAAACGGGTCAGTATAATGAGATACTATGCAAACAAATGTATTTCTTTGAGTTTTGTCAGTAGTGAAATAAATTAATATATATGTTGTAAGCCAATCTCTGACTAGTACTATTTCTCGCCTAGGAGTTTTTAGCATTTGATTCCCAACATGGGTACAATGTGTGAAGCCCATTACTGGTGTCCCTAGCTTGAGTTAGTTCAGTCAGTGTGTTTGTGTACATGTAACCATGGTAACTGTTTGGAACTTAGGTGCCTCGTGTTGAGGACTCTGGGTCCGAGACTGGCTCAGAGTCGATGCTGCAGACAGTTGAGGCATCTGACAGTGCTAATGTCAACCCAGTGTTGGACAAGACGGCAGAAGATGACATGAGTGACGCCAGCAGCGACATCCTTCAACCTACGCAGGTATGCCATACCCTCTTAATATCAGTCACTGCTGAACTCCAAGCCCAACACAATGAACATTCTGTGGTAAAGTTTAATAAATTCTGCACCCACTTCATGAATTCTGCACAAACTTTAGCAATCTCTTATACTATGTTTTCTTCAAACATGTGCTTCCGGTAATCACATTATAAAAGTTGGATTCACGTGGAAATGAGAAGCAGGGATTGTTGAAGACCAATACTCAGCCGGATCCTAGGGTATTTAAATGTTTGGATAAGGTGGACTCCGAAAATTGTTTCACACGTTTATTAATTTCGCTTGACAAAATGTTTGGGGCTTCACCAAAGCAAAATGTCTGATAGATTGGAACTTTCTGAAGTGGCTAAAAATGCAGAACACCCTTTAATAGACCTGTGTGAGATAGTTCCCCGATTATGTTTCTAGGTTTGTCAGTACCGAACCTGGATTTCACCAAAGTGGTAAACACCTGCATCACCTTGGGCTTTCCTCCCACATTAAGCTGACATACCCTGAAATAACTGGAATACTGTTCAAAGCTGCATTAAACCCAACTCACTCACTCATTATTGTCAAAGCAAGCCTCATATGCAAAATGATATGCTAAGATGAACGATGTCAAGTTAAAATTAATAACCTGAACAGGGCTATCTTCATTTCAACTTTGGGAGAATTGCCAACATTTCCTGCCGAATCGGGTCAAATATATTGCCTTTTGAAAAACTTCAATAAATCCCGGTATTTATTTTCTCCAACGTCAACTAAGAATCTGTGCTGAATGGAGAGTGACACAGTGTGAGAAGTTCTAAGTGTTGATACTGTCGTCCACAGCCGTCTACTACTGGCCCCTCCTGGACAAGTGGCCGGATGCTGGAACCCACACAGTTGGGTGTGACGGACAGTCCAGGTGAGGCACATGTTCGTGTTGATTTGCCATGTAACACTTTGGTACATTGTAGTCGGCGACTTCAGCCATTCACCTGAAGCTCAAGTCCACGTTTCATGGGAAAAACTATAGGCCCAACCACTTTAGCTGAAGCAGGGAGACATACTCTTGCTATATAAATTACAACACACAACCAGTCAACCAGAAATGTTTACTGATATCACATCAGAGGAAATATTAGCTTTTATTACATCTTTGCTACTACAGTCGTGCCTCGTTTATACGGACACTTGCGTCATTTCACAATTTCGTCCGTATAAACGAATTTCCGTATAACCGAAACCAGCTTCTTACTGGAAGAGTTACTTCCCTTCAATTATGCAACTCATGACAGATGACAGAGCAAACAGATACATCCACTCAATCTTTATTCATACACATTTCAAAAAGTCTGTCATGGAAGTTTGAACTGTCACCCATTGTCGATTTTCCTATGGTGTGTCCAAATTCAGTGCCATAATGCTTACTGATGGTTTCTAAACTTGCTGACGGTGTTTTACTTTAAACAGACAAATTTCCCTTTTTTCGCGTGCTGTAACTGCGTGTCGCTTACGTTTCGCTGGTTGACAGGCCATACTTACACAACTTTGACCTCTGACCTCCACAGACGCCATATTTATCGAATGGGATTACATGTACAATAAACAAGCTCGTCTCAAACGTAACTCAGTGTCACTTGGTTAATTGACTTCTCACGAATCAAAGGATTACAACCAGCAGAAGTGTATTGTCCGGATAAGTCAGACAATTTTGTGTGCATTTCAGTGTTTTGTGTATGAAAATGACCGTCCGGTTCCGGAAACTGAATTTCCAGATATACGGGTAAATTTATATAGTAATTATTTCGTTTTGAATGAAAATCGTCCGGGAACCGAGGTTTCCGGATATCTGAAGTCCGTATAAACAAGGCACAACTGTACACATCATTCACCATTTGAATGGTCTAATCCTACTATTTATAAATATGAAAGTTATGCTTATCACATTATTTAAATAATGCGTTAATAACTTAATTAAGTTCGTTTTTTATTAAAAAAACTTAAGATAACACATTCATAACGTCCAGATTAAGTACCAAGGAAGCCAAAATTATGGCGTTTTTTGGCAATTTTAAGATTCATAATAGAGCAATCCACTAGCTTATTTCTTTTTTATTTTCATTGTTAAAGTAATCTGAAAATGCTGATAAAAAGAATTTTAAGTACGATCTATCTTCACATATTATTATCGTTTCCTGATAATAGTGGCTTTCCGCTCACTGACATGACGTATGTTTAACATATGGAGCTTCGTTGATGTATCGTGCTAGGCTACGACCTGTGACAAAGACTTCTCATGCATATATTTTGGCATTAAACTTGAGGTCCTAGCCTAAAATCGATGCTTCAAATGCCAATATGTAATTCGACTTAAATGTAACTTTGATGTAACTTTGACAATTTTTAGAAATATGTTTGTTGATTTTATTATTACTTTATTTTATTTATTTACAATTTGCTTGAAACGTCTTCATATCAGTTATATTGCTCAGTGACATGTTCGATATGGACCCGTTCAATTGTCAAAGCATGTGTCCAAGATTGTTATTTTTTCAATAACATTGGGGGAAATAGTTCATTATTTTTCATCTATTGATAAAATATGATAAATTAAAATACATATTTTCTGACATTGTGAAAAGTGATAGATTTAATAAATGAATAATATGACAGGTAGGTTCAGGAAACTATATATTATTTTTATGTAGCTACAGTGTGTGGCCGGTACACCGCCATGCAGTGTTGAAAGAGTTATCAAGCGGAATACTTTGAAGCTGGACCCTGTTTCACCAAGCAATCTCAGTGTTATGATTCATTTACCATGCCTACAGCTTAAAATAAAATGCAGGCTGAAATTTAAAACTATCACCCTGAGAACACATCTGTCTATTTCAAACACTGTGTGATGCCCATTTCTGGTGTCCCCGCTGTGATATCGCTGGAACATTGCGTAAAATCCAACTCACTCACACATGGCTTCTTAAAATGCTGCAATCTGAGCAACATTCCTGATTTCTGTATTGCGAAAACAAACATAAACATGGGTTTTTCAGATTAAAAACGATGTTTTATTGGTCTGTTTTCAGTCGTACAATTGGGTATCTCATACCTCTAGTCGCACGTTAAAAGGAAGCCAGAAGCTGGAATGTAAACAATAAACTTGTTTCCGTCCGGTTGCGCACGCACCTCCCTGTGACATGCCACAAATCTCGAAGAATAAGCCATCAAGCAGGACTGGACTGGATTACTTCCCAGTGGGGATGGCTGGATGGGAACGTACGACTGAAAACAGACCAATAAAACATCGTTTTTAATCTGAAAAACCCATGTTTTAGTCTGTTTTCAGTCGTACAATTGGGTAGAATTCGACGGAACACTGGAAGGAGGGACGGGAAAGTAATCAGGAAGTGACCTCTTTCACGTCGAATGTACCAAGTTCCTCACCCCTGTAGTGACAATAGAACATTCGACCAGATGCACAGACGAGACAAAATGTTTTTCACGAACGCACAGCATGGTTAATGCTCATCGACACACAACTAATTATCGATGCGACAGGACAACTGCACGCGTCAGTTGAACTGCGATCGAAGTGGTCGACGTATAGTTTAGTTACAGAGCAACTCGCAGTATACAAGGTAACTAAAACAGCATGTTTAATGCTCTTCGACCCACAAGTAAGTATCGATGCGACAGGACAACTGCACACGTCAGTTAAATTGCGATCGAAGTGCCCCCGCTGGCTCTGTCCCCCCCTCTGATACTTGAAAAAGGAGACCTGGCGACCTTTTCTGTCCGCATCTCTCTCGTGGGACGGCTGTCGAGGCGTGTCCCTACGAAAGGCCTGTTGCACATTCTCGTTTCTATAACGGCGTCGTGGGGCGTTCAAAACCGGTGGCCGCCTGGACATGTTGTGTGAAGCCGAAATGATGATGTCACGCTCGGCTTCCTTGGAGTATTTGTCCAGAACATCGTTGGTACGACCGTCAAACAACTGTTGCGATGACCACGGGGCCCGTAAGAGTGTCCTGCCATGATGATCAGGTAGGTCAGTGCAGGCGATGTAACCATGACGACGTGCCGTAGTAATCTGGCCCGATACATATCGGGACTGGGCGAGGACGTCCGAGATCCACCGTTGCATACAGGTGAGGATTGATGGCACCGTCTTTTCGTCCTCGTCGAGGGGGTCTTTCTCCTCAAAGTACACTGAGAGGGCCTCGATCGCTGTCGACAGCATAGCAAGCGGTTGTAGCTGGTGACGAACAGCAGTGTCCATGGATTCCAAATGCCTGTCTTCTACTAGAATCTTGGAGGGCGCTGGTGTCTTGAAGAGTAGCCCCCAATCCAAGTCCCTACTCATGGGTGACGAAAACGGCATGCCATACATCGGGTAACTAGATCGACCAGGCGGCTTGTTGAAACTCTGTCCCGGTAGAGCAGAGGCAAAGTTCTGGTCCATATCGTGAGCCATGGCTCTGAAGACATTGGGAGGTGAAAACTGAAGAGACTGTGGCGTATCACCGACCTTAAAGCCAGCACGCGTCGGTTTGTCGGCATCATTGATAACTCAGGCAGAAAGTTAGATAGCCAAGCAAACAACTCAATGTCTTTGGGAGGCCTAGGAGGGCTATCGTCAAAATCCATCGTCGACGTCGATTGTGTAGGCGTAGATGAAGGAACTGGTGTACTGGTCGATGGTCCATGGACCTCCGACGTAGTGGAATCCTTCTTGGTCGACGCCGTCGAGGCGAGTACCGCCGCTGTGATCTGGGCTATCAAAGTCGGTCGGTCATCAGCTCTACGACGCTGATCTCCAAAAAACTCCCTTCGAGAACGTCGCACGTCCCCGTGGGGGCGAGGGCTACGATCTCTTACTGTAGAAGTACTACGATCCCGATCGTAGTTATCGTCCAAAACGAACTCACGACGTCCACGAAGGCGACGAACGTCCTCGTGTCGTTTACTGTCTCTCGACGAGGCCCTCGACCTGTCGTCCCGTGAACGGGAACGACTTCTAGAGAGGGATCTGTGTTCACTGTCGACCCACACGACATTCCGATCGTCGTTGGTAGGACGAGAGACGGACCGACTGGGGACCGTAGTCCCCCCGTGGTCCTTGTAACCACCCGGTCCCCTCGTAACGGGGGTGGCTGAGTGACGCTCTCGATCAACCGATTGACGAAGATCAGTCGTGCGGGAAGTATCATCAGCAGGCGAACAGTCACGTGTCTTGTCGAAAACATAAGTTGACTGAGGCGGGTCTTTATCAACTGATTTCTTGGGTGTGGCCGACGCGCCACCCCCAGGGCCAGATGTAGAGGGTGCAGAGTCCAAGGATCCACCCGATGACCTTCTCTGCTTGTAGCGCTGGTCAGTAGCCCGCTTCGCCAACGCACGAAGATACAAGTTAAAGTTGATAGAAGACAAGTGCTCACATTCTTTACAACGTTTGTCCCACGAACACGTTGAAAACCCGTCCTTAATTATGCAGGAAGGACAATACTTGTGAGGATCTACTTTAGACAGTTTTCGTTGACACGAGGCACAAATGCCCGACATCAAGTCAAACAGTGAAACACGTGTTGAACACAAACAATGGATTACCAAGGATTACATTCCAGGAGTCTACAGGGAAGACAAATTATCATTACTTTATTAGAACAACAACTGTAGACACACGATAAGTACTAGTAGAATACAAACTAGCAGTCTATTGCGAAAGTCCTTCTCGAGCGACCAGCTCAGAGGCGCGCTGAAAGATTTGTTGGATGTCACAGGGAGGTGCGTGCGCAACCGGACGGAAACAAGTTTATTGTTTACATTCCAGCTTCTGGCTTCCTTTTAACGTGCGACTAGAGGTATGAGATACCCAATTGTACGACTGAAAACAGACTAAAACAGGTAGTTCTGAATGGAAAATGACAAAGGTCTCCGTGTGTCATGGATATTTTATACACATGGTGAGTTATTTTGATGATATTGAAACAAGACAAGAGAAAAAATTTGTGCACACTGGTATACAAGCAGTATATGCATGGGAAACGTGTGTTGTAGATGGTGTTGCAGGTGATCTGACCATTGGGGAGACGCCGCTGCCGAAGAAGAATCAGTCAGGTAGGTGACAAGCAACCTCCCCATCTTTTCTCTGAATGTTCCATGTTTAAACTGTTGGAATCTGGGGCGCTCGGGTAGCGGCGTAGTTAGAACATCGCTCGTCACACCGAAGACCACGGTTCCATTGTCGATATGGGTACAATGTGTGAAGCACATTTCTGGTGTCCCCCGCCATGATATCACTCTCACTCACTCGCTCACTCACTTTTGGAATCTGTCAGAATAGGGCTAAGTTCCCCTTTACATCAAGGAAGCTTTTACTTAATGCTGCACTCAGCAACATTCCAGCTTTTTGATAGCAGCCTGTCAATAATCAATTGTGGACCAGTCATACCAGTGATTGATACTGTGAGCTGATCCACACCGTCGGGGAACAATAACACGCTATCAACCAAGTACCTGTCCTGTCCGGCCGATCCATCTGGTTGCCTCTTCTGACCATCATATGTTGCTTTACTTCTTAGGTGGGACAAATCCAAAGATGATGTGTTTTCAAATTCATCCTGATTGTTATGCTTGTTTTGACCATTCTCGTGGGTTTCAACAAAGTGGTAATGTCTACGAACTGCATCACAGTCTCCTCATTAGGCTGCATCTTCCTGAGGCAAGGGAGTTAACTGACTATAAAAGTCCAGTTTCCACCCTTGCCGAACTAGGAGTTATATTTTGGCTCCAATAATGAGTCTATGCATAGTCCAATCAAAATCGCGTAATGAAATCGACATCCGGTTCATAAACTGCTGTGCAGATTTCCGTCATTTGCAGGATTTGCAAACCATGTGTACCACCAAATCAACATCAATGGATATTTTCCAAATGTTTTCATGTTTTTAATCAAGGTGTTCATATGTCTGGATTCACTTCACGAAGTAAGACTCTTTATATTACAAAAACATTTTTGTTTATTTATCAGTTCGTCTTGACTAGGCATCACCATTTTGTTTGAAACAAATGCAAGTTATATGAGAGGTGGAATCTGATTGGTCAATAGGCGGGGCATAGAAGGGACATAACTCGTAATAACTGCTGGTTATCAAAGTATTGATCACTGTCTTGTCTCGGTTATTTACAAGCGACCAACATATAACTGGGATATTGCTGTGTGCGGTAATAAACAGCAAACAAACCAACAAACACATTTACAGACCACCATGTAAGATCTGTAATTCACACAATAACAACACGGCCATAACTAGCCATGTCTGTCAAGTGTCATGTGACGTCATTCGTGAGACAAATGTCATTCTATGCTTCTTCAGCTGACCTTTCAACCCTAGTGCTGCCCGAGTCCGACACAGAGGACGACAGTGACGGGTCTAAGGTGAACCCCCAGGCAACACTCATGTTTGAAGAAGGTAGATATAGTCACGAATGGTCTTATCATGTCTTAGTTTTACCAGATATCAATTTGAATTTCGAGTGAGATTTTCCTTGATTTTCAGATTCTGAATGTTCTTTGCTATGATTTCCCTAAACATTGCTCACAGCATCTTTATCCGATGCGGCCATATTGAGAAACCCATGATTATATCTTCATAGGCCAGGTGAGCTGCAGAGCCTTGTGGCTCTATTTTTGTTACCGTATTTTCTTGAGTATAGTGCACACCCATGTATAATGCGCACCCCCCTCTAGCGGATTCAATATTTTGGAAAAAAAGAAATTTGAATATTATGCGCAGATAAAAATTACACTGTACCCCTTCAGCGAAGTCCGGCAAACGAACGGGTGATGAGAAACTTTGTCAGTACAAATTCGAAATTTGAGATAAAAAATCACAAGACATGTTGATTTACCGTTTAAATTGTATTTTTTGTTCTACTAGGCATTGTTTTATATCAGGGATTAAGATTACCTTGTGTATTTTCTCGTAAACTAAGCCGGACACAGCAATCAGCTGTACACACGTTTTCTTGGAATCTACCGGTGATTCGGTCAAGACACACCCAATGATATAACTTTACAGTATTTTAATGCAAGGATCGGCAAAAATTGTATCTGAAACTATTTTTTTATCAGGAATAATTTAGATGCAGCTTTTACTGAACATATTTAAAATAATAATAACCCTAAGTGAAGCAGCTGATCGCTATTGCTGGGTAATATTTTTTACATGGAACCAGTCTGACCATTCACCGTCAAGGCTCCCGTGCACGTGATCGCGAGAATTACGTGTTGACATAGAATCGTCTAACAAAAACAAATATGACTTTTACCGAATCAAAGTATGGCATTTATGATATATGTATCCATTCTCTGTCAACTAAAGTTTGTTTCAAGGCGTCAATAGCGGTAATCTGACCGTGGTTGCTTATAATAACGGTGAGTTGTGCGATCTTCCGATCGCTTCACACACGATTTCGCCGAAATTAATTAAAACAATATTAAAAGGAATTTTGAATAAAATTAATGAAATAAGTTACAAACATATGTCCAGATATACAAAGAACACTTTTTATAGCCAGACAGTGTAATTACATGAATAATTTGCGTACTTCAGTATGGATTTGTTGACATGGTATTTCCGGTGTTACGTGCTCATGGTAATGTCTTTCCATGTGGGAAAAAACATCAAAACTCATTATTTCGTGTATAATGCGCACCCCCTTCTACACAGCTGTGTTTTTTGGAGAAAAATAGTGTGCACTATACTTAAAAAACATCGTACATCTTTCTCTAACCTGGAGGATTTAGTCACCCAGAACCCCTGTAAATCCAGAGGGGGCACATCGTCACGATATGGCTGAAATATTGCCGATGTGACGTAAAGCTTTAACTCACTCACTCACAAGAGGGGGCACAGGTGGTCCAGTTGCCTGAGGTGTCACAATTTGCTTGCAGAGTTGTGTCCCTTGAGCACGCCAGGAACTTATGATCATCTGTTCGAATCATGGTTCCCCTGATTATGTTTCAAGGTCTGTCAGTGCCATACCCGAGCTCTTTCGTTACACCGAAGTGGTAAATGTCTAAGACCTGCATCACTTCAGGCTTTCCTAACACATAAAGCTGCCATGCCATGATACAACTTGAATTCTGTTCAAAAAGATGTAAACACTTACTCACTCACTCGCTCACTGTAATTCAAAAGATTAAAAAAACCTGACCCAAAAGATTAAAATATGATCCTTTGTGGCAATTTTACTTGGTACTGAGACAATGGTTTCTAGGTTTTCACCATGCTTGCCATAAGAGGCAGCTATGCTTGTTGTAAGGGGTCAACTAACGGGATTGGGTGGTCAGGCTAGGCGGCTTGATTTGTGCATGTAATTGTATCCCAATTGCGTATTAATGATGCTCATGATGTCAATCACTGGATTGTCTGGTCCAGACTTGATTATTTACAGACCGCCATCATGTAGCTGGAATATTGCCGAGTGTGGTGTTAAACAACAAACAACAACAACTAGGTTTTCACAGGATGAGCCATGTTCATGTTTTCAGAGAAAGACACCTCAGGGGATCAGGATTTGTTGGGTGCACCGACCCAGGCTTTCATGGTGACAACCGACACAGACGGAGAAGACGGTGAGTTGGCTGCTTTGTTGAATGATGGATTTCATTGTTTGAGTTTCTACTGAATGTTAATTTTTATATTTTTGTTTGTGCACCGATCAACATAGCCTTTCACCTTTTATTAACACTGATGTCTACACAACAGAAGTATATATTTGTCACCTACGTAAGGTTTTTTCCCTTTATTTTCAGTTGTCATTTATCATTCAAAATCATCCGTGAACGATCACATTTCTTCTCTCTATCAAGTTACTATTTTCTATCCCAGAATGCAATATTTATTCTACAGAGTATGCTCAGTACTACGGATGTGGCATCATTTTGTTTATCTATAGTGAGAACAAGAGCCTCAACGTCGTTTAGCTTGTTTCCATTGTTCTCTCAGCTGTCATTACGACCCTCCATCCATCCCCATCTCCACCAAGGGTCTGGCTTGGAAGGGGCTTTGCAAGTCAACCATTCTGTAAACTATCATTATATGGCTTTCGGCCTCAATAGTGTTTTCATTTTCACTCATACCCAAAGGGTTTTACCGTTTCAACTGATTTTCATTTCACTCATACCCGCAGGGTATCACCCTTCCTACTGACCCGCAGGGTGTCTAAATTACATTACCCGCAGGGCAACCTTTCTTATCTGGTATAACCTTTTAAGATCTACACTCAGGGTTCTAAATCATTTTCGTATATATTTCAAATTTACTTATGCAACCCGCAGGGCTGCCTTTTTATACTACACCGAGTCAGCCCCCGAATCTTATGCCATGTCTTGTATATGATAAACATTTGATCGTACTAAGTTGTTTTTGTCACTGCACAAAAGTGGAATAGTGCGATGTTAAACAACAAACAAACATCACATTCTCATCAGTGTAGATGTTAAAAACAAACATCACATTCTCATCAGTGTAGATGTTAAAAACAAACATCACATTCTCATCAGTGTAGATGTTAACCAACAAACAAACAAACATCACATTCTCATCCGTGTAGATGTTAAACAACAAACAAACAAACAGCACCATCTCATCCGTGTAGATGTTAAACAACAAACAAACAAATATCACATTCTCATCAGTGTAGATGTTAAACAACAAACAAACAAACATCACATTCTCATCCGTGTAGATGTTAAACAACAAACAAACAAACATCACATTCTCATCAGTGTAGATGTTAAACAACAAACAAACAAACATCACATTCTCATCAGTGTAGATGTTAAACAACAAACAAACAAACATCACATTCTCATCCGAGTAGATGTTAAACAACAAACAAACAAACAAACATCACATTCTCATCAGTGTAGATGTTAAACAACAAACAAACAAACATCACATTCTCATCCTTGTAGATGTTAAAAACAAACATCACATTCTCATCCGTGTAGATGTTAAACAAGAAACAAACAAACATCACATTCTCATCCATGTATGCATGGCTGGCTGAATCTGGCGCATGAAATTGGCTATGCAGAGTTGTGTCCCTTAGGTGTGTAAGGAACAGCAGAGGATTTGCTAGATCTTAAGATTGTATCAGAAGAAGATGATATAAGTTATAGCAGCATCATATAAATTGATAGAAAACAGCTGTTTGATGGAGCTGAGCTTAACTTGTTCTGCGTCACATGACTTTCATTTACTTGTAAACAATGCACAGTTTTATGCTTCGCAGAGAAATTTATTGTCCGAGATATCCATGTGCAGGGGTATAACAGATTTGTTCTCCATCTAAGACGGGATACATACTTTATTCATATCTTGAGAACCAATCTGATATTTACATTGAAACATGGAGGTAAGATAATGTATTCTACTGAGATTGTGTGTGTGTACAGAGGACGACCCTGCTGACACGAAGAACCTGATGTGTGCCGCCACCCAGGCGTGTGGGTTTGTGGAGAGTGACCCAGAGGAGGACCCCAAGGTTGACCTGTTCGCTCCGACACTGGCCGTGGTGCAGGACAGCGAGTCGGACACAGATGGGTCATGTGTCATGATTGACCTGAACGCTCCAACACAGGCAGTGCTTCTAGACAACGACGACGACGACGAGGAAGAGGAGGAAGGCGATCAAGGCGTCAAGGTCAGTGTTGCTCATTCTAGCCCAGAAGTTCACTTACCTGTAGACAAGGTGCCTGACTGTTAAGATGCGTTTTGAGATTGGTCTTTTCCTGACACAGAGGCATCATTTAAGACAACTGAATGCACACTCTCAATTCCAACACCAGTCTGCACAGTCAGAAAGCACATTAACAGTAATCACTGAACACAGAATGTTGTTAATTGCATCAAATTTATTCTGTTAATTTCCATGCTTATTACCTTGACCATGTTGGCCGTTAGGCTTCCATGTTTTTCCATGAAGATAACTGCAACTCTTTCTTTTCAGACGATGGCATATGAAATGGACATCGAAAAGGAGAGACAGACAAAGGGAAAGAAGTCTGGCAAGACAAAAGCTTCAGGACGAGTGTGTGCTCCTACCCAAGCCTATGACATGGACACAGGAGGAGAAGCTAAGAAGCCTACGAAGGCTCGTGTGACTGATGCCACTGTTGCATACGACATGGACACGGATGGGGAATCCAAGAGAGCTACGAAGAGTGGTCGTGTTAGTGACCCGACTGTTGCATACGACCTGGATGGGGAACTCAAAGAAGCCAAGACAGACGACAAGGGTGGGTCTGGCTCAACTCAAAGCTTCATAGTTCAGGAGCAGAAGTCTGTAGAAGCAGAGGAACCTGATGATGCTGGATTGGTTCCGACTCAGGTGTTCGAGGGGGAGGAAGAGGAGGAGGAGATGGATGAAGATGTAAGTCACCTGTTGATGACGTCGACGCTGGCGTGTGACATGGAGGAGGACTCGGAGGACTCGGAGGATCTCCCCGAAGGACTTGAGGGGGATGGTGGAAAGGATGCGATGCAACCAGCCGGGGACGAGGATGCTACTCAGGCATTTGAAGAAGAAGAAGTAACATCTAAAAAAAAAGGACAAAAGAAGACGTCGGATAAGAATCAAAATGACGATGCAACTCAGGTGTTTGGAGATGATGCTACTGTAGCTATTAGCGATCCTTCTCCGAAACAGAAAAAGTCCAATAAAAAGGATGATGATGCTACGCAAGTGTTTGGCGATGAGACTCAAGTGTTTAGCGATGATGCCACCCTAGCTATTAGTGAACCATCGCCTAAACATAAAAAGTCCAAGAAACAACCAGACAATGATGATACGCAAGGGTTTAGCGATGATGCCACCCTAGCTATTAGTGAACCATCACCTAAACAGAAAAAGTCCAAGAAACAACCAGACAATGATGCTACGCAAGTGTTTAGCGATGATGCCACCCTAGCTATTAGTGAACCATCGCCTAAACAGAAAAAGTCCAAGAAACAACCAGACAATGATGCTACGCAAGTGTTTAGCGATGATGCCACCCTAGCTATTAGTGAACCATCGCCTAAACAGAAAAAGTCCAAGAAACAACCAGACAATGATGCTACGCAAGTGTTTAGCGATGATGCAACTCAAGTCTTTGAAGAGGATGCAGCCCAAGAAGCGAGTAATCTTGCTTCCCGAGCACCCAGAGGGAGGAAATCCGAACAAGCAAAGAAAGATGCTACACCGCAAGAAGATGCCACGCAGGTGTTTGAAGAGGCTGATGTAGCTGTGTCGGACATTGAAGACAAGACAGGCGACGGTGCTACGCAGGTGTTTGATGTGGAGGATGCAACGCTGTGTGTATCTGGTTCTGCCAAAGGTGACACAGATGCAGATGCAACTCAGGCATTTGATTGTGCTACGTTAATGGTGGAGGAAGAGGACAAATCGACAGACGACAGTACTCAGGTGTTCGGAGACGCTACAGTTGCCATAGAGGAAGAGGAGGTCATGCCAGCAAGGAAAAGAGGCCGTGGGAAGAAATCTGCAGATGACAGTCTTAAGGTGAAAGAAAGTGATGCTACAGTTGCCATTGAGGAAGAAGAGGTCATGCCAGCAAGGAAAAGAGGTCGTGGGAAGAAAGTCGCAGATGACAGTCTTAAGGTGAAAGAAAGTGATGCTACAGTTGCCATAGAGGAAGAGGAGGTCATGCCAGCAAGGAAAAGAGGCCGTGGGAAGAAAGCTGCAGATGACAGTCTTAAGGTGAAAGAAAGTGATGCCACAGTTGCCATTGACGAAGAGGAGGTCATGCCAGCAAGGAAAAGAGGCCGTGGGAAGAAATCTGCAGATGACAGTCTTAAGGTGAAAGAAAGTGATGCTACAGTTGCCATTGAGGAAGAGGAGGTAATGCCAGCAAGGAAAAGAGGCCTTGGGAAGAAATCTGCAGATGACAGCCTTAAGGTGAAAGAAAGTGATGCTACAGTTGCCATTGAGGAAGAGGAGGTCATGCCAGCAAGGAAAAGAGGCCTTGGGAAGAAGGCTCAGGCTTCTGTGGATCAGGAAGCTCCAACTGTTCCTGCTGATGTAGATGATGCCACTGTGGCTGTATCGGAGCCAGAACCTGCGAGACAGGGCAGAGGAAGAAGACCGGCCAAAGGGAAGAAACCTTCTGTTGAAGTAGAAGCCATGGAGGAAGGGTCACACAGTGGGAGAGGAAGAGGAGTGAAGAGAGGACGAAGAAGCAAGGATTTAGCACCAGATGTTGAAGATGCTACCATGGCTGTAGATGATGTTTGTGAGGGTGCCACTCTCCCAGCTGCTGATCTTGAAGATGCAACCATGGCTGTATGCAGTGTTGGCCAGGATGCCACCCTCCCAGCTGCTGATGTAGTGGGCGCTCCTGACAGTGCAGCGGGTGATGACTCTGACTCGGAAGGCTCGACTCTGCCGGTGGAGGAAGTGGTCAACATGGCTGAAGTGGAAGACCAAGGGACGGGGATGTCTGTTGGACGCAAGAACACTCAGGTACCAGGTGGCACGTAGTGTGTAGATATATATGAATAACGGGCTTAAGGAGCCTTTAACTATCGATTTATTGGAGGACAAGTACAAACCTTTATGAAGTATTACAAGTGTATTTTTAACAAAGCCCTCCTGGAAACATCTAGGTTACCCTCGGTTCTCAAGTGTATTGTATCTCCATTTTATTATGATATATTGCCCTTACCCGTATGTTTTATGTCTTGTTTATATACATGATATGCTAATGCCAGAGAGCGGGTTTTATCCCTGGCCACGTCATACCAAAAGACGTTAAAAGGTGGAACTTGTTGTTATCCTGCTTGACCTCAAATGATGTTCAACAAAGACTTGCAACTTCAGAGTCAGTATAATGTGTCTGAGTTGGGTATCCATGTTAAACTGCAGGAGGTGTCTCAGTGGTCTAGTACTGTAAAACAGACATATAAATGCAGACAAGTACGAGCAGCCACACACCTAAGTGAAATAATATTAACGCGACGCACCACTCCATTTCATCTCACCCCATAATATACTTTCAAAAGCCTCACTATGATTGTTCCCTATCCTGCCAGAAGCCGTCACCTGTGGCTTCCAGTCCCAGGAGTAGAGGAAGGCAGTCCACGAAGACCCCCAGCTCTGGAGAAGGTAATATGGGACTCTAAACTGGGTCTTCGTCAACTGTATGATGTACCCTATTGGTATATATGGTGTACCCTCTGTGTGTATATGATGTACCCTGTGTGTATATGATGTACCCTGTGTGTGTATGATGTACACTGTGGGTGTATATGATGTACCCTGTGTGTGTATGATGTACCCTCTGTGTGTATATGATGTACCCTGTGTGTGTATGATGTACACTGTATGTGTATATGATGTTCCCTGTGTGTATATGATGTACCCTGTGTGTGTATGATGTACCCTGTGTGTGTATGATGTACCCTCTGTGTGTATATGATGTATCCTGTGTGTATATGGTGTACCCTGTGGGTGTATATGATGTACCCTGTGTGTGTATGATGTACCCTCTGTGTGTATATGATGTACCCTGTTTGTGTATGATTTACCCTGTGTGTATATGATGTACCCTGTGTGTGTATATGGTGTACCCTTAGTGTGTGTATGATGTACCCTTAGTGTGTATATGATGTACCCTTAGTGTGTGTATGATGTACCCTGTGTGTATATGATGTACCCAGTGTGTATATATGGTGTACCCTGTGTGTGTATATGATGTACCCTGTGTGTGTATGATGTACCCTGTGTGTATATGATGTACCCAGTGTGTGTATATGATGTACCCTGTGTGTATATGATGTACCCTGTGTGTGTATATGATGTACCCTGTTTGTATATGATGTACCCTGTGTGTGTATATGATGTACCCTGTGTGTGTATATGATGTACACTGTATGTGTATATGATGTACCCTGTGTGTGTATATGATGTTCCCTGTGTGTATATGATGTACCCTGTGTGTGTATGATGTATCCTGTGTGTATATGATGTACTGTGTGTGTGTATGGTGTACCCTGTGTGTGTATATGATGTTCCCTGTGTGTATATGGTGTACCCTGTGTGTGTATGATGTACCCTCTGTGTGTATGATGTACCCTGTGTGTGTATATGATGTTCCCTGTGTGTATATGGTGTACCCTGTGGGTGTATATGATGTACCCTGTGTGTGTATGATGTACCCTCTGTGTGTATATGATGTACCCTGTTTGTGTATGATTTACCCTGTGTGTATATGATGTACCCTGTGTGTGTATATGGTGTACCCTTAGTGTGTATATGATGTACCCTTAGTGTGTATATGATGTACCCTGTGTGTGTATGAAGTACCCTGTGTGTATATGATGTACCCAGTGTGTGTATATGGTGTACCCTGTGTGTGTATATGATGTACCCTGTGTGTGTATGATGTACCCTGTGTGTATATGATGTACCCAGTGTGTGTATATGGTGTACCCTGTGTGTGTATATGATGTACCCTGTGTGTGTATGATGTACCCTGTGTGTGTATGATGTACCCTCTGTGTGTATATGATGTATCCTGTGTGTATATGGTGTACCCTGTGGGTGTATATGATGTACCCTGTGTGTGTATGATGTACCCTCTGTGTGTATATGATGTACCCTGTTTGTGTATGATTTACCCTGTGTGTATATGATGTACCCTGTGTGTGTATATGGTGTACCCTTAGTGTGTATATGATGTACCCTTAGTGTGTATATGATGTACCCTTAGTGTGTGTATGATGTACCCTGTGTGTATATGATGTACCCAGTGTGTGTATATGGTGTACCCTGTGTGTGTATATGATGTACCCTGTGTGTATATGATGTACCCTGTGTGTATATGATGTACCCTGTGTGTACCCTGTGTGTATATGATGTACCCTGTGTGTGTATATGATGTACCCTGTTTGTATATGATGTACCCTGTGTGTATATATGATGTACCCTGTGTGTATATGATGTACCCTGTGTGTGTATGATGTACACTGTGGGTGTATATGATGTACCCTGTGTGTGTATGATGTACACTGTTTGTGTATATGATGTACCCTGTGTGTGTATATGATGTTCCCTGTGTGTATATGATGTACCCTGTGTGTGTATATGATGTACCCTGTGTGTGTATGATGTACACTGTATGTGTATATGATGTACCCTGTGTGTGTATATGATGTACCCTGTGTGTATATGATGTACTCTGTGTGTGTGTATGGTGTACCCTGTGTGTGTACATGATGTTCCCTGTGTGTATATGGTGTACCCTGTGTGTGTATGATGTACCCTCTGTGTGTATGATGTACCCTGTGTGTGTATATGATGTTCCCTGTGTGTATATGGTGTACCCTGTGGGTGTATATGATGTACCCTGTGTGTGTATGATGTACCCTCTGTGTGTATATGATGTACCCTGTTTGTGTATGATTTACCCTGTGTGTATATGATGTACCCTGTGTGTGTATATGGTGTACCCTTAGTGTGTATATGATGTACCCTTAGTGTGTATATGATGTACCCTGTGTGTGTATGAAGTACCCTGTGTGTACATGATGTTCCCTGTGTGTATATGGTGTACCCTGTGTGTGTATATGATGTACCCTGTGTGTGTATGATGTACCCTGTGTGTATATGATGTACCCTGTGTGTATATGATGTACCCTGTGTGTATATGATGTACCCTGTGTGTGTATATGATGTACCCTGTTTGTATATGATGTACCCTGTGTGTATATATGATGTACCCTGTGTGTATATGATGTACCCTGTGTGTATCTGATGTACCCTGTGTGTGTGTATGATGTACCCTGTTTGTATATGATTTACATTGTGTGTATATGATGTACCCAGTGTGTGTATATGGTGTACCCTGTGTGTGTATATGATGTACCCTGTGTGTGTATATGATGTACCCTGTGTGTGTATGATGTACCCTGTGTGTATATGATGTACCCTGTGTGTGTATATGGTGTACCTTGTGTGTGTATATGATGTACCCCGTATGTATATGATGTACCCTGTGTGTATATGATGTACCCTGTGTGTATATGATGTAACCTGTGTGTATATGATGTAACCTGTGGATGTATATGATGTACCCTGTGGGTGTATATGATGTACCCTGTGTGTGTGTATATGATGTACCCTGTGTGTGTATATGATGTACCCTGTAGGTGTATATGATGTACCCTGTGTGTGTATATGGTGTACCCTGTGTGTATATGATGTACCCTGTGTGTACATGATGTACCCTGTGTGTGTGTATATGATGTACCCTGTAGGTGTATATGATGTACCCTGTGTGTGTATATGATGTACCCTGTAGGTGTATATGATGTACCCTGTAGGTGTATATGATGTACCCTGTGTGTGTATATGGTGTACCCTGTATGTGTATGATGTACCCTGTGTGTGTATGATGTACCCTGTGTGTGTATGATGTACCCTGTGTGTGCAGGTACTGATGGCTCCGACCTAGAACCCACCCAGGTGTATGGTGCTGATGAACCGGAAGCCACACAGCAGTACGGGCTGGATTCCACAGAGGAGGTAGGTACCTCAGTTGTTAATATGGCCACCGTGGCAGATACTATAAGTTGTAACAGGATCACTCGGGGCACATGAGGTTTTATGCGTGTCGTGTACCCAGTACTTATTAAACGTAACTAGGGATGCATAAAACTCCATGTACTCCGAGTGATCCTGTTACAGTTAATTTGTCTTACCGACATGTTTTAATATGACATCGTGAAAGGACTAATTCAAATTAAAAATTGATAGACAACAGCCGTTTGATTGAGCAGAAGTTAGCTTATGCTGTGTCAGGTGACTTTCATAGACTCGTAAGAAGCGTGCAGCTTTTCGCTTGGAAGCGAGGTATAAGGAAAATGTTCTGCCTCTCAGAAATCCATGTGCAGCCTCTCTTGCTCATGGCAGGGTATAAGGGATATATTCACCAGATGAAATTTTCTTTTATTTCCCTCCAAGGCGGGATACATCATATTTCATCAAGATCCCGTGGGCCAATCAGATTTCATCATTCTGACATAGAGGTGTGATAAAGTACCTTTTCACTATTTGTACGACAGTTTTCATGTCGTAGGATGTAGATTTGACAGGACTATTTATGTGATGTATGGTGCAATTTGACAACTGCTATATGTGATACAGATGGTGCCAGACAGCCACTCCCATGAGAAGGTGCCCTCCCCAATGATCCCCCTGCCAGAGCGGTCCCCCCGCAAGTCGGCCATGGCCAGTCCAAGGAGAAGTCCCTCACCCTCCCCGAAACGAGTTGCGTTTGCTGCAGGGGTAAGTCTTCATCTGTCATATGAAACAAATTTATTATGATATCGCATGAAATTCAATTAATTGTAAGATCCGTTTTAACTGAACCATTCTGTAAATGTGTTCTTTAGGTTGCTGACAACGAGAACAAGACCAAGAAGTCAGCTGGTATGGCTCGAAGCCGTGGGAGGGGAAGGAGGAGTCTGGATCTAGCGTTGGCTGATGTTGCTGCTGATGGTGGAGCTGGTGGTCGTAGGAGGAGTACCCCTGGAAGAGTAGCTGTGCTGGAGAGACTGGAGACCGGTCAGGGCCGAGGAAGGGGCAGGAGAAGAGGTGTTGGGGAACAGGTGGTAGTGAAGGAAGAGCCAGTGACAGAAGGTGAAGGTGTGGCAGCAGGAGTGGAGAAGAAAGAGCAGACAGTGAAGAGAGGAAGGAAAGAGGTTGTGGTCGAGGAGAAGGAAGAGGAGACGGTGAAGAAAGGTAGAGGAAGGAAAGGGGTTGTGGTCGAGGAGAAGGAAGAAGAGACTGTGAAGAAAGGTAGAGGAAGGAAAGGGGTTGTGGTCGAGGAGAAGGAAGAAGAGACTGTGAAGAAAGGTAGAGGAAGGAAAGGGGTTCTGATCGAGGAGAAGGAAGAGGAGACGGTGAAGAAAGGTCGAGGAAGGAAAGAGGTTGTTGTCGAGGAGAAGGAAGAAGAGACAGCGAAGAAAGGTAGAGGAAGAAAAGGCGTTGTGGTGGAGGACAAGGAGACACAAGGAGCTGTAGGTGGTCGAAGGAGAAGTGGAGGTGAAGTACCTGCAGCTCCTGGTGGGAGGAGGAGCAAGGGTAAGACCAGCCACACAGCAGCAGCAGAGGGAGGACAAACTAATGATGTCATAAAAGAAGAGCCTGAAAGTCTTGAGACTGAGGAGAAATCCTCTGAAGAAATAAGTATTGGTAAAAAGGTAGCTCCAAGCAAGGGTAGGGGGAGGAAGACATCCCAGGATGTGAAGGAAGATCCAGTTAAAGAGGAGAAAGGTGAATCTGATGTAACTGCAGGTACGAGGAGAGGCAGAGCAAAGACGACACTGGAACCTCCTGCTCCTGATGCTGGGAAGAGAGGTACTTCTGGGAGGAAGAGTCTGCCTGCAGCTCTTGTCAGTCAAGTTGAACCAAAACCAACAAGAAGAGGTCGATCCACTGAAAAATGTGAGACAGTTTCTGTAAGTCGAAGGGCTCGAACGCCATCAGAAGACAGTGTTAAGTCATCACTTGAGAGTGTTGATGAATCTAAGCCAACAAGAAGAGCTGGTCGTGCTCCACACGGGAAAACACAAACAGAAGGGGTGGAATCTACATTTAAGACTGGGTCTCAAACAAAACATGCAGCAATAGATGAATCTGATCCGAATATATCTGGTTACAGTGACATTGGCAGAGGCAGACGGTCAGAGAGTAGACAATCAAGGGAGATAACTGTTTCTAAGGGAAAGGGTAAGACACTTTCAAAGACTGCTGGAAAGGGTTTGATAGAAGCGGAAGAAAGTCAGACCAAACCAGATGACAGTGAACCCAGGACATCTGTTAGGAAGAGAACATCAGAAGAAAGTCTAGACCTGCCAGCAGCTAAGAGAGGCAGGAAGGGGGGTAAAGGTAGGCTAGACTCTCCTGGCAGTGGTGTCCCAGAACTGCTGCCTTCCACAAGGAAAAGAGGAAGAGATTCATCTGCAGCAGAAGAAGTATCAGGTTCAAAGTCAGAAGACAGTGCTAATGAAACAGTTGTTACAATTGAGGAACCTGAGACTGAAGTATCTAGTGCTAAGAAAGGAAAGAAGGGTAAGACGAAAAGAACGCTGTCAGCTAATAGAGGCAAGAATTCAGCTGACGCAGTAGAAGATACAGCAGGAAGAAATCAGAGTAAGGCCATTGCTGTTGAGGGGGGTGAAACGTCTCGGCCAAGTCGAGGTTCCAAGGCTTCCCCTGTAGCAGCGGCACCGGACAGTGGTGTGAAGAGGAGGAAAGGGGGCAGGGTAGACTCCAGTCAGGTCAGTGGCACAGAGTTGGGGATTGGGTGGTCAGACTCGCTGACTTGGTTAAACAGGTCATCATATCCTTTTGTTTCTTTGTTTGTTTGTTGATTGTTGTTTACTGCTGCACTCTGCAATATTCCAATTATATGACCTTGGTATAAATAATCGAGGCTGTACCAGACAACCAAGTGATTGACATTAAGAGCATTGATCTATGTAATTGGGATATGATGATATGCATAAATCAAGTCAGAAAGTCTGATCACACAATCCCTTCAGTCACCTCTAATGACAAGCATGGGTTGATGAAGACCAATATTAATCCGGATCTTCACGTGTTCAGTGTCACAGAGCTGGATTATTTGTGTAAACTGTCATTGAACTTTCCTTTTTGCTCACTGATGTGTTGGTCATGGTGAAGGTCATGTCAGGGTACACTGTCAGCGGACACCTCAGCAATATGATCTGTAAATCTGAAACATTCATGGATCGTCCTAGCATTGGTGTTAGAACAAAATTAGCTGCAGAATTGTCTCTAAGTATTGACAGTGGCTTTGCTAGAGGCATAAATACATTTTCATGATTGCATTACCTTTCAATAGGACATTTTTCTTCACTGAACAAAACAGTTTCGGATCATGAATGCTTTTGGGGATATTTTTTTTTATAAAGACTGAGCACACAATTTCATAAAAATATCCCCCAATATATATTCATGATCCCTAATGTAATTGTTCTGTATATGTCAATCCAAATTTGAAAAATATCTTCAGAATATTTTGGATGACAATCTGTCAGTGTCCAAGAAACTGAGCTGACCTGAAACCCAGATTGATGAGACAATGACAAAAATGATGACTAGATAGGATCCTGAATACTTAAAAACTGCACGATGACATTGAGATACACATCATTATGTAAGAGTTACTTCATCCACTTGGCAGGAACAAGAAGCAGCACCAGCCAAGAAGTCGCGGTCGTCTGACTCCTCCCCGCCACCAGGTAAACAGAAGCAGGTGACGGAGGAGATGTCGTCGCCGTCGCTGCGGCGCAAGTCCATGGATCCCAAGCCTCGAGTCCTTTTCACCGGCGTGGTCGATGAACAGGGACAAAAGGTATTCAACCGTTTCGTTATTCCTGTCATCCTGAGTGAGTGAGGAAAACTAACTAATTCAAAACATGAAGTTATGATTTCTCCTGCTTTTGGGCACCGTTAAGGTAATCTTAAAAACATTGTTGATACAGACATCATTGTTGATGGTTTTTGTAATGTCGTTAGGAAATATGTCAAAGACTGTCATTGTTTTCATGTTGTGCCTCTTAGTATGTTTGGCATGCAAGGTTTTCAGTATAGAAGCTACAGCATCTTCACTGCACATTAGGGCTCTGGTGGGTTGAAAGATATAGATTCCAGTGTCTTACCACCTGACCTGGGCCCCATTCCACAAAGCGATCATAGCGCTAAGATGATCTTAACCCTCATATTTTAACATAGACTTACGACAGTCGTAGCGCTAAGATCGCTTTGTGGAACGGGGCCCTGGTCTTGAGTACCCGTGTCTCAAAACCTCACCTTGAATCAGGTACGTGTAGGTGTCAGACCTGGTAAACAATTTCAATGGTGATAATCTCTGTCATTGATATAGCTGAGTAAAGTTGTCAAGTGAGGAAGTTCCTATGTTTGTCCATGTTTCAGATTGTGAAGGACTTGGGAGGAGGACTAGCTACATCCATCCATGACTGCACCCACCTCGTCACAGACAAGGTAGGCCTCTGTAGCAGCAGTCTCTGTGCACAAGGGAGAAAATTCTATGGATATACAAATGACTCGTGAAGATCCGAGGTAGAATAGGTCTTCAGCAACCCATGCTTGCCTTAAAAGGTGACTTGTTGTAAGAGGCGACTAATGCATGTCATTATATCCCAATTGCATGGATTGATGCTTATGATATCAATCACTGGACTGTCTGGTCTGGACTTGATTATGTACAGTCTGCTGTCATATAGCTGGAATATTGCTGAGTACGGCGTTCAATAACAAACACACAAAGACAAACACCTTTTTTTTTTACAATGACTGCGATGTTTCTTTGTAGATACTAACACCGTTATCAAGCAAGTGATGTAATATCTACCTCGAAATGTCTCATTCATTGTAATACAGAAGTTGTTTGTCCAAAGAATTAGGGGCGGTCGGGTAGCCTAGTGGTTAAAGCGTTCACTTGTCACGCAGAAGACCCGGGTTCGATTCCCGACATGGGTACAATGTGTGAAGCCCATTTCTGGTGTCCCCCGCCGTGATATTGCTGGAATATTGCTAAAAGCGGCGTAAAACCATACTCACTCACTCACTCACTCGAAAGAATTATCTCCCTTATTCATCATACCAACTTTATATGCCACTTATGAAATCTGTGTTTGTTTGTTTGTTTGATGTTTAACGCCGCACTCAGCAATATTCCAGCTACATGAATGCGGTCTGTAAATAATGAGTCTGGACTAGACAGTCCAGTGATTGACATCATGATCATCAATCCACACAGTTTGGATACGGTGACATGCATCAACCAATTCAGTGAGTCTGACCACCCGATCCTGTTAGTCGCCTCTTACGACAAGCATAGTCACCTTTTACGGCAAGCATGGGTTGCTGAAGACCTATTCTACCCTGGATCTTCACAGGTCAGAAATCTCTGTGTAGATTCCAGGTTCGAATAGGTCCCCTCATGGTTAGAAAGTGGAGATATCTCTTGGTGCAATCAAATGATTCCTCCTTGGAGACATTGCTGCTGTGAAGTTGCATCACAATGATTTTCAGACCATTGTGGTGTGATGGGTTACCATGTCGTCAAATGACATCACTAATCTCTCTGCCACTGAATGTGGTAAACTGTAGTTTTTATATACAAGACACTGCTTATTACTGTTCAAAAACTTTAAAAAGTTGGAAGAATGATTTTGGATGATATATAGAATCTCACCCTTGTGTCTTTTGATATTAAACATATAAAACTCTCAACAAGCCTTTGTGTTTTAAACTTTTAGTGAACCGTGTTGATATATTTGATATCACAAGACACGAGGGTGATATTCACTATTCTTGATCATGATGAGGTGAATTCAGAGTTTGAGAGGTATACATACAAGTGTACTAATCGCGCAGTTAAGATCCCAGTAGACGGGTTAAAACAAACATCCAGTGCTTACGACACGCTGGCAAGAAAATATAATAAATATATCACATCTATTTTTCAAATGCTAATTTGTGTATATAAATGACTGCACTCTTGTGAAGATTATCAATTTACGCTGAAGATATCTTTTCACTCACCACATAAACTTCTATGGGCGTGTTCATGTTTGTTTCTACTGTGGCAAACAGTGCTTTGTGGGGGTCGTCCATTAGTGACACCCGTGAAGCAGTCAAACATAATTATGACAACAAATATAATTGACATTTTTAACTTTAACAAGCCATGAATCACACAAACATGGCATCAAGTACAAATATTTGAGTCTGAAGAGTTTACGTTTTCTGATAAACATGAACAAACACATGACCAGTCTGAAAATGAGAAAGTGAATATGTTTTGAAAAGTTTGAAGCAGGAAGTACCGACAAAGTTGGCCACCGTAGAAACTTCAATCATAGAAATAAGGATATTGGTGGGGGGGGGGGGGATATTTAGGGGGAAAGTATGCCATGAATTTGGTTGTCCTGTGGGCAGGGATAGTAAGCAACACTCTTTTGTAACAGGCTTGAGAGGCTTCATAACAAGTAAATTAAAGTGTCATATAGAAAATGATGAACGCAAGTATGCCATGAATTTGGTTGTCCTGTGGGCAGGGATAGTAAGCAACACTCTTTTGTAACAGGCTTGAGAGGCTTCATAACAAGTAAATTAAAGTGTCATATAGAAAAAGATGAACGCAAGTACCACTTAATGTCAGTACTCTGCTACGATAAAAAGCAGACAGTCAGAAATATGTTTGCTGTCATCATGATAAACCTTGGCACTCTTTGTTTGGGGCACACCTGAGGAACACTTGAAAATAATACATAATCATATCTGTAATTGATTGCATGTCTTGTCAGGTGCGCCGGACTGTGAAATTCCTGGGTGGTGTGGCGCGAGGAGTACCCATCGTCACACCTCATTGGCTCAACAGCAGCAAGAGTGCCGGAACGTTCCTGGGTAAGAAAACCCTACCGCTGCTTTAGTAGACATACCCCATGGGGATTCTGGGTTAGAACAGAAGCCCAGCAACTGATGGTCGCAAGAGGAAGCTAAATGGATCTAAATGAACTAAATGAACTAAACTCCAAGTTATGTTCTACCAGTCCAAATCAGGTATTATCAGTAAATGGTGCTACTGATAAGGCAGGTTGCTATATGGCTGGGATAGTGCCGATGTGACGTTAAATTTTAACTCACTCACTCACTGATAAGACAGATGCAATGGAGATCTGATCGATGTGGTCAGACTAGTACAATACAAAAGTAATTGTCATGAATTAGTGAGGTTATTTGACCCTGTTTGTCGTCCAGATTGCTCCAAGTTCCTCGTGTCAGACACAGCGGCAGAGAAGCAGTACAAGTTCTCTCTGAAGAAGTCCCTGGCTAGAGCCGCGGAGGAGAACTTGCTCGGGGCCTACAAGATACATGTCAGCAAATCTGTCAGACCAGAGCCACCACAGATGAAAGGTGAGAAGCTTACACATTTGCCTCGTGTGGCCCTGGCTGTCTAAGGTGCCACAATGTACTGGCAGTTGTAGCGCTGTAGGTGTGCGGGTAACCTGTCATCATGGGGTCGAATCCCTGATTTGCCCTGATTTGGTTTGTGGCTTGTTATTTTCAAAATGGTAAACATCTTGACCTGCTCCACTTCGGCTTTCTTTCCAAATATTTCTTATGCTATGTGAGGTAACTGCATTCTGTTCAAAGCAGCTTTAGACCAATCTCACTTATTGACATACTGTTCCAAGTGGCTTTCTAGTGGTTAAAGTGTTAATTACCTTTATGGCCCTTTCCACTGTTGGCCCTGGTTAGCCCTTCTCTCACTCAACACACCACTGACAGTTCATGTCAAATCCCCGCCATCTGTAAACACGCTGCTTCCTGTCTACTTTTTCCCATCTCTGCCCCAGCTTCCGCTCACGCATGCGCACACGTAGTCAAGTTCAGAGGTCACTTCCAGTACACTCGAATGTAAATATACCACACAATGTGGTTAAGACTGACATGTTATCAAAAGCGTTCGCTCGTCATGCCAAGAATATTGCTGGAATATTGCTAAAAGCAGGCATAAAACAATATGCACTCACACAGAAATTATATGAACATTTTTTTCCGTGTTTCAGATGTCCTGATGTGTGCTGGTGCTGAGGTAATTCGATATTAATTTCTGAATTCTGAATAGTCAATAACAAACTAAATAATAAATAAAATTCTGATAGATTAAAAATTTATACCAAGCATTTAAATGAAAACATATATTTACTGTGAATCATTTGATAACATTGGTTCTATCAAATTGGAAAAAGCATCACTTAAGTGCATTTTTTAATGATCTTTTGTCAGTACTTGTCCACCATGCCCAAAAAAGTAGAAGCGAACATGTTGGTGATGTCGTGCGAGGAGGACAAGTCCCAGTGTCAGGCTGCCATCAAGGCCGGGATCCCCATCGTGTCTGCGGAGTTCATCCTCACCGGCATCCTGAGACAGGAGGTGGATGTAGACAGATATCCTTTACTTTAATCCTGCAGTCGGTGAAGCTCTTGGGCTGTTCTCAACCCATCAAATGTACCCAGGGCCGTATGTTACATCGTTATATACCCACGTTCTCTTGTCGTAAGAGGCGACTGATAGGATCGGGTGGTCAGGTTTGCTGACTTGGTTGATGCATGTCATTGTATCCCAATTGCGTAGAGCAATGCTCATGACGATTATATACAGACCGCTGTCATATAGCTGGAATATCGCTGAGTGCAGTATTATGTGTCCCTTGAGAGATGGTTTGCAAAGACAATAAATCTTTAAACTTATCCCATCTCACACTATCTATGATCCTTGTGTGGAAATGCTCACAAAAAAAGTTTCCTTGAAAAACACCTCACCAGTTGTCACCATGGTAACCCCATAAACAATGTGTTGAACACTACCTGAATCCTGTGTGATCTGATCACATGACGTACCCAGCCCACTCATTCACTTTCTAATCGCATTGGTGTGTAGATGTGTTCGAACTCAACATAATTAAATTTTTGTTTGTTTTTTTTGCTTGTTAGTCTGTCTCATTAAACACAACTGCTCAGAGGATATGGATAAGCAAAGACCTTCTTGTGACAATTGCAAATACACTTTCTCTGTCTGACCCTCACTCATTTTGTTGTGATTTTCGTGAGAGAATCTGCAGAGATTTGATGATTTTGACATTTTTAAGACTTATTTACATGCCCCAAATATCACGAAGAGCAACTTGCTATTTAAAGCATGGTCATGTCACACATTTGCCAGGGAACTGGCTGCATGTACACCCTTATTTCTCCGGAACTCGGGACACCACTTTGTCTGTCTGCTATACAGTTCTCAGTGTATTGTTGCATGATGGGTTTTTGTGTGTGTGGAGCTTTGACCATGTGTTCAGCAAGAACACAGTATTCCATGTTCGGCGAAGGGGTGACTTTATCTAGTTTGTAAACAATTCCGCTTCTGCTGGAATCAGACTGACCTAACCCCGACCGTTCGATGTACTGCACAGATGGTTTACGTGATTATTTGTACGTACTGATGTGAAAAGTGAAATATATTACTAATTTTTTCAAACATCCCAACATTTCAACAAATATTTCTTTCTGTACAAGAATATGAGGAGTGTTTTCCTTAACCAAGTCACTTTCAGGTTATTCTCCAGTGAGGTCGGAGGTGCACGAAGAGGGCCAAGGTCAGATGTCGGGGGTGCACGAGGAGGGGCGAGGTCCAAGTCAAGGAAATGAAAGACTTTCAATCTCAAATCAAAGGTCCAGCTGTGATCCAAATATTTTAACTGGCCAACTTGTTTTATAACCTGTGCATTTTTTTACAGAGCAAGGATGTGAGTGGATACGAAGCTGTTTGTTATATGCCTGAATGGGATAAAATTTCAATCATGTTATTGCCATATGTTAAAACCCTTGTCACATTTTAGATGTAGGTCTTGTACCTGATTTTTAATTATCATTTTTAAAAAGTATGTCTTTATTCATTGACTCTTTCATGAAATAATATCAGTGACAGTCGTCGCCATGGCAGCAAGTTGTAGTCCCATGAGATTCTCATTGTACACCCCTGTGGGATATCTGGGTTAGAATAGGTCCCCAGCAACCTATGCTGGTCGTAAGAGGCGACTTAATCGATCGGGTGGTCAGGTTCGGTGACCTGGTTAATTGCGTGTCACTGTACTATGATAGCATGGATCATTGCTCACAATAACAATCACTGGATTGTCTGGTCCAGACTTGATTATTTACAGGCCGCCTTTGTAGAGCTGGAATATTGCTGAGTACGGTAAAACATAAAACTAACAAACAGATCTTAATGTACATGTACCCATGAAGATCCGGGTTAGAATAGGTCTTCAGCAACCCATGCTTGCCGTAAAAAAAGGTGACTAACGGGATTGGGTGGTCAGGCTCGCTGGCTAGGTTTGCTGGCATGGTTGATGCATGTTATCGTATCCCAAATGCGTAGATCGATGTTCATGATTTCAATCACTGGATTGTCTGGTCCAGTCTCGATTATGTACAGACCGCCATCATAAAACTGGAATATTGCCAAGTATGGCGTTAAACAACAAACAAACAAACAAACAAACAGATCCTATTGTGCATGTATTTCATTATCCTGTATATTGAAAACTATTCATTCTTTGGACATGTACGGAAGGTGATGTGCTAGTTTAAATTGAGAAATTGGAAGTTAATATGGGTTCTCTTCCTGAGTATCCGACTGTCATTGCCATTCGAGTCAAATCTTTCTCCTAAAATTGTCCTTAGTAAACCTATACCTTTCACCTAGGAAACAAATAACAGTTTTGTTTGGAACATACAATCATCATTACAGCAATCAGGAATCATCATTACAAATAGCACTCAGGAGAGGAGTCTGTTGTGCAGCATCTTTCCAGAGGAAAGGGAGTTAACTGATTATAAAAGTCCAATTTTCACCATTGTCGAACTAAGGACAGTGGCTATTACAAGTTATGTCCTTTCTATGTCCTTCCTATTGACCAATCACATTCCAGCTCTCAAATCGCTTGCATTTGCTTCAAACAAAATGGCGGTGCCCAGTCAAGATGATCTGATAGATAATCAAGATCGAGAATGTAATGGAACAGATCTTACCTCGAATGAAATCACTTGAGCACCTTGATTTAAAACCTGCAAAGATCTGGAAAATATTTTTCAATATTTCGATGTTTTGCAAACCAGCGATAGACCGAAGTCTGCACTGCAGTCGTCTTGTTGTTTACAAATCGGATTCCCCATGTCTGTTAATCCAGCCAAAGCAGAGTTCGGAAAGTGTCGAAACTGGATTTTTATAGTCAGTTACCTCCCTTGCCTCGGGAGGATGGTTGTGTATGATCTTAACAGTATTATTTTCATTTCATGTTGATTTTATAAAATTACAGTTTTAGCACTTCAAGTGTTAGTGATAGTTTGTGTGAAAAGTTAGATTTATGTCAGTTACTGTGACAAGAGAAGTGTTAGTTTTCATGAACTAGCTTCTGCATGTCTAATAGTTCATGAATGAAATGACTACCAATTATGATCCTGTATGTTCGAGTGTCAGTTTCCTTTGTGAATGATTCACCTCGATAGTATTCCCATCGTCAATACTTCACAGGTTTGTGTACACTATGGCTGCTATTCATGTGGGGTGATCGGGTAGCCTAGTGGTTGAAGCGTTCGCTCGTCATGCCGAAAACCCGGGTTCGGTTCCCGACATGGGTACAATGTGTGAAGCCCATTTCCTGGTGTCCCCCGCCGTGATATTGCTGGAATATTGCTAAAAGCGGCGTAAAACCATACTCACTCACTCATTCACTGCTATTCATGTGGCGAATGGGGGCACGTGTTTGTCTTAAATACAAAATGTCTCAATTTTCCGCTGAAACACATTTCATTTGGCTTTAAAGGCAAAATAGGGTAAAAATTATATGAATGGATCATTGAAAGTCAGTGATGACACCAGGTGTTTGCGAAAAGGGTAAGCATGTCCTGCCCTACCGGTAGCACCCGCCACTCACACAATTGGCATAAAGAGTGAATGTTTGTTGCCTTGTGCCTCACAGCAGTACTCCTGCCATGCAACTGCGGCCTGTAAACAAACCCGACAATCAAGTGATGAAAATCGATGTCGGATAATGAATTGAGGCAGTGTATTACTGATGGAAGTCAAATGAGCCCTACTCCTTGCAGGGACTTTGTGTGAACCCACCTGCTGCTTGACATTGAAGCAATGTGTGGAGTAGATGACCACAATGCTGTGGTACATGTTGTGTGAGAAATACTGTTCATTGAACTTAGCACTGTCTTGCTTGAAGCTGTCGGTGGCTTGATTTATTGGTTAAAATAGGAGACTACACTGCAAAACATGGCATGTACTCACAGGAACGTAGTGTGTACAGACATAGGAAGTACTGACGATGTAAAACCAGATTGTTGGGTGTCAATGCTTGTGGGTTTTGCCAGAGTGGTTGATGTCTACAGCATGCACCATTTACAGACATTGGGCTTATGACCCGTGAAGATCCGGGGTAGAATAGGCCTTCAGCAACCCATGCTTGTCGTAAAAGGCGACTAACGGGATCGGGTGGTCAGGCTCACTGACTTGGTTGATGCATGTCATCAATACCAATTGCGTGGATTGATGCTCATGATACTTATCACTGGATTGTCTGGTCCAGGCTCGATTATTTACAGACCACCATCATACAGCTGGAATATTGCTGAGCGCGGCGTTAAACAACAAACAAACAAAATTAGGCTGACTCTGTAATATTGTTGAAGGATTCACTCTCACTTTATTGAATGAGCACAGGTATTTTCTTGCATTGAGCTAGCCATGTTATGGGTATTGTGCACCACCAGAATGGTCTGAATGCAGAAGGGATCTCCTCTTCTCCAAATCATGCTTGTCAAGACTGGCGACTGAAGTTGGGATCACTTCTTTAAGTGGCAGTAAAATTGGTATCCATCTCCCTTGTTCAAAGTTGGGATCTGTTGGTGACAATGGCTGGTGTGTGTGGACAACTCTTAATGGAGCAAAACCAGGAAACAACAGCATTCAGCTGATGGCATGGATTAATACTCCTACCTTCAGCCAATGCTTTTGTCTGCTCCAGTGATCCTCAAAACGATCATATCATCCTAACCAGTGTCCGAAATACTGCTTGTCTGCCTGCCCGTGGCTGGTAACTTTTCTGCCAGGCTGCATGAAATTTTCCTCCACCTCCCCGACTGTCTGGTAGTTTTATAATAACTCCTCATAGATTCTCAAGTCATTGTTTGCATTAAACCACTGAATCAAGACATGATTTGTCTCCCATTTTTCACGATTTTTCAGTATAAATAATGTCTGAATGCGGGCAGTAACATTGAAGATGGGCAGGCAACATTGATTGGTCACCTGTCCAACTGTCTTGTTGGGTTTTGAAGTTTTTCCAAATACTGATACCAACCCCAATAGCTTAGCTTAGACTTCTGACAGTGTACTTCGATTGTTTTGACAAACAGAAACGAGAGCTGCTTTCTTTGAAGGTCTTTATAGCACTATAACATTATACCTTCAACTACAGAACCTGCTACTACCATGGGAATGTGGATCTTAACCCCATTCCCTCAAATACTGAACCTGTCGTTACAGTAGGAATGTGGATCTTAACCCCATTCCTTCAAATACTGAACCTGTCATTACAGTAGGAATGTGGATCTTAACCCATTCCCTCAAATACTGAACCTGTCGTTACAGAAGGAATGTGGATCTTAACCCCATTCCCTCAAATACTGAACCTGTCGTTACAGTAGGAATGTGGATCTTGACCCCATTCCCTCAAATACTGAACCTGTTGTTACAGTAGGAATGTGGATCTTAACCCCATTCCCTCAAATACTGAACCTGTCATTACAGTAGGAATGTGGATCTTAACCCCATTCCTTCAAATACTGAACCTGTCGTTACAGTAGGAATGTGGATCTTAACCCCATTCCCTCAAATACTGAACCTGTCGTTACAGTAGGAATGTGGATCTTACCTCAGGTCAGTGCTCATATGGAATATGCTTGAATTATATGTATGTATTATTTTGGATATTGCAGTATCATTTCATGATTGTGGATGTACTGGTATGCAATTAAGAAATAAATTGTTATCGAAGGAACATGGTTGATTTGTTTCATTAGCTTCTTGTAGACCAAAACACATTGGCAGCAGCTTATTTGGAACCCAAGATTGGTATAGTTCTTGGTGAAATTGCAACCAAGGAAAATATATTTGTTTTGTTTTTAATGAATGGCGTTCAAAAGAATTATTTTGCCTTTCAAATCTTCCCCAAAAATTGCTGTCTTCTCCTTTCTGAGGAAAAACCAGTAAGGTCAGTAAGTAGTGACAAAGTAGCAGACTGCCCCAGACCATGTAATGGATGACCACCATCAAACAATTCAGCAGGAACAATTCAGTGTGAAGAGACAAAAATGACTTCATCAGAATATTAATGAAATCATATTCTCTGATCCACTATCATAATTTAATAACCACATAGCTTAACTTTGTTTAATTTGTAATGGGTGCTTCCATTTTCAGTTCAGATGTGTCCAGGTGTAAGTGTGGGGTTGTACCTGCAGTGTAAAGCTTCAAGACCACATTTGTATTTTTTTTTGTGGCCAGGTTTTTTATTTGTGCATATTCTGATAAGAAAAAAGAATACTCTGCAAGATATTTTAATGACTGCTGAATTCATATTTTGTCTTTTTACACTTTGGTTGATGTATGTCATTGTATCCCAATTGTGTGGATCGATGCTCAGGATGTCAATCACTGGATTGTCTGGTCCAGACTCGATTATTTACAGACTGCCATCATATGGATGGAATATTGCTGAGTGCGGTGTTAAACAACAAACAAACAAAACTCAGGAATTCGGTATAGAATTAGGCAGCGGCAATCTGTGCTTGTCCTAAGAGGTGACGAAAACCAATCTTGTGGTCGGGCTTGGTGAAGTAGGATGTTGCTCATAATATCAACCACTGGTTTGTCTGGCTTAAACTTAATTATTTACCAGTGTCCACTATATTGGTGAAATATTGCAGACTGCAGCGTTAAACAACATACACCATCGCTTCCACACTGATATCTGTCCTACCTAGTGTGAAACGAATGTCATGGTGCAAGGTATCCTTCATGCATAGTTCCTGGTTGTCCTTGTGTGGAGCCATCTTTATGATGAGAATACAATGTGTGAGCGAGTTTGCTTCACGTCGCTTTTAACAATATCCCAGTTATATCACGGCGTGTCAGCTTAATGTGGGAGAAAAGCCTGAAGTGATGCAGGTCTCAGACGTTTACCACTTTGGTGAAACCCACGAGTACAGGTATGTACTGACAAACCTAGAACCATAATTGAGGGAAACAAGATTTGAACCCACAATCCTAGGCTTCTGGCGCCTTAGATGACTGGGCCACCTGTGCCCCCGAGAAAACAATGGCCTCACTTACGGATGTACTGACCAAGTTTTTCCCAGCTGTCAGCTGTGTTAGGATTTCCAGTAGTCACACCCACTTCAGTCACAGTCACAGTCACAAATCCTTACTTGTGAACACCATATGAGTGAGTGAGTATGGTTTTACGCCGCTTTTAGCAATATTCCAGCAATATCACGGCGGGGGACACCAGAAATGGGCTTCACACATTGTACCCATGTCGGGAATCGAACCCGGGTCTTCGGCGTGACGAGCCAACGCTTTAACCACTAGGCTACCCAACCACCCCTTAACAGCATATGAAAATTCAATATTTCCCTGTTTGCTACCAGTAAGTGTAAGTTGTTGATTGCTCCAGACATGCTTGCTGATCTGTTCACAAGACAGTGTGACCATTTGGTTATGTTGTGGATCGAGGACAGCAGATAAATAGTGAAAATATTTTATTCAAAGTGAATAAGTGGTTGTTAATAAACATATTGAACAAAAAATATTGAGTTAGTTATCAGATTAAATGCTGACAAGAAAATAGCAAAACAAAGTTAAAAATATCACATTCAAAATATATTGACGTATGATCCAAGATGGTTTTCCCATTTATTTAAAAAACATTCCACCTCTCCGTAAATATCCCAACCAGAATAAGTACCACATGACCAATTGTCATCCAACTCATTACCAGTGATTGTGATGTTTTTAAAATGTATTATTTTCCAAAAAATACCTGAAAGAAATAATCTTGCCTAAAATAAAAATAAAAACTGTTTACCATCTTCACATGTTAAACCTTCATGATCTGTGGATGAGGCACGTTTTGAGTTTTGCGTTTACAGTGGGCAGGGTGAAGAAAAATCCATAGCATCTGGGACAAGGGTGATACCCAGGTGAGCTATATATATATAATATTGGTTTTCTTATCCATGCTCAGCTTTAGAAAAAAAAGATCACATGAAAATCCTTGTTAGAATTGGTCTTCGGCAACCCATGCTTGTTGTAGGAGGTGACTAACAGGACTGGGTGGTCATACTCACTGACTTGGTTGATACATGTCGTATCCTTTTGTTTATTTGTTGTTCAACACAATATGCCAGATATATGACGGGGGTCTGTAAATAATCGAGTCTGGATCAGACAATCCAGTGATCCACGTTATTGGGATATGATGATATGCATCACCCAAGACAGCGAGCCTGACCACCCGATCCCATTAGTCGCCTCTTACAAGCATAGTCGCCTCTGACGACAAGCATGGGTTGATGAAGACCCAGTCAACCCCGGATCTTCATGGGTTTCATCATTTCCTCATCATATCCTAATTGCATAGATCATTGTGCATCATGTCAATCAATGGGTTGTGTGGTCCAGACTATATACTCACAGACTGTGGTCATGCACCTCGAATATTGCTGAGGCGATACAAGTCCGAAAAAGAAGATGTGTTGGTGAAAAAATATAAAAAAGGAACTAAAAAAAAACCTCTTTGGTTGGGAATACAACTAATAAGTTGCTTGCTAAAGACATGTAAAAGTTTTGTTTAAAACTGATTGTTATGCCTCAGTCACAATTGCCGTGTGGCGCGGTCGTGTGGTCGAAAATATCTACAGCCAATAGCAATTATAGGGCCGTCGCAGCATTCCCACGGTCACATACTGTAGCAGTCACATATGTTAGGGTAGCCGCACGGCGTATTTTTGACAAATACCAAGGTAGCCGCTGCACAGGGCAGCCGCACGGCAAACGCTAGGCCACCGTATGCCCAATGTATGGTCGCCGTGGAACTGCTCTACGGCATGGCTACAGCGTGTCTAATTGTCTATTTACTACGGCGTGACTAGAAATTAAAAAAGTTATAACTCTGTGCCATAATCCCACGTCAACCCCTACGGCCTATAATAGATAGTGATACGCCCTAGGGCGACTCTGCGGCCCGCTGCAGGTATCTCTCGATTTCGGGGGGCTAGGTCTGTCGTATCCTAGCTGTAGAGCAAATGTGACTGATGCATGATTGTGCCCTGCTGTGGAAAAAAACAAAGCTATAGGCAGATTTATGTCTTATGACTGAATGTAGAGGTTATTTTTTTTATAAAAATAAAACTTTGTTATTTCCACCCCCACCCAACCCCAAGGTGTGATATATACTCCTAAAAACAAGTTAAACAAGCCCACAATTAGAAGCAGCCATGACAGCTTAACTATAGTCATATGGTAAAATCGGGTGTGATGTAACTTCTTTTGATTGGTACATATTCAAGCGGGCAAATGGATAGATTTAACTAAATAAAATAAGCAGAGTAACAGATAGGGGCTGAACATCTGATATTTTGGGAGGCTCGGATTTTTTTTCATAAAATAAATTTCGCAAAAAAATATTGTTTGCATGACCTTAACCTGCAAAAAGAAACCATTTGTCACAAGAACAACCTTGATCGGTTTCTTTCATGGAAAGAAATCGTAAAACAGTGGTTGGAAATATATTCTTTTCCTTAAAATATTCCCTGGCCCCAATGAGATTATTAAACGGTTTGTTCCTTTGTGATTTCAACCACAGTCGACCTGTGAGTCATGTAACTGGAGTATTTGATTCATTCTTCTTCAATCTCATTAAAATCAGATCTTAGTTCTCGCTACCGCTAAACAAAGATCTGAGGACATCCCATTAGGGGTCACGTCAGAACAACCTTTCATCCGACCAATCAGAGCGTCGCTTACCAGATCATGAAAGTGAGAGTCGGAATGTGATTCTAATCATGCAGCCTCGAAAACTTTAAAACAGGGTATTCCGAACGATAGTTACGGGCTTAACGACTGATTCTATACAATCTAGAACATATATTAGCCATTCGAGAATGTACTTTTGTTCAGGTTTCAAATTTTTAAGCGAGAATTTGTCAAAATATGTTTCAAGCGTAGTCGCCAATTTGAAATTAGTGCCGTAAAGCACGAGAAAGCTGCCTTCTGATTGGCTAATGTCGACTTCTTGTCAGTAATTCCATTGGTCGGTCAGAGTTTGCGAAAGGTCGGTCTGACGTGACCCGTAATGGGATGTCCTCAGATCTTTGTTTAGCGGCAGCGAGAACTAAGATCTGATTTTAATGAGATTGATTCTTCTTAAAATATACACTCTGAAAAAAGTATGATGATCACACATTTAACATGTTAAAACACCTTTATCACACATACTCTACTCCAAACAAATTAAAGAACACTCACAATCTGAAGGCAGTGTGTTGCGATACCCGCCAGCCATAACAGATTTGCTATAATAATATGAAAACAAATTGGTGTTCTTTAACTTCTTTTGAGTAGTATATATAAAAATCCCCTCCAACAAACACAACACATTCACACCTTTGCATACAGAGTTCACATAATACAGGGTGCTTGAGTTCGCATGGTTAACACATTCAATTAATATACTCACTTCAAAATGGTATGTCCACAGAATTAGGAGATGGAGCGACCATGAGCGAGGTACGAACAAATATATAGAATGGACACAGAAAAATAACAATATTGCATACCGAGGGACGCACATTATACATTCATTCTACCCAATGTTTGACAAAGGTCCTGTTATAAAAGTACTTAGCAAATCCTAAACTACACATGATTTCATTACTTTACAGGACCCTCATATTTCATATAAGGACCCTTGAAAATAAGTATTGGGGTCCCCTGTACCCCTAGATTTGTAGGTCAAGGTAAAACACTGCCATGAGGAATACATTTTGACTTAGCTCTGAGATTGTCAGTAGGCATGGGTCATAGATCCTTCACTTCTGAGCAATATGGATATCCTATCACAAAATTTCAGAGGGAAACTCCTTCTTTTCACAGGTAAGGGCTCAATGACCCTGGCATCTCCCGCTAATGGCCTACCATTCAGCAACTTGAATACTGAATGCCGGGGGATATGTAGCAGAACAAATATAATATGGTCAAAGGAAAACAATGGTAGATTGAAGTCAAGGTGGTCCAAAACGAATTGAGCTCTGAGTATTATGCTGCCTTTAACAATGTCTGAGATTGCTTCCAGGGAAATGTATACGGAGATGTATACAAGGCATCGTACACACGGTACACTCTCCTACCCAGAGTTCCATGCGACCGGCAGCCAGCCAGCATAGTACCTCTGCCACAGGCCAGCGCCATGTGACGATTCGTCACATCTTTCACAGTTCATTCAAGATATTGCATATGCTTTTCATCCGTTTCATGTTTGACAAGTCTACACATTTTCATAAACAAATGTCAAAGAATGGTTACGGTTCATTAAGAAAGTATCCTAATACGTGAAAATCTATTTGTTTTTGCGTAGTTATCCTTTGTTTACATTGGTTGCACAGCTCCACGTGCAGTCTTCGAAGCCCAACGGAGAGCTAGCGATACGGTCACTTTGATGTATAAATATATATTGTCATGAAATTCACTGTCGCAGTGGTAGTAGCATATCTATATTATTATGCATAACAATATGTTAAGCGCCCCCAAATACTTGCATTAGTCCGTTCTATACTGATTTCTGAAAAAGCGTGTTTGTTTACAAACAAGAGAAAAGTCCGGTCATGTGATATGCAAATTAGCCTGTGGCAGTGGTGTTATGCTGAGTCACCACTGCGCCGGAGTGTGCACACGGTAGTGTATACGGAGATGTATACAAGGCAGTGTATGTGGATAAGTGTGTACGATATAAGGGACAGTGTATGTGGGGCTGACAGATACTCTTCAGACTTTCCTCTCACATAAAGCTGCCATTCTTTGATGCCAAACTGTTGAAAGGTGTATTTAGCCCCAACCCACTCACTACTTGTTTGTGAGATTACAGTCAACCCCTCAGACCCCACTCCGAGACAATCCTCTGGGCGAAGGACATCACCATCATGCTGGTTCCGTTAGCCAGGAAGCTGCGGATGGTGCCAGGCATCAGACCGCGATACAGAGCCAGCACCCCGCCTCTCTCCCGCACGATGATTCTCATCCGCTCCATCACCGACACATGCCTGCAAAAAAAAGCAGACGTAAAATGTTCCTCACTCAAAAATGGTTAAGGTCAGTTCAGTGAGTGAGTGAGTATGGTTTTACGCCGCTTTTAGCAATATTCCAGCAATATCATGGCAGGGTCACCAGAAATGGGCTTCACACAATGTACCCATATCGGGAATCGAACCCGGGTCTTCGGCGTGACAAGCAAACACTTTAACCACTAGGCTACCCGATTGCCCCCTAACGTCAGTTCAACATCAGTTAATATTTTTTGTTTGTTGTTTACTGCCGCACTCAACAACATTCCAGCTATACAACGGCGGTCTGTAAAGAATATTATAATATTATAAGCAAGGATCCACACTTTCAGGGTACTATTAAACAAGTCACAGAGCCTGACAACCTAATCCATCAACTCACTGAGTTGGTTTTTCGCCACTTTTAGCAATATTCCAGCAATATCACGACAGGGAACACCAGAAATGGGCTTCACACATTGTACACATATGATGAACCAAACCCTGGCCTTTGGCGTGACGAGCAAACACTTTAACCACTAGGCTACCCGACTGCCCCTAGCCCACTTATAATAACAAACATCCACAAAATTTCATCTGGCCATGAAGCCATTTCAGAGAAAAAGTCCAAAGTGTATGGAGGCCAATGGACGGCTTCTGATAACATAAGCCAACTGACCTGCCATAGTCACACTGCACCTGGCACTTCATGTACTCCAGTGGCCAAACAATCCACCACGCCAGTGTCGCCGCAATGCCAGATGTAAGGAATGGACCAATCAGGGGCTTCTTGAAGTGTTCAGGGAAGTGTCGCCTTCCTGAATCCACCAACATAAAGTAGGTACACATCAGCCCCATCGTCCGACACCAGGTCACACCGAAGCCCTAGGTGAGGGGAAACAGTATGTTCATTCATAGAAATCGTGCAGGATAAAAATGAGTGAGTGACTGACAGTGAGTGAGTGAGTGAGTGACTGACAGTGAGTGAGTGATCGAGAGAATGAGAGTGTAGGAGTGAGCATCTTCCAGAGGCAAGGGAGTTAACTGACTGTATAAGTCCAGTTTCCACCCTTGCCGAACTAGGCTGTAATTATGGAGTTATATTTTGGCTCGAATAACGAGTCTATGCATAGTCCAATCCCTTGCCGAACTACGCTGAAATCTGCACGGCATTTTACGAACCGGATGTCAATTTTGTTACACAATATTGATAGGACTATGCATAGACTCGTTAGTCCAGCCAATTGGTGGAAATTGGACTTTTATAGTCCCTTGCCCTGGGGAAGATGAGGATTGAGAGTTGGAGTGAGCACAATTTGATGAATGGATACACATATAGACTTACCGTGTACACCTTGCTGAGCTTCCACTTCTGGTTTGTCTGTCCTCGTACCTAGTCCAACAAATGATATAGAAATAGTGACAATCCATATAGAATCATTACAAGAAGCCTCGTATCAACATATTGGAGATCCAGATCAGCCATGCTTCTGACCCATACAATGTGAGAACACATATTGCTTACTCAGCATCGACCCGTGAAGATCCGGGGTAGAATAGGTCTTCAGCAACCCATGCCTCTTACGACAAGCATAGTCGCCTTTTACAGCAGGACTGTGTTGCTGAAGACCTATTCTACCCCGGATCTTCGTGGGTTCTATGCAATTAGGATACGATGACATGCATCAACCAAGTCAGCAAGCCTGACCATCCGATCCTGTTTGTCGCTTCTTACGATAAGAATATTTGCCTTTTATGGCAAACATGGGAGAAGACCTATTCTACCCCAGATCTTCACGGGTCCCAGGCTACAGTGCATTATACAGGATAGAAGTAAGAACAAACCTTGGCATATTCTAGAGGTGTTTCTATGATGGCCCTGGACGTGGACGCGATGGCACCTGCCCCCAGCACCCGGCTGTCGACACAACACAAGCATCATGCAGACTCAGACAGCACAAAACACACTCAGAAACATTTACATGAAAAGGACAGACCAGTTTAATTAATTCTTTCTACACATTAAACCAAACAAAACAGGTAGTGCCAATCCACTGATGCTCACCTGGCTCTACGCCTGGGACCCATGGGAACACAAGACTAACTGGACTTGTGGCTGGTCACGTGATTTTGTTTAATGGGAAAAGTTATCTAGATCTCCGGTTACACTATAAGTGACTCATGTTTGTATTTCTTTCTGACTATACAGGCATTAATTCTGACTTCTATACATTTGAGGGGGCACGGGTGGCCCAGTCGTCTAAGGGGCCGAGATTCGCTGTGCAGAGTTGCGTCCCTTAGGCAGGCCAGAAACCTATGATTGTGGGTTCGAATCCCGGTTCGCCCCCAATTATGTTTCTAGGTTTGTCAGCACCATACCCGTGCTCGTGGGTTTCACCTAAGGGTAAACGTCTGAGACCTGCATCACTTCGGGCTTTCCTCCCACATTAAACTGACACGCCGTGATATAACTGGAATTCTGTTAAAAGCGGCGTTAAACCCAACTCACTCACTCGCTCTATATGTTTCAAGTTTCAAGTTGACTTCAGTATGTATGACCAGATCGTTTTATACATGCATTTCATATCTAAAAACATTTTGCCAGGGATATGGTCAAACTGTCTCCTATCGGACATTGTTTATCTCTTTTATGACACATCTTCATTTAAAAATCATTTCATTCTATAAAAATAAATAATTTAAAAAAGTATCTATTTCATTTTTGCTTTTGATTTTAAGCAATGTCTGAGAGTGAAATAATGACTTCCATCCCCTACTACAAGAGAAGCTACTACTGACAGCTGCACGCCTCCCGATCCCGGCACCTCGTACCGCCAGCCAGGCGTGTCCATCAACGTGTACCTGGAATCCAAACCGTGTTGATTGGTCAGAATGATTGTCCACCAAGATAAGGAAACACATGAAGTTATAACATAGCTTGTTTCTTTGTTTAACTCTGCCTTCAGCAATATTCAAGCCATATGACAGTGGCCTGTAAATAATAAAGTCTGGACCAGACAATCCAGTGATTGATATTATGAGCAACAATCCCCATCCTTTGGTACGATGACATGCTTTCAACCAAGTCTCTGAGTCTGACTATCTGATGCAGCTGCCTCTTAAGACCTGCATGGGTTGCTATAGGGACCAATTGGCTGAAGCAGTGGTACATTTAGAGGATATTTTGTTGAGTAATTAATTAGAGAGTGCCTCATCACATTTTTCAGTGATAAACTAATGTTTTTCAGCAGCTTCTTAAAACAAAAGCTGCCACTGACATATTTTGATTTCTTGAAAAATGGTATATCATTTGACTTTTTTAAAATATGTTGTTCCAAATCACACTTACATGCCCTCAAAAACAGCAAACTGTGTTGACCGGTAGATCCCAGACCCCCACAGGGGAGGGATACAGCCTCTGGCAAAACAAAAACAGTATATGTTACCATGGCGATGAGGTTATAGTGGTAACCACGGCATCTGGTCTGCACACCGGTACCACCTGTCTCAGGTAGCAGGATAATCTCCAATTCGATGGTAAACATTTATAATCACTTACCTATCACAGAGCATACAGTCAAACCCTGTTATCTCAAACCAAGTGACAGTTCGCCTACCTGTACAACCCTCGGACTCCCTGTGTCTTGAGTGTCTGTAGAATCATGACAGTCTGCCTACCTGTACAACCCTCGGACTCCCTGTGTCTTGAGCGTCTGTAGAATCATGACAGTTCGCCTACCTGTACAACCCTCGGACTCCCTGTGTCTTGAGCGTCTGTAGAATCATGACAGTTTGCCTACCTGTACAACCCTCGGACTCCCTATGTCTTGAGGGTCTGTAGAATCATGACAGTCTGCCTACCTGTACAACCTTAAACTCCCTATGTCTTGAGCGTCTGTAGAATCATGACAGTCTGCCTACCTGTACAACCTTAAACTTCCTATGTCTTGAGGGTCTGTAGAATCATGACAGTCTGCCTACCTGTACAACCCTCGGACTCCCTATGTCTTGAGTGTCTGTAGAATCATGACAGTTTGCCTACCTGTACAACCCTCGGACTCCCTGTGTCTTGAGTGTCTGTGCAAACGTCTGTATCATGTTTGTTTTCTCAAATCCCACCTGGGCCTGCATCTTTGTCTTGAGAGTGTCGAAGGGATGCCCCACACAAACATTTGTGATGCCATACAGAACTCCCACTGTGATCAAGAGAATACAATAGCAAGATGATTAAGCCAGATACTCCTTCACAGATTTTGTGAAGCAAGTCAGACACATGAGGAGAGAGGATGTACCTTAACATTCAATATGAGCAACAGAGCTTTTGTTACCACTATAGAGACTCTAAATATTCATGACAAGATATGGCTAACTAAACCTGTTCCTATTTATTGGTCTTGTTATAAGTGAATACAGGTTACTTCTACAAGGCCTTAAAATGAGTTTTTAGTTATACATATTACTACATTGTAACATGAATTGGGAAATTGTTGGTACCAAATTGGGAATTTTTAATGATATTTGCTGGTGCCTTACATCAGCCTCTGAGCAGGTCTAGATAAATCCCTTACACCAGGCAGAATATCAGATTCAGGTTCTAAATTGCTTCAACATGTTCAAATACATGACATATTTATCATATATTTGTGATGACAAAGACTCAAACATGTTTAAGGCAGACATTATGTTAGATTTCATTCTATTGCATAAATATATTTGGTTTGTTTGTTTGTTGTTAAACTTTGCACTCAACAATATTCCTGCTATATGACAGCGTTCTGTAAAGAATCAAGTCTGGACCAGACAATCCAATATTGTGACCAGTATTGTGACCAATGATCAAAGCAGTTGAGTACAATGACATACAAACAGGCAAGCCTGACCATGGTGCACCCAACCAATTTGATCGCCTCCCCATGTGACACTGGATTAGCAGGAATAATATCATCAATTTGTATTGTAGTTAAATACCATATTCGACGTTTTGCGAGATTTGCTAATATATTGGCTAGTGAACAATCCCAATTAGCACCCCTACCGACCCCTATTCGCATATAATACACACCGCTTCCTTCCCCTATTCGCGTATAATACGCACCTGTGTGTTATATGCACCCTTTATGAAATTAAATTCTGGAAAAATATATCTGTTGTACATAAACATTTCAAGCTGTCAGCATAAATCACAAAATTTATCTTTCAACTCTGTTTTTCCTCAACAAAATAATGTTCTAATAAGGGCCCCCTAATTCTAATTTTGCGAGCGCCCTGGGTGCTTATTACGTCAAATACGGTAGTTCAATGCAATAAGTTTGCCCAGTAAAAAGACAATATCAAGTTCACACAAAGCACAAAGTTGTGTTATTGAGTGAGGCCTATATTTAGGGTCCATGGCTTCACATGCATCTGAAACAGCACCTCAGCAAAATGTCACTGAGTGAAAAAAGCACCGAGCAAAAACAGCACCGATTGGCAAAATGGTGTCACATCGCCTAAAGCGATAACGGCACCTTATTTTTTTTTTACCTTGCTCCTGAAATAAATGAAATAAAATTAAGGTCACTTGCAAGCACCAATAATTGTGAAATGTTAAAGCAAGTTTATATTAGAAATTAGCCTCCACTCCAATTAATATACTAACCGACTCTGATTGGGAGGTGCAACTAAACGTATTGTGAAAACATCACATGCTAAAAATGAAGCTAAATTAAATTAAACTCACATGGTCACTTGCAAACACAAATAATTGTGAAATGTTAACAATAACTGTCGAAGACAAGACAATGAATATGTAAATAAATCATATATTCTACAACATAACATAGTAAAACATGTAAATAAAGCATATACAACATCATAAATCGTTCTTATCGTTATAAGAAATAGAGGTGCCGTTTTCGCCCAAGAAATCGGTGACGTGTTGCTGAGGTGCCGTTGTTGACTGCACCCACAGAAGCAGAAAAGTGATACAAGTTTCCTAAAATACTGGACTATATATAAACAGTACCCTGAAGCAGAACAGTAATATTACTGAAACACCGGACCCACACGTATAAACATACGTCTATTTATAATTAATCTATACATATGGCTCCGGTGTTTCAGTGATATCCCTATGCTTCAGGAGCCTATGGCCCAGCTAGCGAGCAAATTAGCAGGTGCCCTGGCATGCATATGAAATATGCCATTAAATCCACGCAGTGTCAGCTGATTATTGTGATTTGAATTTTACCTCCAAGCCCTATGGCCCCTTCTCTTATCCAACTCGCTCTCTCTTCGTTATGTGTCATACTGTTATCAGCTGTGGTCAGACTGTACGTGCTGTTAGAGGTCGCAATGCCAGTCCACCAATGACCCCGCCCACTTTACATAAATACTAAAATTGGGAACTTTCGAGCGAAAAGGAAGTGCGGTTTTAAAAATAGACACATATCAATATCCATTTTGTAAAATTAAAATGTAATATTTCGCAAGAAGATTAAAATGAATACACCGAAAATTGTATTACTTTCGGTGTGTATTGTTTACACATAAATGTTCAAACTCTGAATTCGTATAACTTGAGTGACTTTGTTTTTCTTTGTACCGTCAGAAATATGGCGGGAGAAGACGAAGTTTCTCAAGTTGTCGAGGAGGAAATCCAGTCTCAGACAACTGAACAATCTGGATCTGACCGGCTATTTAAGCTACCCTTATCTAGAATCAAGCACATTATTAAATCGGACCCAGATGTGTCACTAGCTAGCCAGGAAGCTGTGGTGTCTTTGGCGAAAGCAGCGGTATTTGTTTTGTGTTCGGTTTTCGATCATTTCTGAACAGTGACAATTTGAGCTTGTTTGATACGCAGTCTTCATATTATCATTATTTCTACAGTATACAAACAGAGACCGTGAAATATATTTTATTTTAATATCTATTTGATGGTCACTGATAGAACCTAGAAATGCTAATTACGTTACGAGGCATTTAGATCTGTATGTTGTATTTAGTATAAAAAAGTAAACAGTTAAAGGCAAGGTACCGCCCATTATTACATGGGTGAGTGGGTCAGAGGTTTTGATGCACTAATGTACTCAAATTAATTACCCTGCCCTTGTCCTTGTCTCGTTTATGGCCATCTTCCCGAGGCAAGGGAGTTAACTGACATGAATACATGGCTAGGAATCATAGAGTTTTATTTGGCTGGACTTATGAGTCTATTCATAGTTAAATCAAAATCCTGAAAACATATCAACATCCTGTTCATAAATAACATGGGAACTGCAGTGCCGAATTCGTTCGATTGCAGGATTTGGAGAGCGTGCCAACCTCTGCCAACGACTACATCTGCGACATTGTTTTGTGATTTCCTATTGTGTAGATCTACATGGGAATAAAGCCCAGTGGCAGACCTCATCACAAAGCGGTTTCACAATCTGGATGTGGGCTTTGGATGACAAAAAAAACAGGAGACTTAATTATTTATGTCAATGCGCAAAAGAGGAATTCCACTGTGACATATTTATCATATTTATGCAACAATTCTCTTGCTCTTTCAGCTTTTGCATATCCCTCGTGATGGCTTCCTCAAAATTGGGATCACATTTACCAAGGGCCCTTGGATTATTCCCTGGTGAAAAGAGGGGATTTAGTGGATTGTAGGGTCCGGCTAGAACACATTAACTGTGTTTTTGGCATATTTTTAGATGCAAGGCATATGTAAAATCAAAAATTATTTCCGAGTGATTCTTTGCCGAAGAACTTGAAATCATTCGCGCATTCTGATTGGTTTGTTGTATTTTCGCACACAACATTCATCGATAGGGGGACGAGACTTCTTGCAGGTTACGGAAAGGGGCGAGTGGTGACGAATGGACAACTTGGTTGTGTCTCATCGTTGCTCAACAATGAAAAACTGGATTGTTTAGTCTAGACTCGATATTTACAGGCCGCCGCCATGTCGCCGGGATATTATTGAGTGCTGTGTTGAACAACAAATAAACAATCTTGATCCAATTTTAAAATTTGTTATTGTTTCAGGAACTCTTCATTCAGATGTTAGCCAAGGATGCTGCAACAAAGACACTACAAGGGAAGAGGAAAACACTACAGAGAAAAGACTTAGGTATGTCTTCTGAAAAGTTTTTTTTATCTCATTGTCAGACAATTGCAAATTGCACTGTTGGGGGAGTCAGAACAGATACTAGACATGTACCTAGGACCCCTGTCAGTGTACACAAATTTACTTTACCAAAATCAAAGTACAGGATTGTATCCTAGCACAGCAGTATGAACAGTTTGTCTATTTTATTCCCTCTTGAAGTTTATTTTCACAAGGCACCAAACTGTCTCCTTCGCGTATGCCAGACAATGGAGAATTGAATCAGAACACTTCTTAAGCATGTTCAGAAACAGGAATCACTGTTTAATATTTCAGTGGGAAGTTGAGAAAAGTGATATTTTCATTGTAGTGAACATGACACTTACGGAACTATTGTCATACAAGAGTTACCTCCCTGCAAAGTGTCCTTTTTACATTAGTTCCACATTCCGCTGTTGGTTTTGTTTATGATCTTATCCAAATGTATGATAAAGAACTTTAGTGACCTCAAATATGTTATTTTACTTTTGTTTATATTTGTTAGGATTTTGCAAGCTAGGAACTACCTTTTAAGTCACAATTACAAGGGTTAGTGAAACACCACTGCATGTTAAGTACAGAGAATTTACGTTTCAATTTGTAATGAAAAATATAATTGTAGACAACTACACAAAAAGTATATAATATATAGGATATGACATGTGTTGATGTATCTCTCATCTCGTGACTAGAGGGAGGGTGGAGGTGTTTGAGATATTTTCAAGGCCACTCGTGAAAATATCACTTTCTCCCCCATGACAAAATGGGAGAAACAAGACATTTCACTTGACACATGAAATATCCTCTATATATTTGACATGCATACATATTGCCAAGCTAGGGAACATTGGTGTTTACAAAAAGGTACCTAGACTACATTCCTGTCGTACTAGTGCAAACAACACCGACTGCAGCATTGCTTTGTGCCACAGCTTCATCCAAGCTTGGTGAGCTGCTTGCGAGGGTGAACGATGATAAAAGAAGATGTTGTCAGTATTTACATAATAGTCTCTGATGGTGGGATACTATCTCCAGATGAGCCAGTGGTGTTTCGGGAGAGACATAATTATGATCTCTGCCCTATTAACAAATGAAGTTTTGTGTTGAAGTTATAGATTTGAATCGAACAAATAGAATTGGCCTGATATTTCGGTCGTTACCTCTTATATGTTCAATTTCATTAAAGTCGACTCAGACATTTTGAAAGTTCTAGAAAAAGGTGTGCTACTGTTGCAGCACGAGTCCTTATAATGATAACATATAGTTAAACCCTTAAAAAGGGCAATTTTCTACTAGTCCTCATGATACCTTAAGTATTGGGCAGTTTGGCAAGTGAGTGAGTGAGTAATTTTTGCAAAACGTCGCATCAACAATCTTGCAGCTGTTCGCGGCCCAGTGTGGCAAGGACTATAGGACTACTGCCAATTTCTAACTCTGTGTTGGTATTTTTAGGTAGTGATTTGTCTAAATATTTCTGGATTTTATACATGTTAGAACCAAAATTGCTAAATGAGAATGAGTGATCTGATGTAAATAACATGATTTCTGTTACAGATGTCATTTTGGACACAAGAGATTGCTATGCTTTCTTAGAAGGTAAGAGGATTTTGTTTTTTTAGCTCCTCTTGAAGTGAGCTTATGTCATGGGTCTTTGTCTGTTTCTTAAACTATTGAACATATCAGATCATGTCACAACATTTTTCAACATAATGAATTATTATACCCCGCCATGAAGTGGGGTGGGGGATATAGGAACAGAGTACGTCCGTCCGTCCATTTCTCAAAGGGGACAAGTTTTCTCAAAAACTAATTAAGTTAGAGAAATTAAAGTTTGCATCCTGGTGTTCCTGGTCATGATCTCAAATGAGTTCGAAAATTGATGTCATAAATTCAATTTTTACAAAGTTGTGGCCCTCGCTCAGTGATTTTCCACTTAGTGCATACTATGTGAAATAGGGACAAGTTTTCTCAGAAACTACTGAAGTTACATGAATGAAATTTTGCATGCTTATCTAAGAGATACTTGTTAAGATTGAGTGTGAAAATTGGTCCCGTCAATTAATCGTTTACAGAGTTATGGCTCTTGCTCAGTGCAAACTATTGAAGTTGAAAGAAAGTTTGCATGCTTATCTAAGAGATACTAGTCAAGCCTTTAGCTAACAATGCAGTTAGACAATGAAGGGATGGGGGGGAATTCCAGGATTAGATCTTGTCATTCATGCCTTGCCGGTGGAGAGCTTTCAAATCAATAATCCATTTAAGTTCAGTGGATCGGCATCTAGCTGTGCTTTGGTCTGACTCAGGGTCTGTTTTTAGCTGTTGTATGATTTGTTGAGTGTCCTACAGAATGAAAGTGTTTGACAACAGGTTTGTCCCTTTGGTGGTTGATATCGCAAAGTGTTCTTGACTCTGATGCAGAAGTGTCGTTTCGTTTCTGTCGTAATGTTTCCCACATTTGGAGCAGTTTAGTAAATGGATTATGTTTCTAAATGTACAGGTGAAATGCATTTGTCATTTGTATTTTTTGCCTGTTATATGGCTACTGTAGGTGTTAACTGATTGTTTGTGACAGTTGTCATCCAGGTTGGTGACAGTTGGGCAACTGATTTGTGGTTTGAGTGGTGGGTATGTAATTGCCGCCTTCACGAGGATGTCTCTAAGTGTGTGCTTCCTTGTATATGCTGTGATGGGTGGACCGCCTCCATGGCCTAGTGGTAGAGCGGAAGGTCCATGGTTCGATCCCCGACCGTGTCATACCAATAGACGTTAAAAGATGGTACTTGTTGTGACCCTGTCTGGCACTCGGCATTAAGGGGCTAAAACAAGGACTGGTCGGCTTGGAGTCAGTGTACTGTGTCTGAGTGGGGTATTCATGTTAAACTGCGGCATGGTATCTCAGTGAGCTAGCACTATAAATCGGCATCAGTCCGGACTAGTACAAGCAGCCACACAAACACACACACACGTACATACACGTCGCTATATAAGTACAATAATCTTGGACGCAACGTTAAACCCCATTTCACCTCACCTCACCTGTGATGTGTGGGACTCAGAACATGTCTGTGCAGGTATCTGACCCTATACGTAGGTGCCAAGACAGTCTGATGAGAGCCCCCAAGCTCGAAACTAGTCACCAATACTTTAGATTACTCTTGGGTTTTATCCAAAACCCTATTCTTATCTAACAATGCAGTTAGTTAGACCACTGTCATAGACAAAGGAGCCATGGTTTATTTCATTTTAGTTAGTTTATTATGTTTTCCTTCAGTGACTAATTGTATCCTGTGTTCCAGGAGTCCTCGACTCGTGATGAGGGGATTGCAGAGAGGAATTGGTTCAGATCCTATTCACCCCCTGGGGGAGATACAGTGCTGAGGAGCAACAGATGGACAAAAGCAAGGGAGGCTCTTGGGAGCAGTGTGTGCCTATGAAAACATTTCTTGCCTCTGAAGTCCATGTTACTCAGTTCAGATATATACCGACTACTAAAGGGGTCATACATTGTAAATAGTTTTTAGATGTCTTTTTAGTCAATAAATTTATTTTACAACCTTTTCGTCTGTCTTGTTGACGTGCACGGCTCGAATTCTTCGATGATTATACTAGTAATTGCAACACAAATATAGGATCATATAGCTGGAATATTGCTAAGGATAGCATTAAACAATGAACAAAACAACACAAAAAAGGAATGTATGCGTAATATTGTGCTGCACAATCCACTTTTCAGTTATATCATGGCAGCCTGTAAATAATCAGGTAGTTGAGACAAACCAGTGACTGAATGCATAAACATGGGAATAATGACACGGTTAGTCGTTAGTCGTCATGCCTGACCATCTGATCCTCGTTGGTTGGCTCACTCACAATACACTCATGCAATTCTGGGAACCCATTCTTCATGGAATCTCTACAGGACTATGTCACACATTGCCTAGGTCATCACTGCATCCACCTGCTCCAATCTGGCAACTAGCATGCTCGGGATGTATTCTGACACCGAAAAAGAGTCAGATTAAAAACAAAGCCAGTCCAGGTTTTGGAAAGCAAGATGGCCCCCATGAAACCGGTTCTTGTTTTCTATCTGGAACCCTTTTTCAGAGTTCGTTGTGGATGAAGTAAAGTTAGGTTTAAGTGTTTAAGGAACACATTGGTATATATGTTTGAAATGAATTTCATGAATTTGTTGGCAAACGGGGTGGTAGAAGTGGGCTGTAAATCATATACTGGCTCCTGCACACATTTAGAGACTTTTCAATTGATGATCCATGGGTATGGCTCTCAGATAAAAGGTGAATGAATCAATATTGTAAATGCTGCAGGTACAGTTTGGCAAGTAATAATTACATGTACTTAATGTGTCCCGATTTCATTAAGGGCCCTTATAGGGAGAGTGGATGACACCATTTCAGTGTCAGAACATGAGGCCATGTTTTATTTGTATAATAGATGATTGCTGGCAAAATAAGTTCACTTACCCCTTCCGACAAAAAACGTCTTATTGACATTCAAAATGTAATTTTAAAGTTTATTCAGCTATTGCATTGAGTACAGAACTGAAACCCCTAAGAATAATTTGTATTTCCCAAAACAGAACGTCATTCAATCTGCCGTTTTGGTTATCAATTTACAGTATGCTATGATATCCGTTTTCTCTTCCCCATGGATAATGTCTGCCTCTGCCGTTGAGTCTGTTGGGCGACACTCCCCGCCTGCAGGGCATTGGCCCCTGCAAGCCTCTCTTCCAATCCTGCTATGGTCAGCCTCAGGTGGGACAACTTCGACTCGTATTCGTTCTTCATGTTTTGAAGTTTCTGTTGACATATGTTCGTAAATTGAACAGTGGCAAACAAATTCCATTTATATGGTGAACACTTGCAAATGTAAAGGGACATCACATGCACAAACTGCACTTATCTTGATGCAAGATCTGACCTTTCTGAAGATGTCGCTGTTGGCAGAGGATGTCTGGTTCTGGTTACTAAGTGCATTTAGTCGCTGCAGGCGGGCCAGCTTGCCTTCGTACTGATAAGCAAAATATCATACTGAGACACACTGAATACAGTCAAGGGTGTAAGTCGTCAATGAATTTATATAATAATTTGGGATGCTTGTAAAGTAATGAATTAAAAAAGCAGTTTCAAGAATCGCTTCTAAACTTACACTGAACACTCTGAAGAGTGTTCTGTACATTTTACAACTGTATCCTCTTTTCTATATATATACTTTTGCTACCATCGCACTTATGTCTAATCCCGACTAGTCAAAACCTGACTTAAGTGTTGCCACACCCAAGTCCAGCTTAAACAAATTCTACTGTATTTTCCAATGATAAAAAGTTTGCACATTCTGTCATGATAAACGTATCATTATGTACAAATCTATACAAAAAAGGCACAAATATACTGGAGATTTATTACTATGACTACCTCTAGAGACGCCCTGGACAGTTCCGCATCTTTGCTGTTCTGGAGCTTCTTCAGGTTGTCCTCAGACTTCCTCAGGTCCCTCTCTCGGTCCGCCACTTGCCGCTGCAGCAATTCACGTTCAAGGGAAGCTGGGGGAAAATGTCATCAATCATCAAAGTAAAGTAGATATTGTGCCAGCTGATTATATTGTGTAAACGTTTAAACGATATCCGAAAGAATGGCCATACTGCATGGACGTGGTATCACGTGTAGTTCTGTACACATCCTAAATTGAAATACGTTTGTGTGTTGTTTAACGTTGCATTCAGCAATATTCCGGCTATACGACGACGGTCTGTAAATAATCGAGTCTGCATCAGACAAATAAGTGATTGAGGAACGATCCACGATGTCTCATTAAAGCCAGATCTCGCTAGCGCAAAGCACACTTTGTTTAGCGTGACGGGAACTAAGATCTGATTTTAAGGAGATTGTCGGGTACAAGGACACCTGTCAACCAAGTCACCGACCCTGACCACCCAGTTCACTGAGTTGCCTCTTACTGCAAGCACATCACATCCATTATAAAACTGGCTAGCCAATACTGAAATCGCAATGGGGGTGTCTATCAAAGGCAAACACTTCGTAACCCGTTATTCTTGGTATTAGTTAATACATTTTAAGTGATACTACTATACTGGCTCTCGGTATCCACACACTTATGTTTTGGGACAGAACCGTTTCAATGAACAAGGCCCACCTTCTGTCTTTAGCCTTTCGTTGACCTTGACCATCCTTTCTTCCACCACCTCCCTCGTCTGTTGCAGCGCCTTGGCGTGGGTCTGCTTCTCCTCAGTCAGTTGCTGAATGGGTGGTATAGATGTGAACAATTCCAAAATAATCAAATGATATTGTTTTTGTTTTTTTCAGTTTTATTTTGCCCTCATACTCATCAGTATTCCAGCCATGTGGAGACTGTCTAAATAATCGAATAATTATTCAGTGTTTGGTTTTCTGATCAACGTTCCACGCGGTCGGTCACTGAGCCTGGTGTAGGGTGAGGTGAATATACTTTGAATGAGATTCTAAGTATCACTCCTATGTCCCGGGTTCGATTCCCGACATGGGTACAATGTGTGAACCCCATTTCTAGTGTCCCCGCCGTGATATTGCTGGAATATTGCTAAAAGCGGCGTAAAACCATACTCACTCACTCACTCCTATGCCATAGGCAGATCCAGAGGTGAGCCCGGATCCCCTGGACCCCACCTCTGGATCCGCCTATGGCATAGGAGTGATACTTAGAATCTCATTCAAAGTATATTTCTGCTTCCGATTCTTGACAACGTTTATAAGTAACATTGACCCTCATTCCACTCCGACTGGATGTGTAGATAATATATTGTCCCTTCAATACAACCCAGAACCTGGTACACTATACACACCTTCTGCAGAGCTTCTAGTGCCATCTCCTTCTCTGCTGACCGCAGTCGGAGTTGTCTGTTCTCGTCTGGAAACCGGCAACATGCACAGACACATGATGACATGGTCATTCATAATTATACAAATAATGATTACGTCTCTCTCAAAACAATAAGACCCTATCTGATCCCTGTAGTGCTACAAAATACATTTAGTCAAACCTAACTAATGTCTGGCATTTTTCTTAAGCATCCGTGAATGTTTATGTACATTGACTTAAATATCTTGTCCTGAAGAATTGTATCTTTGAAGTAATAAGCAGTCATGGCAGATGGTACTCTTATTTAATCATCTCTTTGAATCATTAACTGAGGACCATAAAATTGTCAAACATTTCAAGTTTCAGTTTAGGAAATTTTGAACAAATCATATGCCACTGTCCTGCCCGCAACACTGTATAGTTAATGTTGTGTAATCGCTGGAAATGCAATGTACATCAGCCTGTCTCACAGTCCCCGAATCATATTGTTTTCCGTTCGCCTAGCCGTTTCTGTAATGGTACAGATTTAAATGAGCAAGTCCAGATTTTTTCAAATGTTTTTCTCCCAGCACACTGGGGCTCCCTTTCCGTTGTTTTGTTCCTGACATATGCCAGGAAACAATTAGGACTATAAGCTAGTAATTATAAAATGACTGAAATACCTTCCAAAGTACAAATTCTGTCCAGATGCCTGCTAGAGTTCTTGACCAGTTCGTGAACAGCGTTCAGTTCTAAAATAGCATTCCTTGACATGAAACGTATGACCACATATACGTAGTGTCTGTTTGGGTAAAAGCTTTCAGACCACTTGACTTTAAAAATATTGATATATGACAGTATACAGACAATATCCACATTGTTTGGATTATTATAATTATGAGATACAAATACTTTGTTTTCTATGGGTAAAACATAGACACTGGGAGCAAATATATACAAATGGAATAGGATTTCCACGTGTTTGCTGTTTATTGTTTTTTATCCAACCCTTGAGAAAAGAAGAAGTTGACCTTGTATAGAATTTGAGTTCAGAGTGCTTCTGAGAAAAACAGACATCTAATAACAGTCATCAGAATCATATATAGTTTCCCTCAAATATTATATGTTTTGACAATGACGAAATTTCGACCTTATTATTGCCTAAATTATTTCCAAGGTTTATGATGTGATACAACACAGTGTTACTGTGATCATCTGTGACATCCAATGTTTTCATCTGAAAGTGGGTGTGAAGGCAAGCATAGCGTATATTTTAATTACCGAGATACAATGTCCAATATTGTGCATGGGAATCTCCATACCATTTTTTATTTTCTGATTTCTGTCTGTCAATCGATGTCTCTCCTGATCATCCGCCCGAACATCTTCCATCAACTCATTGCGTTCCTTAAGAAGACCTTGGAAGCTCTGGAATAAATGAAGTATGGTTACATAGAAATAAAAGATTTTATAATTTGTTCTCTGGTGTTGGGTCGCCTTTATTTGTGTCCATGTTCCAAACGTAATTGGTGATTGATTTTATATATACAATAAAAGCATGTGATCCGCAGCCATGTGTCTGTCCTTTCATGGTATGTTTCTTGAAACTCTCACATCATGTATGTCAGGTTTTTTCTTAATTATATATTAAGTGCAAAATAGTTATCATAATATAAGCCACGGTGTCTCCCAAAACATTCAAAGTTAGATGTTACAAAAAGTACTAGATTTCTTGCAGTTATATAAATATATGCCGGATAAAAGAAAGTATACACCCAAGAAATGGTTATTCGTTGGTGGTGTATTTGTACGGCTATCATAGTTAAAACTGTGTTTTGGATCCAAAGTTTGCAGTGTTTCGGCGACTTTTTGCAGCCTATAGTAACGTTTGATAGCGTTAATATTTTTTTGTCAAACCCAATTTTCCAGTGTATTCTTTCTTTTGCTCGCCAGTTTATTTCTACTTTTAATAGCAAACAAAACATTACTTACTCATCTAGCTGGTATCAATTATTTTATATTATTAAGAAGTAAGGCATATGTTCGGAGATCAAGTTGCTTACATAATATGTGTTGCGTGATGCAGCGGAAAGTTTGGTACTTTAAGTGAGTGAGAATGGTTTTACGCCGCTTTTAGCAATATTCCAGCAAAACCACGGCGGGGAACACCAGAAATGGGTTTCACACATTGTTCCCATGTCGGGAATTGAACCCGGCGTGACGAGCGAACGCTTTAACCACTAGGCTACCCAACCGCCCCTGGTACCGTTAATAACATCAGTCACCAAATATGAGATATCTATCTGAGGGAGTATGTACTGGGACCCAAAACGCAAACAACACAGAAATAACAGACACATATAATATAACTTAGCAACCTTGCAGTGCGGGCATTGAGAGGTACTGAAGAACGTTATGAAAATTTAAAACAAAATCGGGTAACTGAGGTAAATGGCTTAGTGTCCGATATATTCACAAAAACAAAAGCTCTTAATTCCCACACTATTCAAGTTTCAGTGAGTTGGATTGGGCTAAACGACGCATTTAACAGCATTTTCAGTTTCACGGCGCGTCAGTTAGGCAGGTCTTAGACGTTTTCCACTTTTTTGAAACCTTCGGGCACGGGTATGGTGCTGACAAACGAAGGATCATAACGATAATCAGAATGAATGTTCAATATGGCGTCCAGGAAGGGCACAAGGCAAGTGTGATCTGTGCGAAATGAACTTTTCTGACTTTCTTACTCATATTGCCAGTGTGATCAGAAAACAGTTGAACGAGACAAACTCTGGTTGAACATCGTAAGCCTCGGTCCTATCGAGCTTCGGTCTTCAAGAACATTTCTCTTATATTCAGCTTACGTAATTAATGGCTACACGTACATAACTCTAGGCCTAATGGAGTATCTGTATAATCTCATGATGCAAATTTTAAGGACCTGCATCCACCCATTTTTCTTCTAATCTAAAATATAATGGCACTGTAGTGTTTTTATATCTTTGACAGGGACTACCGTATGCACCGTAATCAATCTATATACATATGGTAATCATGCATCAACTGTTAGATTGGTATACATAATATGAGTTCTATGAGATGGCAGAAAAAAGTAATAGGGTTTAAACTGTTTCAATCCCACTTTCTAGCACAGTGCCAGAACGTAGCCTAAAGCCGAGTACCGGTTCGTTATCAGTCAAAAGGAATAACATTTAAACATCACCACGTTGACTTATTTTAACTCACTGTATGCCATCTATCAAATGATTGCAAGAGTGTTTCAGTATTCAAGTGTTTGATCTGAGTGTTGTCGTTCAACATGGTCTGGTTCATGGACATTGTGTAAGAGCACCTGCGATGCGTCGTCTGCTAGCCAATACTTCCTCAAAGGGACGTAACTCTAAACCGGAAGTTGTACTGTTTACATGCCGCTATCGGTGGCTTGGTCTGGAGCTATTTGCTGTGATCAGCGCTTTGACAACCTTTATTTCCTTTAGCTGTTATTAGTTGACATTTGTTAGTTCATACACCTAGGTACTCGCGTTGTAGCGCCAAAGTTTCAACACGATGGCAGATGCAAATGGCGATGGAGATGTTAAAACTGGAGTTTCTGTTGCAGCCAAAGTGTCATTTACAGAGCTTTGTGGGCTTCTAGAGAAAATCTCGAGAACCCAGGGAAATGATAAAAAGAAAAGAGTACTAAGGGACTTTGTTGAGAAATGGCGTGACTTTCACAACGAAACACATGGTGAAAATAAAGACACAGTAAGAAATTAAGAGGAAAAAATGCTTTTATCTTTTTTATGTTTTTTAATATTTTTATCTAACCATTATAATCATAGAATTTTTAGGTCGTTGTAATATTTATTATTAAAATTTACAGCAGCTGAACTAGTTGAAATGATATAAAGTATAAGAACTGGTATCTGTTCTGTTGTTATATAAGAGTTTTAACATTATAAGCTTCATAAAGTCTTATACTGAATTGCTGAGTATCATTAAAGGGGAAAAGTATCCCCGTCCAAAAGTTATACAGTATGCATTGCCACCAAATCCTTTCAATCGCATATATTTTTTTAGGGGGGATATGGTGGAAGTCTTAACAATAAGGAGTGGCCTATGCTTGCAAGAAGAGATAAGATAGATCGGGTGGTCAGCCTCGGTGACTAGGGTCATAGCATGTTATCATATCCTGGTGGTGTGGATTGTTGCTCATACTATCAATCACTGGATTGTCAGGTCATGACTCAATTATTTACAGGCTGCTGTCAAATAGCTGGAATGTTGCTGAGTGTGGCATTAAACAACAGACACACACAATTAAAAAGGGTCTGCTGTAGTGTTTGAATCAAACAATAATGAATGAATGATGCAGTGTACAAATTGGTGTAGTTCTAAACAGACACTTTGCCTTTATGTGATTCATTTTGACATATATACTTTACTGCTTTCAGACAGACTCCTTTTATCCAGCCATGAGACTTCTTCTGCCTCATCTTGAAAAAGAACGTATTGCGTATGGAATAAAAGAGGTTTGGAACTCCTGCTATGCAACTGTCATTAAACACTACAGAAATGCTGCCACATCTGAAATCCCTCTTTGCACTTTATAGCTAAGACTAATAATTAAAAACAACTAAAAATTACGTATGATGACAAACTAAGCTATTTATCTGTAACACTTCGAAGGATGTATTACCAGTTTTGCAACACTAAGTTGTACAAGTCGACATTGTATGATGGCAACCTTTAATGGTAACTTCTCCTCAGGTGGCAAAGATCAATAACAATTAAGCAGGAGGTTAATCTTATGCTGTTGTTGACATCTCTCTGGGTGTTTCAGCACATGCTTGCTAAGCTGATGATTGAGGTTCTCTGTCTGGGCAAGGACAGCACGGATGCCACCAGGCTGCTCAACTACAAAGCTCCAAAAACAGCACGAGCGGTTCGTTAGGCCCTTCTATTTTTTGTTTGGTTTACAGATCCTGCAACTCAAAGTACTGACAATATGGAGAAAAATAATAAAATACATCATTCTAAAAAATATTTTTACTACTGCTGATCAGAAAAAGTTTTGTCTTAGAATAAAAAGATATATTTCTAGCATCTTTCAATGCAGTAATGGGACGACTTTGCCATTAAAATCATTTGCTTCTGCAGTGATTTACGTGACAATACAGTGTTCACAGAAAGGGGAAGTAACTCCAGCCACATCCAAGGACCTGGCCCTGTGATGTCAAATTTAAATCAATATTTTCAAGGTTCATGCAGGCTTGAAAAGGCCTTGTATTTGGAGGTCCCTTTTGAAAAGCCTTTATTTCTAGTGTCAACCTTGAAAAGTATTGAATATCACCAAAATAGGTTGAAAAAAATTAATACATGCAGCTCTTTTCTCCAGGATGCTGGAGATTTCGCCAGTGTCGCATACTTCGTGTTGAAGAACCGCTGTCCAGAACGAGGCACACTCACCATACAGGAAGTGAATGTATGCCTTGATGCCATCGCCACCAACAACGCAGCAAAGAAGAAGGAGCTTGTGCGGAAGAATATCCTTCACCTGCTGAAGAACCTGTCTGCCCTGGAACAGAAGTGGTTAATAAGGATGATCGTGAAGGAGCTGAAGGTCGGCCTGAGTCAGGCGTCAGTCTTCTCCATCTACCATCCCGACGCTGAGGAGTTCTACAACGTCAACAACAACCTGGAGAAGGTGTGTCGACTTCTACGCGACACCGCCGTCCGTGTTCATGAGATCGGCGTCACTGTCTTCTCCCCATTTTCCCCCATGCTGGGTGAGAGAGCTTCTCCTGATAAGGTATGGCATAAATAAACTAACTCTTGGCATTATCTGTTGTGTATTGGATGGTTAGTCATGAATTTTTATACGTAGGTCACAAGGGAGACAAGATAACTCCAATCGTTGACTGTGTCTAGTATTGCATGACTGAACATCAAGTTGTGAGATAAAATATTGATCAGGATGGACAATTTCTAATAGTGAGTGTGTCCCTTGTATTGATAAAAATAGACATCATTTGATCTCGAGAATCAATGAAGGTGGTCCTACTGATGGGCTGGTTCATGTGACAATGCACGACAAATGTTGCTGGCCTCCAACCATGGTAGAGATCCCTGTATCGTTGTGCTCAAACATTGGCGTGGTACTTCTCTGCACTAACAGAAGCATCATGAAAGAGGCAAAGCATTCATCAGTTGAAAGAATGGATTAATTTCTTGCTGCAGAGAATAAATGATAGAATTCATTCTTTAATTTGATCATGTTGAATAAGTCTGTAAGATATGTGTATTTCCCTAAAATGAATAAAAACATTTGCCTGGAACTAGTTCAATGTCAGCAGTAATTTCTTGATTTCATTGTTATTAGGTGGAGAAATTGTTTGAGAACAAACCATATTTCATTGAGACGAAGTTTGATGGAGAACGGATGTTGCTGCACAAGAATGAAGACGAATACAAGTACTTCTCCCGCAGGTACAGTGTGTGGTGTTTTAGGATGCTGTCAGATCATATGTTGATTATCCTTGGTCGTCCATTGCATTTTGAATTCACTCTAGTATGACAAATACCCTGGACGTTTTTTGTGACATTGCTTTGTAAGGAGTCGGGATGCCATCCAAGCCAAGTACACTATTCTTTCAAGATTGGAACAACAAGCAATATTTTTAGTTGGTTTATGGATCCTCTGTTCAAAGTACTGTGAAAATATTAAAATAATAATATTGATTTTTATCATTTTAAAAAATGTTGTTTTCACTGCTGACCAGAAAAAAACTTTTGTATTGGAATAAAAAAATATACTTCAAGAATCTTGCAACACAGTAACGAGACAACTTTGCCATCAATACTCGCTACTTTGAAGGTAGAAACACTTCTAAATTTATCTGAAAATGCAGTGTTGACTTTTAGGGGTAGTAACTGCATGTTGTTTTATGCCTCAGTCAAATATTTCAGTCTGGACCAAGAAAACAAGTTTTTGCATGAACAATATACAATATACATACAGTATGCGATCAACCAGGTCACAATGCAGCCACCCTATGCATATCTTAGCTGTCCGTTATGGTAGGGGAACCCCATGGTGAATAAGAACATTCTGCGTTACAGTGGCAACGAGTACACTAATGTGTTTGGCGCAACGCCGTTCGATGGCAGTCTGACACCATACATAGCCAACTGCTTCAAGACAGATGTCACCACCTGCATCCTGGACGCCGAGATGATGGGGTACCATTCTGCCTCCAAGACTTTTGGTGAGACAACATAGGGCTTGTCATTGTTAGAGGGTTAAGGGAAAGATGTTTAGGAAGCATTCCAAAGATAGCAAAGATAATTTTCCAAATGGGAGTTTATTCAGAATGTGATACAAAACATGGAGTTAGTAATATGTGTACATTTCGAGTGGAACTAAGTAACAACAGCACAGGAGCAAAGGCTTCACATTTTTTTCTTTGTACAGTTGAAAGCAATCTGTATCTCAGAATGGCTTGTGCTTGTAATCATGTATATATTTCTGGCTGCAGGTACTAAAGCTGAGAAGTTTGACATCAAGTCAAAGGACTTGGAGGAGACGAAGGGCTACCAGCCATGTCTACACGTGTTTGACATCCTGCTGTACAACAAGAAGGTGTTGACCAACCTGCCGCTTAGAGAGAGGCTGCAGTACATAGACAAGGTCGTCATCGAGGTGGAGGGGCGCATCGTCATCAGTCGCCACAAGGAGGGGCATACCAAGTGAGTGTGTGTGAGGTGGGGGAGGGGCTCACCAAGTGAGTGTGTGAGGTGGGGGAGGGGCTCACCAAGTGAGTGTGTGAGGTGGGGGAGAGCCTCACCAAGTGAGTGTGTGTGAGGTGGGCAGGGGCTCACCAAGTGAGTGTGTAAGGTGGGGGAGGGGCTGACCAAGTGAATGTGTGTAAGTTGGGGGAGGGGCTCACCAAGTGAGTGTGTGTAAGGTGGGGGAGGGGCTCACCAAGTGAGTGTGTGTGAGGTGGGCAGGGGCTCCCCAAGTGAGTGTGTGTGAGGTGGGGGAGGGGCTTAACAAGTGAGTGTGTGTAAGTTGGGGGAGGGGCTCTCCAAGTGAGTGTGTGTAAGGTGGAAGAGGGGCTCACCAAGTGAGTGTGTGTGAGGTGGGGGAGGGGCTTACCAAGTGAGTTTGTGTGAGGTGGGGGAGAGCCTCACCAAGTGAGTGTGTGTAAGGTGGGGGAGGGGCTCTCCAAGTGAGTGTGTGTAAGGTGGGAGAGGGGCTCACCAAGTGAGTGTGTGTGAGGTGGGGGAGAGCCTCACCAAGTGAGTGAGTGTAAGGTGGGAGAGGGGCTCACCAAGTGAGTGTGTGTGAGGTGGGGGAGGGGCTTACCAAGTGAGTTTGTGTGAGGTGGGGGAGAGCCTCACCAAGTGAGTGTGTGTAAGGTGGGGAGGGGCTCTCCAAGTGAGTGTGTGTAAGGTAGGGGAGGGGCTCACCAAGTGAGTGTGTGTGAGGTGGGGGAGAGCCTCACCAAGTGAGTGTGTGTAAGGTGGGGGAGGGGCTCTCCAATTGAGTGTGTGTAAGGTGGGAGAGGGGCTCACCAAGTGAGTGTGTGTGAGGTGGGGGAGGGGCTCACCAAGTGAGTGTGTGTGAGGTGGGGGATGGGCTTACCAAGTGAGTTTGTGTGAGGTGGGGGAGGGGCTTAACAAGTGAGTGTGTGTAAGGTGGGGGAGGGGCTCACCAAGTGAGTGTGTGTAAGGTGGGGGAGGGGCTTAACAAGTGAGTGTGTGTAAGGTGGGGGAGGGGCTCACCAAGTGAGTGTGTGTGAGGTGGGGGAGGGGCTCCCCAAGTGAGTGTGTGTTAGGTGGGGGAGAGCCTCACCAAGTGAGTGTGTGTAAGGTTGGGGAGGGGCTTAACAAGTGAGTGTGTGTAAGTTGGGGGAGGGGCTCTCCAAGTGAGTGTGTGTAAGGTGGGAGAGGGGCTCAACAAGTGAGTGTGTGTGAGGTGGGGGAGGGGCTTACCAAGTGAGTTTGTGTGAGGTGGGGGAGGGGCTCACCAAGTGAGTGTGTGTGAGTTGGGTGAGGGAGGGGCTCACCAAGTGAGTGTGTGTGAGGTGGGGGAGGGGCTCACCAAGTGAGTGTGTGAGAGGTGGGGGAGGGGCTCACCAAGTGAGTGTGTGTGAGTTGGGTGGGGGATGGGCTTATCAAGTGAGTGTGTGTGAGGTGGGGGAGGGGGTCACCAAGTGAGTGTGTGTGAGGTGGGGGAGGGGCTCACCAAGTGAGTGTGTGTGTGTAAGTTGGGGGAGGGGCTCTCCAAGTGAGTGTGTGTAAGGTGGGCAGGGGCTCACCAAGTGAGTGTGTGTAAGGCGGGGGAGGGGCTCACCAAGTGAGTGTGTGTAAGGCGGGGGAGGGGCTCTCCAAGTGAGTGTGTGTAAGGCGGGGGAGGGACTCACCAAGTGAGTGTGTGTGAGGTGGGGAGGGGCTGACCAAGTGAGTGTGTGTAAGGTGGGAGAGGGGCTCACCAAGTGAGTGTGTGTGAGGTGGGGGAGGGGCTTACCAAGTGAGTGTGTGTGAGTTGGGTGGGGGAGGGGCTTACCAAGTGAGTGTGTGTGAGTTGGGTGGGGGATGGGCTTACCAAGTGAGTGTGTGTGAGGTGGGGGAGGGGCTCACCAAGTGAGTGTGTGTAAGGTAGGGGAGGGGCTCACCAAGTGAGTGTGTGTAAGGTGGGGGAGGGGCTCACCAAGTGAGTGTGTGTAAGGTGGGGGAGGGGCTCTCCAAGTGAGTGTGTGTAAGGTGGGGGAGGGGCTCACCAAGTGAGTGTGTGTGAGGTGGGCAGGGGCTGACCAAGTGAGTGTGTGTAAGGTGGGGGAGGGGCTCACCAAGTGAGTGTGTGTAAGGTGGGGGAGGGGCTCACCAAGTGAGTGTGTGTAAGGTAGGGGAGGGGCTCACCAAGTGAGTGTGTGTAAGGTGGGGGAGGGGCTCACCAAGTGAGTGTGTGTAAGGTGGGGGAAGGGCTCACCAAGTAAGTGTGTGTAAGGTAGGGGAGGGGCTCACCAAGTGAGTGTGTGTAAGGTGGGGGAAGGGCTCACCAAGTGAGTGTGTGTAAGGTGGGGGAGGGGCTCACCAAGTGAGTGTGTGTAAGGTAGGGGAGGGGCTCACCAAGTGAGTGTGTGTGAGGTGGGCAGGGGCTGACCAAGTAAGTGTGTGTAAGGTGGGGGAGGGGCTCACCAAGTGAGTGTGTGTAAGGTGGGGGAGGGGCTGACCAAGTGAGTGTGTGTAAGGTGGGGGAGGGGCTCACCAAGTAAGTGTGTGTAAGGTGGGGGAGGGGCTCACCAAGTGAGTGTGTGAGAGGTGGGGGAGGGGCTCTCCAAGTGAGTGTGTGTAAGGTGGGGGAGGGGCTCACCAAGTGAGTGTGTGTAAGGTGGGGGAGGGGCTCACCAAGTGAGTGTGTGTAAGGTAGGGGAGGGGCTCACCAAGTGAGTGTGTGTAAGGTGGGGGAGGGGCTCACCAAGTGAGTGTGTGTGAGGTGGGGAGGGGCTGACCAAGTGAGTGTGTGTAAGGCGGGGGAGGGGCTCACCAAGTGAGTGTGTGTAAGGTGGGGGAGGGGCTCACCAAGTGAGTGTGTGTAAGGTAGGGGAGGGGCTCACCAAGTGAGTGTGTGTAAGGTGGGGGAGGGGCTCACCAAGTGAGTGTGTGTGAGGTGGGCAGGGGCTGACCAAGTGAGTGTGTGTAAGGTGGGGGAGGGGCTCACTAAGTGAGTGTGTGTAAGGTGGGGGAGGGGCTCACCAAGTGAGTGTGTGTAAGTTGGGGGAGGGGCTCACCAAGTGAGTGTGTGTAAGGTGGGGGAGGGGCTCACCAAGTGAGTGTGTGTAAGGTAGGGGAGGGGCTCACCAAGTGAGTGTGTGTGAGGTGGGGGAGGGGCTCACCAAGTGAGTGTGTGTGAGGTGGGCAGGGGCTCCCCAAGTGAGTGTGTGTGAGGTGGGCAGGGGCTGACCAAGTGAGTGTGTGTGAGGTGGGGAAGGGGCTTAACAAGTGAGTGTGTGTAAGTTGGGGGAGGGGCTCACCAAGTGAGTGTGTGAGAGGTGGGTGGGGGCTCATCATCAGTATCATCAAGTGTAAACCCCCAAATCACATGACTGACACTGACCTCCAATATTGACTTAATCAGTATTCACATATTCACATAATCAGTATTGATCTGTCACGATCTCTCATTTGCCATTTCATGGTTCTCGCATTGCTGTAATGAAACCAAGGACTGTTTAAAGGCTCCAAAAACTTTAAAAGTGAATTTTGGGATCATAAAACAAATGATTACTCTTGACAAGGTCAACATGCGAAAACAAGGACCCTCGGAACTGATCCCTTCGTCGGTGAAACCACATCGAGGGTCGGGTCTTTGTTTTCGCCTGTTGACCACATGAAGAGTAACAATTTGTATTATACAAGGAGGGGCCCCCATTAAGGTCATTAAGGGTCTGCAGAGAATAAGTCAGCTCAGTCACGTTACATTCTGTGATGTATAATGCAGTGACACAGATAATTCCGACCCAGTCAGTGTGATACATCTCTCCTCCTCGTCCCCAGCCAGGACTGTGCTGACGCCCTGAACGAGGCGATCGACAACCAGGAGGAGGGCATCATGGTGAAGAACATGGAGTCTGTGTACCGGCCCAGCACCAGGAAAGGAGGCTGGTTCAAGATCAAGCCTGAGTACATTGGGGGGCTGATGGACGAGCTGGATGTCCTCATCATCGGAGGCTACTTTGGTGTGGGGCATCGTGGGGGAATGATGTCACACTTCCTGTGTGGGGTGGCGGTGCCTTCTGAGGATGGAGGCGAACCTGAAATATTCCACTCCTTCTGCAAGGTACTTTTAATAAGCGTGATTAATCAACATGATTCATCTCTTCAAGTGTTTAATATTTTGAAATGAATATTTTTAGTTGAACAGTAAGATCCCATGTATTTGAAATTCTGAAACGCCACCAAGTATTCTTCTTTGAAAATCATGACATAGCATCCATATCATATGGCACATTTATCTTGAAATTTGACAGTTGTGAGATCAAAATGGCTAATCCTACAAGAAACTAGTTGACTAAACTGGCCAGATCTTGCCATTTCTAATACATACTTACATTATAACACTGAGAACCTGCTCAGACTGTGTGTCATTGGTGTAGCTATGATTAGCAGTAGCTGATTGTCTTCGAACCTCTGACTTTCGTTCTTGATAAATGAAAACATACATAGGAAGGGGAAGTGTTTCATCTGTTTCAAAAACAAAAGAAACATCTGAAACAACATTTATCAACAATTTTATGTTTCCAACACACTTTCCAATAACCTTAGGTCAGAGGTTCGAAGACAATCAGATACTGTCGTAGTTCCGACCATAAACGATGCCAACTGTGATATCCAACTGCTCGATTTAGCCTCTCTCCCCATCATTCGCTCCCCATTTTCCTCTAAACACTCGTAATCGTATTTTATCTTTAACATCAGTTATTGATGTTTGTGACATCCTGACATGTGATTGTGTTCTTGTGTCCCGACCTAGGTGGGTTCGGGCTACTCCAAGAAACAATTGAGTGAATTCAACAAGAAGATGGTCGACCACTGGCAGGTGTTTGACAAGAAGAACCCGCCATCTTGCATTGTCCTTGCGTCAGGGTTCAAGGAGAAGCCGGATGCCTGGATCAGCCCAGACAAGTCCTGTATAGTGCAGGTGTGTTATCAGTAGGGGAAGATCCCGATTGTGATACTATTTCAGTCTAGGTAAATCTATTACAGTGGTTTAGGGTCCAACGAAATGATAATCTTTTGACACGTTTAGATGATTGGGTGTGTCTTAAAAGAATGTGTTGTGAAAAAAATATACATCGTTTGGCCCATCCCTTCAGAGACAGATTTTGTATGTCTTGAAGCATGGATAGAAAACATTCTGTCTATAACACACAACCCAGACCCACATCTCCTACCCTTGACTAAACCCTTATCGGGATGTCACAGAAGCCAAACATCCTTCAGTGTCAGGGGCACGGGTGGCCCAGTCGTCTAAGGCGCCGCGATTCGCTGTGCAGAGTTGCGTCCCTTGGGCACGCCAGAAACCTATGATTGTGGGTTCGAATCCCGGTTCGCCCCAATTATGTTTCTAGGTTTATCAGCACCATACCCGTGCTCGTGGGTTTCACCGAAGTGGTAAACGTCTGAGACCTGCATCACTTCGGGCTTTCCTCCCACATTAAGCTGACACGCCGTGATGTTAAAAGCGGCGTTAAACCCAACTCACTCCTTCAGTGTCTCCTTTGTCACATGGTTACTGAATGGAACAAAAAATCTATTATTGTGAAACATAAATAGTTTGATGAACCTTACACGCCTACCGGTATTGTGTGAGTGAGTGAGTGAGTATGGTTTTACGCTGCTTTTAGCAATATTCCAGCAATATCACGGCGGGGGACACCAGAAATGGGCTTCACACATTGTACCCATGTTGGGAATCGAACCCGGGTCTTCGGCATGACGAGCGAACGCTTTAACCACTAGGCTACCCGACCGCCCCCACACCTATTGAGGCCTTTGTTGGAATATTTCTGAGTGCAGCGTTTAAACAAAAAACAAACTACACTGAATATACTGCAGGTTAGAATGCAAGGTGATCTTTTGAACCTGCTGTCGTTCTTCAGATCAAGGCCGCTGAGATCATCACCAGCGACCGCTTCAAGACAGGCAGCACGCTCCGGTTTCCCCGTGTTGAGATGATCCGAGATGATAAGCCCTGGTTTGAGAGTATGACAGTAGCTGACATAGAGGACCTTAAACAGGTTAGCAGTGCGCGGCTAGTTGTGCGAGTCTAATTAAATGCTGTTCGGTCAAGTAAGCTTTGCTGATAAAAGTACATATGATAACACTAAATTCTAATGAAATTTGCAAACTGGGTTAGTTCATTTTGGAGATCTGTTGTTGGGTATTCAATGCCAGGACACCTGTGAAGATCTGGGTTTGAATAGGTCTTCAGCAACCCATGCTTGTCGTAAGAGACGACTAACGGGAATGGGTGGTCAGGCTTACTGACTTTGTTGATGCATGTCATTGTATCTCAGTTGCGTAGATCAACGCTCATGATGTCAGTCACTGGATTGTCTGGTCCAGACTTGATTATTTACAGAATATTGCTGAGTGCTGCGTTAAACAAACAATCAAACAAAAAATAAACAAACAAACAAACACACAAGCCAGGGAATAAACCCCATTTCCTCATCTCACCATTTGTGCAGAAATCTGGTGGGAAGTTGACAGGTGCGAGGTTCGAGCTGGGGGAGGGGCCGGTGAAGAAGAAGAGGAAGGTTGTGACGAGGTATGAGAAGCCCAAGCTGGCTGCCCAGTTCCGTGGAGTGGACGTGTCTGCCATCACACAGGTGAGTTGTAGCTGGGGTTGCATGGTCTGGGATTGTTGAGGGACTATAGAAGATGTTTACTTCAGTGTTCCATTACACAGATTGATTATAAGTTGTCGCAGCATCATAAGTGGTACATGTGGTTTTATGACTACATTGTACAACGATTTATTCTCTGCTCAGAAATGTATTTCCCTCCCAGGCAGGATACATAGTATTTTATCAAGATCATGTGAACCAATCAGATCTCATCATTCTGACATGGAGGTATGGTAATGGGATTTAAACAATGATTGAACGGAATCATGTTCATCTAATTGTACTGAACAGAGGTAAATTAAACACAGGTGAGCTATATCAAAATTTCTATCTTTTGTAATTTGTATTAACATTGCAGCATATGTAATGGAATTGTTTAGGTATTAAGTTAAATGTTACCATCATACATCGGATTCGGAATTGATATGACTATTGCCATTGCCTGTATCGTGTAAAGCTAATTCTGTTTAAACTTGATTTGTTGATTTGTTAACACAGAGAAATTTTTACTTACATGTTCAATATATATAATATATGTATAGTTAAGTTTTTGATTACTGCTTCTGTTGTGTTTTTGTGAATTCGGAATTTCTGGTCAGAATAGGTCCCCTATACCTCAAGCTTGTCACAAGAACCATCTGACATGAGGATTGGTCGTTTCTGGGTTGTTTTTTGTGTTGAGTTAAAGAATTCTGGAATTCTGGTCAGAATAGGTCCCCTATACCTCAAGCTTGTCACAAGAACCATCTGACATGAGGATTGGTCGGTCACAATGTGTGACTTGGCAGTGTTTGCTCATGCTATCAACCACCGGCCTGCCTGGCCCAGATGGAGTATTTGAAGGTCACAATGATGTAGCAGATGTTTTGTTGACTGTGGCACAAAACAACACTCAACATGCAATCGTTTCTTCCTTCCTGCCAGGTGTCCCACCTGCTGGAGGGGAAAGAGTTCTGTGTCATCAACGGCCCCTCGGACTTCACCAAACATGACATGGAGAAAAAGGTTGTCGAGTTCGGAGGGACAATTGTACAGAACCCAGGTAAATAAACAGAATGATGTTACGTGATCACGATATTTTGTAATAGGGGACGAGTGTCCGTTCTGTATCGGGATATACTAGGAAAAGGTACAGTTGCAGGGACAAAGGGAGAGGCAAAGCCGAGTCTTATTGTTCATTCAACTGTTTTTTTTCTTATCCCAATAAAGAAATGTTACAGTCCTATATCTGTGTTTTAGAACAGCTGAATACTCAAACGCCATGAAACGCCTCTGTGGTCTAGTGGTAGAGCGTCCGCCCGGAGAGCGGAAGGTCCGGGGTTCGTTCCGCGGCTGCTTCATACGAAAAGACGTTAAAAGATGGTACTTGTTGTTACCCTGTCTGGCGCACTGCATTAAGGGGGTAAAACAAGGACTGGTGGGCTCGGAGTCAGTATACTGTGTCTGAGTGGGGTATTCATGTTAAACTGCGGCATGGTATCTCAGTGGGCTAGCACTATAAATCGGCATCAGTTCGGTCTAGTACAAGCACACACACACACACACACACACACACGTGCATGCATGTCGCTATATAAGTGCAATAATCTTGGACGCGACGTTAAACCCAATTTCACCTCACCTCACCTCAAACGCCATGACTTGCATACACATGTATACGGTAAACAGTTTGCTCAAACAGCACTTTTTACTTTCAACTCAAGAAACACAAACATCAAAACATCCGTATAAATCTTGAGTTACAAGCAGCTTGAACTTCACTGTTGCATAAAGTGTGTTGATTGGAGTACGTTATCCTGTATGTTTGTACTGCACCTGACCCAAACGACAAACACCCATTGGACAAGAGCAATGTATAACAGGGTAGATATATCATTGTAGGTAGCAGCACGTTCTGTGTACTAGCTGACAAGGTAGCCGTCCGAGTGAACAACCTCATCAGGAGAGACATCTACGACATTGTGAAAGTTGACTGGTTCCGTCGACTGGCCGATGCACAGAGGTGGCTAGACTGGTGAGTCCATATCATAGTAGTAGGGGTGTTAGCAATATCTGGGATGGGTCCATGTTGTCAGAGTAGTAGGGTTGTTAGCAACATCTGGGATGGGTCCATGTTGTCACAGTTGTAGGGGTGTTAACTCTTCAGGCCATCATTTAAAAACCTGCAGCTTACTGTGAGAAATAATTGACACACATAAACTGCAGGCCATTAGGACCAAATACAAATGAAAAAATATGGGCCCTACACAAGATCTACCGGTCAGCAGCCTACGGGCAGGTACTTTTATGGAAGACTGGTGTTAACTTAATTTGGGATGAGTCCACCACATCACAGTAGTAGGGGTGTTTGCAAAAGTTTAATTGTTTGTGTTTGAAGATGTTATGCTTGGTAGCTCTGAGATGAATGAGGCCAAACAAATAAAAAGCCTATTGGAACCTAAATGAATGTTTCTGCATCAAATTGCTTCATCAAAGACTCATGGAAGTAAGGGCCCCCAGCATCCCATGATTGTTGTCAGGCCCAACTAAAGCCCAGTGACGTGGCTACCTGCATGTCGTCGTGTCGTGATGGTGTGGAGTGTTGCTCATGCTTTCTATCACTGGTTTATTCCTGACTCTCCTATGTACAGACCATTGTTTGTTTGTTTGTTGTTTAACGCCGCACTCAGCAATATTCCAGCTATATGGCGGCAGTCTGTAAATAATCGAATCTGGACCAGACAATCCAGTGATTGATGTCACGAGCATCGATCCATGCAATTGGGATGCGATGACATGCATCAACCAAGTCAGCCAGCCTGACCACCCGATCCCATTAGTCGCCTCTTACGACAAGCATTGGTCGCCTCTATAGGCAAGCATGGGTTGCTGAAGACCTATTCTACCCCGGATCTTCACGGGTCTACAGGCCATTGTGTTCAGCTGGAATAGTGCTGACTGCTGCTTTATGTAACATACTCTGTGTAGGACCCCGGCAGACATGATCCACACGTCCCCGCGGACACACAAGCAGTTCCAGCTGGACTATGATGAGTTCGGGGACAGCTACACGACCGACACCACCGTGGAGCAACTCAACACAGTGTTTGACAAGATGGAACAGGTACTAGGGCTGGGACGAGTCCAAATTTACTACCCGGGTACCCACCTCCCTATTACCCGACCCTACCTGGGTGCCCACTATAGGTCTCAGATGTCTCAAAATGTCCGATTGGGAACATCTTTAGCATAGCCCTGGCAAACGTTTTTAGAACAACCTGGTCATTCATACACTGAAGTTGAATTGAGTTATATCCTTATTCAACCATATGAAAAATCGGAAGGAATGGGTGCACAGTCTGAAAGAAATGCGAACATAAGTGACTTGTAATGTTACCATAGAGTTCCAGATATTTTTTTGTCATTAAACAATATATCACGTGACTAACTACGAGTCCGGGTAGTCCTATGGGTACCCAGGTCCTACTCAGTACCCACCCGACCCGGGTACCTGAGTTACCCGTCCCAGCCCTAACAGGTACTAATACTAATAGTACTACTATCAACAGGCACTCTGGCCAGTGTAGTAGAGATCCTCCAGTAACTCACATGCTTGTTGTCTGTTGGCAGGGGTGGTGGTTAGCCTGGTGGTTAAAGCGTTTTCTTGTCACGCTGAAGACCCGGGTTTGCTTCCCGACATGGGTGCAATGTGTGAAGCCCATTTCTGGTGCTCCCCGCCGTGATATTGCTGGAATATTGCTAAAATATGTGTAAAAACCATACTCACTCACTCAATTTAGGACTGGGGGGAACGGGTGGCCCAGTCACATGAGGCGCTGCAGTTCACTGGTCAGAGTTGCGTCCCTTTGGCATGCCAGAACCTATGATCATGGGTTCAAATCCCTGCTCACCCTGATTATGTTTCAAGGTTTGTCAGCACCATACCTGCGATTGTGGTTTTCACCGAAGTGGTAAATGTCTGAGATATCACTTCGGGCTTTCCTCCCACATCAAGCTGACATGCCGTGATATAACTGGAATACTGTTCAAAGTGGTGTTAAACCCAACTCACTCACTTACTTAAGTATTGGTGTATATTAAGTTTAAGCCTGGGAAGCATCTGCTGAGAATAACATACAATATGTTGCTATGTATAGATCTGTAGATGGACAGGGATGTACCACATGGGTTTCCAATCATTTTAACCATATCATTAGGATCAGATCGTTTACTCCGATACAATATGTCTCTGCGTCAAGTTCAGGGGTCACCTTCATAGGTCACATCGATCAGATGAACCCTGAGTGAACTTTCACTGTCAAGGCTAAATGAGAGATAGAGCCAATCAGATGTCATAACATGATTTGTACTGAGAATTTAGAAACGACTCTTACAGTATATCGTCGTCTATAAAGCGACCCCACGTATAAGATGACCCCCCTGTACAAGCCTTTAAAATCGATGCTAATTTTTATTCTGATATGCTACCTCTCGGCATCAAGACCTGATGATAGGTCTTTCAGCCAATCAGCCAAATAATCGTTATGATTTGTTCGTTTCCCTGAATTCGCTGAAGGGAAATGATGTAATTTTCTTCTGCGGAAGACAAAGACGTTTTTATTGCAAATGTAGGGATTGTGTATGCGCTGCTGACGTGCTTCATTCCTATTCGCTTTATAGACGGGGTATATAATATTTGATTTAAATTTGAATGTTATCCAATAGATGACTTTGGCTATTTATGGATATACCAGGATGGGAGAAATATGCCTCCCCAATATATTTTCAAACTTGGACGTCTAAACTAAATACATGTAGCTTCAGAATAATGAGATATACAGATCCTTTTGATATCTGTAGTGCCTCAGTAACAAAATGACCTCAAATCTAAATTTGTGCTGAAATGTAATATTTCAGAGAAACTTATCTGCAATAATGTTAATTTTGGGAAGACAAGTCTGTGTTAGACTCCTTGAGATTATGTTCAGTGTGCAAAGCAAGTCCTGAGGATGGGTTTCATGTCATTTGTCTGCATCACATACAAAGATACGAGAGAAGCTTTCACTATGGGGTTGCCATCATATATATTTGGCATTCATTTGTATCTTGGTGTCGTTAGAAAATGAAAACATTCATGAGTTAGCTCTGTTTGTTCATAACACGTTGAATTTACAATTGTGAAAAGAGAATACAGTCTTGATATTTTTGTGTGTATCAATATTTTTTCGTTCTGTGAACAAAGGCCTAAAGTACAAAAAACATTGTTACTGTCTTGACCCTAGCTGCAATCTCCCTGTACATTTATTGAGAATTAAACCTTTAGATCGGATTTATCAACATGATCAATGTGTCATATTTGCAAGTCCTATCTATTGTTTAAACATAAGATCGGGCAGTATTTGAAACTAGATAGGGTCCTGGGTCCTTAAGGTTTGCTGGTATTGTACTTGAATCTAAGGACTCCCAACATCTTTAATATTTCATGTTGGGAACATGACAAGGACTTTCATGCTTATTTTGACAATGAAGATACACTCTGTAAATGTGTGAGCTATTTTTAATAAAATTGTATTAGCTGATGGTGACACTGCATGAAAGGTAGCTGATGAAAGACTATGTTCATGTTTAGGCCAATGACAGCCACATAGAAGCCACACATATAGCAGAGCTGGAGGAGAAGTACTTCCCAGATGAGTCACCTCATGGTCTCTTCAGGATATGCCGGTAGGTGTCACTGTGTTCCTTCAGTGGGGATTCAGGGTAGGAGAGGTACCTCATGCTTGTTGTAAGAGCGGTCTCAAATGAGGATCAGTTTGTTACAATTTGTGACCGGACACCTAATAGTTTTAGCATTTAACATTTATTTATTGTTTACACTGTGACGTACATGATGTGAATGTTACACTTTTATAATGTTGTGGAACTACTGTCATTAACGACGTGAGTGTTTCCTGAAGTATACCATGTAGGAAGATGGGTACATTTTACATACTGGCATTATATATTTAGATTTCAAATAGCTACGTCATAAATCGCAAAGAACAATGAAGAACGAAGTGTGGTTTATTTCATGATAAAACATTGTTCTGTCATGACGTCATTTCTGGAGATTCGAACATCACTCGCAACTTGATGACGTCGTAAATTTTTGAGAGGGAAGAGTCTGGTGAGTTCCCCATAGAAGTAGTTGACAGTGCAATGAACGCAATGGCCCAATGATCGCACCCAAAAGTGGGAGAGATATGACAATCAGTATTGAGAGAAAAGGTTCAGATAATCAACGAAAATTGTGAAAATACCAAACTTAACCCCCCTGTACATAAAATGTCATTATGTAAATGAGTCCAAAGCTTCTACATTTCATTGACATCCGTCAAAAGGCTGTACAAAATGTCGATGTCTCAGATAATAAAAATTACCAATAATGTATACATGTAAACAAATAAAGGCGCTTCAACACTGGAGGACCAGTAATATGAAAGAGGTGACTAAATTGGATGGGGTGTCAGACTCAAAGAGATTTGGTTGATTGTGTGTCATTGTACCCTGACGGCATGGGGTGTTGCTCATGATATCAACCACCTTTTGTCTTGTCCTGACTTTTATTTACAGGCTGTATACAGCTGGAATATTGCTGACTGTTGCATAAAATAACTTTCATTTACTCTACATTGTTGCTGGACACATGTAACGGAGTTGTGATGATGATTGATGATGATGATGATGATGATGATGATGATGATAATGATGATGGACTGTTGCAGGATGTACCTGGACAACTGCCTGGTGTTCGGAGACAGCTCCACTCTCATCCCCAACTGTAGTCTGGATCTTCTCACCCTGGAGCTTCGCTTCTTTGGAGCCACCCTGGACGCAAAGCTTGATCCTGAGGTCTCCCATGTCATCGTAGATAAAAAGTAAGGCGATTTGGGTTAATACTGTTTATCATCCGGGGGCGGTCGGGTAGCCTAGTGGTTAAAGCGTTTGCTTGTCACGCTGAAGACCCAGGTTGGAATCCCGACATGGGTACATTGTGTGATCCCATTTCTGGTGTCCCCCGTCGTGATATTGCTGGAATATTGCTAAAAGCGGCGTAAAACCAAACTCACTCACTCACTCACTGTTTATCATCCAAAACAGGCTCATTGTAGATATCGCTGCAATGAAATTGCATCACAATGCTTTGCAAGCCATTGTGATGTCATTGGTTACCATGATGTCACAATCAAATGACATCACTAATGGCTCTGCTACTGAAGCTGTTAGCAATACTTTTTACACTTAAGACACTGTCTACAAACTGAAAAAGTTGGAAGAATGATGTTGGATGATAAATTAAATCCTCATGTCTTTTGACATCCAATATATCAACACTGGTTGATAAAAGTGGAAAAACTCCTCCGCAAGCCTCAGAGTTTTTCCACTTTTATCAACTTGTGTTGATATATTTGATATCAAAAGACACTCGGGTGAGATTCTCTATATATAACATACAATGGGGTGTTTGCATTTCAGCCAATATACCATCAGTTTTTCCCGGATTATTCTTCTTTGTCAGCATCATACATGTGTTCATGGCTAAAAATCAGTAGCCATCAATACACCATCTTCCTGAGGCAAGGGAGTTAACTAACATTAAAAGTCCACTTTCGACCCTTGCTGAACTAGGATGGAATTTCTGGACTCAATCGTTGCGCCACCAGTGCTGATTACGAGTATTGCCCCTCTATGACCTTCCTACTGACCAAATCCTGCAGTCGACTGAAATCTGCACGACAGACTATGGACCGGATGTCGATTTCGTTACGCGATTTTGATTGGTCTTGTTAGCCAGCCAGCCTAGTTCGGCCAGGGTGGAAACTGGACTTTCATCAGTTAACTCCCTTGCCTCAGGAAGATGCTATACACAAGCTATTGCCTTGTCTCAAGTTCCATCCCTTGAATGCAGCTCTGGAAGTGGTGGTATCAATACCAGTATTTTAACATAAGTTACTATTTTAAAATACGATCTTGCACAAGCTTCAGTCTGTAGGTTATGCTCCACTGCTGTGGTAGTGAAGACCACACTACTGTAGTTAGTGTTCTACAGATCCACCTGTCACTAACGAGCATTTTTGAATTTAAAAAGAAATTCTTCAAGGGAAATAAATGTCTTGCCAACTAGTTTCTCAATATTTCTCATGGTTACGTTGTCATGTGTGTATTGTGTGAGGACAAGACAGTGAGATAACATGGTGTGGGTTAAGGATGTTAAGACACGTTTGTTGAAGTAAGTATGCTAAGACAGGTGTGTTAAAAAATGCTCAAACAGGTATGATTGACAAGAATGATCGAACAGGTATGATTGACAAGAATGATCAAACAGGTATGATTGACAAGAATGATAAAACATGTATGCTAAGACAGGTGTCTTGAAAGAAAAATGCTAAGACAGGTATATTTAGACGAGAATAATCAAAAAGGTATGCTATGACAATTAAGAATGACAAGACAGGTATGCTAAGACACGTATGTTAAGACAGGTATTTAAGACACATATGTTAAGACAGGTATTTAAGACACGTATGTTAAGACATGTATGCTTAGACACGTATGTTAAGAGAGGTATGCTAAGACACATATCTTAAGACAGGTATTTAAGACACGTATGTTAAGACAGGTATGCTTAGACACGTATGTTAAGACAGGTATGCTAAGACACGTATGTTAAGAGAGGTATGCTTAGACACGTATGTTTAGACAGGTATTTGAGACAGGTATGCTAAAACAGGTATGTTCTTTAGGACAGCTGACATTATGCTGATCATGATGTCTTGATTCACAGAGATTTGAGTCGTCTCCCACAGCTGCGGGAGGTGAGGAAGCGCCGAACTCGTAAGTTCCACATCGTTACAGAAGACTGGGTACGTGCATGCATGGAGGAAGGCGGCCTTGTCAATGAACGCAGCTTTGAGCCTAAAGTCCCATCATGAGAACTGCCTTCAGCAACACAAGGCAGCCACACAAGAACCGTTCCATACCACAAGGATGAAGATAAGAAGCTGAATGAACTGTATGAAGTGTATAACCGACTTTTACCTTCTATACATCACGACTACATCACAGATTTGTAGACACAACGTTCCTTCATCAACTGTGAATACATGTGGCTGCTATGCCGCGAAGTGATGTGTATTTATTTTTAGTGTGATGGAGGAACATAGTTTCTACAAACGTGTGAAGTATTGACGATGTCTTAATTATTGTCTCAGGGGTATATTGGCAGCTTGGAGTGTTGATGTGAAGAGCACTCGTTGCATAATATTCTGTATCTTCAGGAATAAGAAGATTAACTTAATTTTTTATGATTTGTTATGTTTGTGTTATACAGTCATTATGGTGTTGATCTCCGAGGTTGATGCTAATGAACACGATGAACAGTTTAGGTATTACAGATAGCTGTCAGAATGACTGAACGGTTTGCGCACTGTTGTAGAGTAGCACCTGACTGTATGCAGAAAGATCGTGAATAGTTCTAACCATCAGTGTAAATCATGAGAATGTTGGGGCGGTCAGGTAGCCTAGTGGGGGGGACTTACGGCTCAGATGTCATCAGCAGCAGTTACAGGCTGAAATGTGACTTCATGTTAAGCAAGCCTTACAAAGATTTCGTTCTACATTCTAATATAAGCTTCTGCAGTGATGCAGTCATCAAATCAGCTGTTTCAATCAGAGGGGGTTTATTGTGATTTGATACCTCTGATTGTTTAATCATAATCAAGCATTTACCAAATTCATGGTAGATTTTATGTCAAGACTCTTCGGTCACACATGTATGAATCAATGAATGTTGCCAGGTAAGACACGGATATGTTGAACTCCTATCCCATGATCCCCAGATCACGTTTCTGCAATACTGACTGATGTGTCCAGTTCTTTTATTATACAGATAGTGGTCATTATTTATTAATGTTTATATTTTTATATACATGCATAGCAGACCATTTCGACTTTAGAATTTGTACACTGAATTCTTGTGTATGACAATAAACATTGTAAAAGAAAGTACACAAAGATGTTCATTTTACTCAGTTTATTCTTTGTGTTGCATAAACACAATAGTGGCAGTCTTCCACCAACTGTCCATGAATCACACTTACAGCATTCTCACATGACGATAAAACAAAATGTTACAGTGTGAGTGAGGAGTGTCTATATCACAGACCAGCTTAAACACTTCTCACACAGCCTTAGGAGATACAAGCATTGTCCCTGAACTGCCCATCTCGGTCAGCAGGTCACTGAGCCTCCCGATCCGGTCAGCAGGTCACTGAGCCTCCCGATCCGGTCAGCAGGTCACTGAACCTCCCGTTCCGGTCAGCAGGTCACTGAGCCTCCCATCCCACTCAGCAGGTCACTGAGCCTCCCGTTCTGGTCAGCAGGTCACTGAGCCTCCCATCCCACTCAGCAGGTCACTGAGCCTCCCGATCCGGTCAGCAGGTCACTGAGCCTCCCGATCCGGTCAGCAGGTCACTGAACCTCCCGTTCCGGTCAGCAGGTCACTGAGCCTCCCATCCCACTCAGCAGGTCACTGAGCCTCCCATCCCACTCAGCAGGTCACTGAGCCTCCCGTTCTGGTCAGCAGGTCACTGAGCCTCCCGTTCCGGTCAGCAGGTCACTGAGCCTCCCGTTCCGTTCCGGTCAGCAGGTCACTGAGCCTCCCGTTCCAGTCAGCAGGTCACTGAGCCTCCCATCCCACTCAGCAGGTCACTGAGCCTCCCGTTCCGGTCAGCAGGTCTCTGAGCCTCCCGTTCCTGTCAGCAGGTCACTGAGCCTCCCGTTCCAGTCAGCAGGTCACTGAGCCTCCCGTTCCGGTCAGCAGGTCACTGAGCCTCCCGTTCCAGTCAGCAGGTCACTGAGCCTCCCGTTCCGGTTAGCAGGTCACTGAGCCTCCCATCCCAGTCAGCAGGTCACTGAACCTCCCATCCCAGTCAGCAGGTCTCTGAGCCTCCCATCCCAGTCAGGTCACTGAGCCTCCCATCCCAGTCAGCAGGTCACTGAGCCTCCCGTTCCTGTCAGCAGGTCACTGAACCTCCCATCCCAGTCAGCAGGTCTCTGAGCCTCCCATCCCAGTCAGGTCACTGAGCCTCCCATCCCAGTCAGCAGGTCTCTGAGCCTCCCATCCCAGTCAGGTCACTGAGCCTCCCATCCCAGTCAGCAGGTCACTGAGCCTCCTGTTCCTGTCAGCAGGTCACTGAGCCTCCCATCCCAGTCAGCAGGTCTCTGAGCCTCCCATCCCGGTCAGGTCACTGGGCCCATGTCAGCAGGATGTTGCACAGCCTCCAGGCCATACCCAGGGCAATAGCACCCACAGCCACCCACATCAAAACAGAATGGGAAGCCTGCAAGTGGAGTCGGTGGAACGTTACAGACACATTTTAAGCATACTTGTAGTTTGTTAGGCACTAAAATGTACTGAACAACGCATGGACGTCAACACCCAGGCAACAAATGCATAAGCAGTACTACAGGGACATCACTAGGTCTAAATATACTGAAGGTTTGAAATAGACATACTGCCTAACTACTGGATTGTACACAGCAGCTACATCAGGGGAGACACGTCTGCTTGTCGTATCAGCTGACCAGCATCAGGATCTGGTGTCATCGGGATAATCGTATGTCCATCTCGTTAAAATCAGATCCTAGTGCTCACTACTGCTACACAAAGATCGGAGGACATCCCATTACAGGTCACATCAGAACGACCTTTTGCGAACTTTGATCGACCAATGAAATGAGTAAGAGGAAGTTAGAAATCAGATATCAGCTTTCTCAAGATTTAGGGCACTTGTTTCAACATGGCGACCATTCCAGTCTACACTTTGAAAAGATTTTGATAATTTCTCGATTCAAAATGTGAAATTCTGAGATGTCAAACAGATGAAACAGATGGCCAAGATTGTACTTCCCATGGACTATGGAAAGTCTCTTCCTTTTCAAATGTATATTGAATTGATCGTACCAGCCCGTAACTGTTGTACGCAATGCCCCATGTTAACCTTTTGCGGTTGCTTGATTAGAAAACACATAGGACTTTCGCTATATCGTAATCAACACTCTGATTGGTTGGATGAAAGGGGACCGATGAAAGGTCGTTCTGATGTGACCTGTAATGGGATGTTTTCAGATCTTTGAGTAACTGTAGCAAACACTAAGATCTGATGTTAATGAGATTAATTGTATGTCATCAATCCCCAAACATGGGAATCACACAGGACCATGCTATCAGTCGTTGCCTGATTTAGATATGATTATTCACTAGCTGTCATTATATAGCATGAATATTGCCGACTGCTTCACATAACATTTAGTAAGAACACAATTCGAACATGACAGATGAAGGCTAAAAAGTGCATCACACCATCACAGGGAATTGACTGGACACCCAGTCAATACATACATGTATAAGTAAATTTAGATACTAAATAATTCTGACTGGATAACGTTTTCGCTTGTATTTTTATTTTACAATTAATTTTCATACCATATGACGTGAGTTCCTCCTGTAACAGTGTGTCACTACTTGACTATTTGTTTCTTGTATCGTGTTCAGAGAATCGGGATCTCAGATAAACTTATAGCCCTCACAGTAGCACTAACAAGACAAGATCAAGTTACCTGCTGCTCTGCCAGCTCAACACCCGAGACCTCGCCCTTCTTCTTTGGTGGAGGAACTGCTGGGCGAACAGCATCCTTGCCTTTCAGTTGTCTCCCCTTGAGGAAGTGTTTACCCGTCTCCACGATCTCCACATCCACCATCTTGCCCATCAGGTTGTCATCCTTACGAACTAGCACCTAACGGGAGAGAGGGAGGGAGGGAGTGAGTTTATGTCGACCACATCACCACTGTTTACCTGTTGTGAGTGAGTGAGTGAGTTTATGTCGACCACATCACCACTGTTTACCTGTTGTGAGTGAGTGAGTTTATTTCGACCACATCACTACTGTTTACCTGTTGTGAGTGAGTGAGTGAGTTTATGTCAACCACATCACCACTGTTTACCTGTTGTGAGTGAGTGAGTTTATGTCGACCACATTACCACTGTTTACCTGTTGTGAGTGAGTGAGTGAGTTTATGTCGACCACATCACCACTGTTTACCTGTTGTGAGTTTATGTCGACCACATCACCACTGTTTACCTGTTGTGAGTGAGTGAGTTTATGTCGACCACATCACCACTGTTTACCTGTTGTGAGTGAGTTTATGTCGACCACATCACCACTGTTTACCTGTTGTGAGTGAGTGAGTGAGTTTATGTCGACCACATCACCACTGTTTACCTGTTGTGAGTGAGTTTATGTCGACCACATCACCACTGTTTACCTGTTGTGAGTGAGTGAGTTTATGTCGACCACATCACCACTGTTTACCTGTTGTGAGTGAGTGAGTTTATGTCGACCACATCACCACTGTTTACCTGTTGTGAGTGAGTGAGTGAGTGAGTTTATGTCGACCACATCACCACTGTTTACCTGTTGTGAGAGTGAGTGAGTTTATGTTGACCACATCACCACTATTTACCTGTTGTGAGTGAGTGAGTTTATGTCGACCACATCACCACTGTTTACCGGTTGTGAGTGAGTGAGTTTATGTCGACCATATCACCACTGTTTACCTGTTGTGTGAGTGAGTGAGTTTATGTCGACCACATCACCACTGTTTACCTGTTGTGAGTGAGTGAGTGAGTTTATGTCGACCACATCACCACTGTTTACCTGTTGTGAGTTTATGTCAACCACATCACCACTGTTTACCTGTTGTGTGAGTGAGTGAGTTTATGTCGACCACATCACCACTGTTTACCTGTTGTGAGTGAGTGAGTGAGTTTATGTCGACCACATCACCACTGTTTACCTGTTGTGTGAGTGAGTGAGTTTATGTCGACCACATCACCACTGTTTACCTGTTGTGAGTGAGTGAGTGAGTTTATGTCGACCACATCACCACTGTTTACCTGTTGTGTGAGTGAGTGAGTTTATGTCGACCACATCACCACTGTTTACCTGTTGTGTGAGTGAGTGAGTTTATGTCGACCACATCACCACTGTTTACCTGTTGTGAGTGAGTGAGTGAGTTTATGTCGACCACATCACCACTGTTTACCTGTTGTGAGTGAGTGAGTGAGTGAGTGAGGGTGTTTGGTGTTACGCCCCTTTCAGCATTATTCCAGCAATATCACAGCGGGGACATCAGAAATTGGCTTCACACATTGAACCCATGTCAGGAATCGAACCCGGGTCTTCGGCATGACAAGCCAAAGCTTTAACCACAAGGCTAGGCTAGGCTACCCAGCCGCTCCCCTTATGTGTGATCAGAGCTACAACAGCACCTAACAGGAGAGAGGGGAGTGAGCCAAATAGATGCGGTTTCATCACATACAGAGTCTCTGACATATATGGATACAAATACATAATGTTCATTTTTCACATTTGTGATCATAATTAATTTTCAACAAACCCTACTTAATTTTTTAGAATGAATTGTCTTATCCTTACAAACTGGACTGGCGGATCTACCTGATGACGGTACCCGTACACACCTGGTCGTAACTCTTGTTGTGTGCGACGTAGAACTGATTGTCGTGGGAGGTCTCTGTCACCAACACCGTCTGCTTCTCTCCCAGCTGGAGGGAACAAATAAGCAATACATGGCAGGCAAAAGTAACATTGTCAATACCTCCCAGGATTGTATACAACGATGTTCCTCATCCCCTGTGAATACATATGGCTGCTACGCTGTGAAATAAGATTATTCGAATGGTTGTCTGTTTTCTGTTAAAGGCTGCACCAATGATTGACATCATGAGCAACGATCTTCGTAATTGGGTCACAAGGCTGTTGTACATGTATGAGAAATACAGTATACTATGTTTATAATGAACACGCTTATAACGAACTGACAGATATAACGAACTGTTGGTCCTGTTCATTTGTTGTGTATAGGCTATATATATGCTGATAACGAACTACGGTCATAACGAACTAAAATGAGTGGTCCCTTTTAGTTCGTTGTAGCCATACTTTACTGTATGTACTTTACCAATGTAATCTTAGTGCTCTTTGGTCTGAGCTCTCTCTGGTTACACTCCAGCAGAAACCAGAACCGAGGCTTGATTTGTTGGTTAGAAATAGTTTCTACACTGCAAAGTGTCTGTCTGCATCACTGCTGGTGGAAGAACTAAAGAGTACACTACCCTGAAGTATTGACGATGCAGACATACAAGTCTGCACCCAGGTGGAGAGTGAAGGAGGGAAGTGAATGTGACTACCTCACCAATATGGCATCAAGCTTGTTATCTTATTTCTTGGGAGTTATTTGACACCGCACTACACAATATTCCAGCCAAATGATGGCGAAATGTGAATAATTGAATCAGGACCAGCCTGACCAGAGATTGACATTATTAAGAAAGTATGACTGCATGAAAGCCAAATTGACCTGACAAAGGTGTTTGGTCCCTCTTCACAACCATATTGGCGTGTTTAACTTGCCCCCTACCCCACTGGAGAGAGTTGAGTTGACAGCTGACAAATACTTCTGCCTACCTTGTGTTCGTACGGGCTGTAAGACTGAAACAGTTCAGAGACTCTTTTCGTCCTCTTCTTTACCTGAGATGAAAACAAAATGTTAAAAGTCTTCTTGGGCTGATTCATACCTCACTAAACTGGAATATGTCATTAAAAGTGAGTGAGTAAGTGAGTTTGATTTTACGCCGCTTTTAGCAATATTCCAGCAATATCACGCCGGGGAACACCAGAAATTGGCTTCACACATTGTACCCATGTCGGGAATCGAACCCAGGTCTTCGGCGTGACGAGCGAACGCTTTACCAGTAGGCTACCCGACCGCCCCGTCATTAAAAGTAAATCAGTAATCAGGGTAATACAAAGATTTTCTTTTTCTTCATTTCCCACTATCTGTTCAAATGCATCTTTATTTGTTCCCGACCAGTGGATCCGTTTGCATTCCTGTTATCATTTTCAACTCCCTGGGGAGTATACAACACAAGCTGCCCAGAGGCGTTAGAAGGTTTTAACATCCACCTCACATATTAGGTACCCATTCCCTGCTGGGTGAACAGAGGCACATGTGAACTAAGTCACCTGCCCTGGGTGACACCACACGTTGACACTTGTGTTTCGGGTGTATGAACGTATTTGTGTTTCCACCATCTGGTTATCTACCCTCGGATGAGTGGGTTCTTTCGAGTGTACAGGGTCAATGTACTCTACACTTGGGTTAGTGACAGCACTGTAAAGTTGGTTGGTTTGGTTTGTTGTTTAACGCCGCACTCAGCAATATTCCAGCTATATGACGGCGGTCTGTAAATAATCGAGTCTGGACCAGACAATCCAGTGATTAATATCATGAGCATCGATCCACGCAATTAGGATCGATGACATGCATCAACCAAGTCAGCGAGCCTTACCACCCGGTCCCGTTAGTCGCCTTTTACGACAAGCATAGTCACCTTTTACGGCAAGCATGGGTTGCTGAAGACCTATTCTACCCCGGAATCTTCATGGGTCCTGTAAAGACTGTAAAGACCTGTAAACATGGTTGGTGCCAAGGCTGAATAACAACATGGTCACTAGCGGGATATGATCTCAGCACCTGGCCTGGTTCTTTTGACCGCTTGTCCACTCCGCCCTGTATTACATGTATGCCAAGACCTACCTCCTGGGGATGTATGCGGTTCATCTTAGCAGCCGGGGTGCCTGGTCGGGGGAAGAACTGGTTGATGAAGAGACTGGGGAACTTGTACTCCCTCACCAGCTCCATCGTCTCCACGAAGTCCTGCACACAGAAGTGAGCTAGTCAGTGCTCAGAGATGCCAACCCTAATGGAAGCCTCGGAGTAATCAGGGTAACCATGGTAACAAAGCATTATTTCATTTGAAAAGCAGTAATGTCAAGACTATCATGCCACGATGCTGGTTTTCGCTTCGACGTTTTCCTTCAAACACATCCTTCCGAGTCATGCAAAACAGGAGATTGAAACATTTGTTGCTTAAGCTAAACAAATAATAGTCTTGGTTCTCAGGCACCTCCCGCATCATCATAAAATTCGCTGCATGTTTTGTTTTTATTTCCATTTTTAAAAAAAATCATTAATAATTCCAAATCCAATGGTAGTCAAATACTGTATTCCAGTATTTTACTCAAGGAAATACATTTATGTGGGGAGGGCCCCTTTCCAGGTTGATTGTATACAAATGACATCACTAATGGCTCTGCTACTGAAGCTGTTTGCAGTACTTTTTACTCTGAAGACACTGCTAATTACTGTCTACAAATTGAAAAAGTTGAAAGAATGATGTTGGATGATAAATAAAATCTCACCCTCGGGTCTTTTGATATCAAATATATCAACACTTGTTACTCGGAATTTTTCCACTTTTATCAACTCGTGTTGATATATTTGATATCAAAAGACACTCAGGTGAGATTCTCTATTTATTTGGTTACCTAACTGTTTGTTTGGTTACACAACTGTTTGGTCATTGTTGGTTGGTTACATACCAGTTTGAACAACCCCCCAAAAAGCCAATGCTTTAATCACTAGCCTACCCCACCGCCCTTACACTTACTGTATGATACACGATATACTGATATATTCAGAGTGTAATACAACATGTTTATCTCCACATTGCACACATGTAACATATTAACATACCTCTTCTGTTTCTGTAGGAAATCCACAAATAATATCTGTTGCTATGGTAACATTTGGTACTCTGAAATGTAGAATACGTTATCAGAAACAGCTGGAAAGAGATTGGACCAACCAAATTTGTAATTAAATGTTTGAAGCAGAAGGTGCTATGGCAGCATGCAAAATGATAGTCTGCCTAGTCTCGCTGGTTTTGTTGTTGCTTCGTATGTCAGTGATGTGACATCACCCGGCTTAGTGAGGCAGGAACGTCGGCAGTGATGCAGGTGAAACCCACAAGCACAGGTAGGATGAAGACAAACCAAGAAGCATACACAGGACCAATCTGTGACTCGAACACACAAGATCACACAATTCTATCATGTCTAAGCCATGCAACACTGCACTGCAAACTGTAAGATAACTGGGTCACCCATCCCCCGACAAGAAGAAATAAACTACAGTCAAGTCTCATTAATCCGACACTCGTTAATCCGACACTCGGCTTTATCCGACACAAATGATGGGAACCGATTGATTCAGCGCTATTTAGTCCCGTTAATCCGACATTCTCGCACTCCGACTCCGACACACCTAATTTGCAACGAATTACTGAAATCACTCATTAATCAGTCTCGTTAATCCGACACAGTGGTCAGCGTACTCCGTGGTCATCTGCCCGCGAGTACACAACCCCGTGTTTTGACACGCACCGGCTGCAGAGATTAACTTTAACAATTAACACTAGATGCCGGGATCATAAAGAATTTCAAGCTTTATTATAAGAAACAAATGAAATTACACCTTGACAATGTTGATGCTGAAGAACCACCAGCCCTAGACGTCAAGCGAACAGGGGACTTTGAGAAATGTGCCTTCAAAATGTGAGAAACAGAAAACACTGACAGACTATTTTAAGTAGATGAAGCAAGTTGTTAAGACAGTAGCACTTGCATTTACACGAGGAAACACACGGTTATTATCTATCGTGAAGATGTCCGATTTTCGATCACAAATCACTTAATTTCGTTAATCCGACATACTCGTTAATCCGACACAATCATGTGCAACCAACGATGTCAGATTAACGAGACTTGACTGTATCTATAATTTAAATCTACAGCTGCCGTTTCCCCCACTAGGGGCCAGTGGCTGGGATCATCAGGTACATAGCTAAAAACATATTTTAGAACAGTTACCGAGGTTACAACCTTTTGCTTCTTAGACACGTTTATGTATACCTTGAATCCTGGAACTTTTAACAATTAAACTAAAAGTGTGTGAGTGAGTTGGGTTTAACGCGGCTTTTAACAGTATTCCAGTCATATCACGGCGTGTCAGCTTAATGTGGGAGGAAAGCCTGAAGTGATGCAGGTCTCAGACGTTAACCACTTCGGTGAAACCCACGAGCACGGGTATGGTGCTGACAAACCTAGAAACATAATTGGGGCGAACCAGGATTCAAACCCACAATCATAGGTTTCTGGCGTGCCCAAGGGACGCAACTCTGTACAGCAAATCTCAGCGCCTTAGACGACTGGGCCACCTGTGCCCCCATTAAACTGCAAGAATACCAAGGGTAGGACTTTTGCACTTTCAAAAAAACACCTCATCAAGCTCATGGTAAACATGCTGGACTTCTGATCAGCAGGATTGGTAAGGACTTGTGTGAGGATCTTTGGGTAAGATTAGAGATGAAACAATGTATGAGAGCCAACAAAGATGACGCTACCTGCTTCTGAGGAAATCCACGACATGCTTGAAGTCGTCCAGACAGTACTCCCGCTTCATGTCCATGAGAACGCTGTCGGAGGCAGACTGGACGGGCACGTGAAGGAAGGAGTAGACTCGGGGGTGCTGCAGGATCTTCCCCATCTCCTGCACACAACTCACACATGTACCACAAGCACAAAATATTATTTTTATTATTATTATTATAAATTTATATACGGCAGGTATCCAGGTACTAGTATCTACTCGAATGAGGTTTTATTTGTTACCCGACCGGTGGATCTGTTTGCATTCCTGTTATTATTCTCAACTCCCTGGGGAGTATACAACGCAAGCTTCCCCCGGGCGCTAGAGGGTTTTGACAACCTCACAGAAATGGACAGTTCCGAAAGGAAAAAGCAAATACTGCCGTGTGATTGTGGATAATTTGCACACCATCGTTTTTGAGCACCAAGTCATCTACACGCAAAACACTGTGCTATGAAGTTATATATGTGTTCTGACTGTGTTTTCCTTTGCTAAAATTGAAAGTTCAGAAAGCTGACATCTTATTGGCTTGAGAACCTACATTTTTCAATTAGCTTGGGTAATAAACCTTCCTCAGTGTCACCTTATACAATGTATGGACACAATGTCAGACGTCAAACAGTGAGGTATCGTGTCAGATAAAGATTTGGTCTCAATATTTCACACAACACAGAAGCGTGCACTCAAGTGAGTGTTGAAGCAGTGGTCAGAGTCAGCCACATTCCAGCTATATCCAGCAACCTGTAAACAACAAAGCATGGACAAGGACACACAGTGAAAGTGTGAGCAACCATCTGTCTGTTGGTCTGTCTGTCGGTCTGTCTGTCGGTCTGTCTGTCGATCTGTCTATCTCTCTGTTTGTTTCTTGTTTAAAGCCATACTCAGCAATGTTCTAGCAAACTGAAGGTCTGTAAATAATCAAGTCTAGATATGACAATCTAGTGATTGACATTATGAGCATCGATCTATGTGATTGGGATATGATGACATGCATCAACCAAGTCAGCAAGCCTGACAACCTGATCCCGTCTCTTACGACAAGCATGGGTTCCTGAAGACCTATTCTAACCAAGAATCCCCTGGAGAGGTGGTAATCTTCACCCAATTCTCATTAGTTGTGGATTTCAGATTAGAATAAAATGGTGACCAAAGAAAAAATTAGGATGCTAGATGTGAAAGCACCTGTCACAGACTGGCAATTACTGAGTCACAGCAAGTAACGGTACCAACACTGTTACCATGGTGATAACCCTACCTCAAGATGTTCCAGGATGTATGGAGGGTTGGTCATCCCCAGTCTCATCATGGCACCCTCTGGGATAACCTCAACAAGTTGCCATAGCAACTCGGGCAATGTGACGCCAATGTCATGACCGTAGGCGCCAAGGTCTTCCGATGTCAGCCATATCTCGACAACACCCTCTGTTGAGAAACAAACCAAAATTTATCACAACTATCATTGTATTTGGCAGATGGAGGGTGGGATTGACAGAATGATGACTTTCTTTTAAATAGAAACCCCCCCAATAATTTTAACATTATTTAGGAACTGTACATTTATTAAGGGGGGTCTTAAAAATTGCAAACAGACAATCACTTGAAAGCAATGTACAGTGCCTTACAATAGGGCTCTAACTTTCAGTCTCTTGCAATCTAAGCAATCGCTAGCTGAGGTCGCTTTGTTCTCAAACAAAAATGGTAGCTGACTGAAATTTTAGACAGCGGAACAAGAAATTCTTGACTGGATCAACCATGAAATAGGCAAAGGCAGCTAACATCCCAGCATACCCAATCTGCTCCACATCTTCAAAGTAGCCATCAAGAGTCATAAACTCACTGCGAGTTGCTATTACTGTTCTAGCGATTAATTTGCTTACTCCAAATGATTTGTGACTTGCAAGGTGTCCCATGGTATTGTGGACTTGGTCTGCCCTGTCATCTTCACAGGGGCTAAGGACAACTGCTTTTCACCAGTGAATGAAAGATGAGTGCACTAACTTTCTAAAGTTTGTGCAAATGCATTGCAGAAATTCTCAATGTATGAGGTTGTCATTTACATGTAAACCGTTTCTGTGGTCTAGTGGATAAAGCGCCTGCCTGGAGAGTGGAAAGTCTGGTTTGTTCTACGGCTGTGTCATACCAAAATATGTTAGAAGATGGTACTTGTTGTTACTCTGCCTGTTGCATGTTTTAAGGGGCTAAAATGAGCACTGGTCAGCTCGGAGTCAGCATGCAGTGTTTGAGTGGGGTAATCATGTGGGCAAGCACTGCCTCAGTCTGCATGCACGCTCCCACCCACGGACAATGCAATACAAGTCCAATGCTCTTGAATGCGAAATGACAACATATTTCACCCCACTATCAGACATGTAAGAAATAATACAACATACTACTGCACTGCTAAGAAAAACAAGAGCAAAAGTGAGCGTGGCTCACTAATACCCCCGATTTGCCTAGTGTGTCAGTAGTTTCAAATAAAAAAATGGATAGGGTTAGGGTTTGAAAAATTCATTAAATAAAATGGAAAATTAATAAAAACAATTTTTTTCTTTTGACTGCACCCCTCCATATGACACAGATTATATGTACTAGGTTTGAGATGAATCCACTGAATAGTTAATGAGAAATCGCGCGGACAAAGTTTTCAGACGGATGGACGGAACCTTGGTATAACTGTATCCCCCCGACCTAAAAGGTAGGGGGTATAATAAATGTGACTCACAAATTGCTCATGTTACGTTACCAAAAGAGATTGTTGATTGGAGGGTTGACATTTCAACCAATTACTAAACATTTGACCACACATTGTCAGTTGCTTCTGAATGTGCTTATTCCACATAACTTAGGAATGAAAACATAATGACTGAATTATAACTTTTGCAAAGTGTTTTAGAAAAGAAGAAGTTAAAATAAGTCGTGATTCTGACAAACAAGATACCAATTTGTTGCGATCATATGCACAAACTGTGTCACTGTGAACAGTGTACACAAGGATGAGAATGGATATTTCCCTTTTCAGCTGAAATACCTCTGCAATGGAGTGTGGTCCATAATATAGAGGTGTTTATTGGAGGCCATCAGATTTTAACACATTTGTGATCACTAAAATCAGCAGAAATTCTCGGATCCGCGGAAGATTCTCATCCACGTTTATATCTTTTGTACATCTGATCAACACAAGTCATGATAGTTCAACTTCACCAAACGGTCAAATGGCTCAAAGACAAGATTTACCCTCAAATGACTGTATCGCCCGGGCTACAATGGCGGCAGGTTCGTAGCTGCCCAGGTCCCCCCGGGCGTGCTTCGTCTTGCAGTACGTGCACTGATTCAGGCATCTGGGAACATAAACGATATTGCTTAGAGGACATCACTCCAGGAAGGTCAGCTCAAACAGGAATTCTACCATGAACTTGGAAAAACATGATACTGATCTGGTCAGTGAGATCAACAATCACCTGAGAGTGAAACAGCTGATATGATGATCTCATCATAGCGAAAGCAAATATGTATAGAAACTTCTTTCTCAATCATCTCAATTCAATTTAGCGCAGTTATATCCACAGATAACCCACTACTACAATGAAAACAGTTTGTTTATCTCTTGAGTTTATAACATTATACCAGTGACTCGGACCATGGATGTTTAGTCTGCAACAGTTTTGAGTTTCGCAACATTTCTTTAGATGATTGAAAGAGTGAGCTGGGTTTAACGCCAATTTTAACAGTATTCCAGTTATATTGCGGCATGTCAGCTTAATGTGGGAGGAAACCCCAATGTGATGCAGGTCTCAGACGTTTACCACTTCGGTGAAACCCACAAGCACGGTGCTGACAAACCTAGAAACATAATCGGGGCGAACCTGGATTCGAACCCACAATCATAGGTTTCTGGCGTGCCCAAGGGACGCAACTCTGCACAGCGAATCGCGGCACCATAGACGACTGGGACACCAGTGCCCCCTTTCTTTAGATGAAGTAAGCTCAGCTAATATATAGTCCAAAAGATTGTAATATTTTAGTGAAACTGATCAGCTCAAAGAATGTTTCTATTATTGACAAATGTAGACAAGCATGAGAAAATGTGGTACATACGTACCCTGTGTTGATGGCGATGATCTCGATGAGCGGGTTCCTGCGAATCTTGGGTAGGCTGAGTGAGGCGCCACCTGTTTTCTTGCCTTCTTGTTTCTTCTGACCAAGTAGTCGAACTGAATTACCTGAAGTCACCAACACATAATTCACAGGCCAAGGTGTTGAAATTCAATCACAGGTCAATTTCAGTTGTATCACAGCTTAATGTTGGAAAAAACCCTGAAGTGATGCAGGTCTCAGATGTTTACCACTTTGGTGAAACCCAAGAACAAGGGTATGGTGCTGACAAATCTAGAAACATAATTGGGTGAACTGGGATTCAAACCCACGATCATAGGTTTCTGGCGCATCTAAGGGATGTAACTCTGCAGAGCGAATTGCGGTGTCTGAGACGACTGAGCCACTTGTGTATGCCATGTTTCAGTTGATTTACTCGGACTAATTGTCTTGCATCATCCAGCAGGAATTGAAATTTCTCACTACTATATAGTAGTGGTGGTTTATTTCAGTAAATCAGGCCACAGGCCCATTTTACAATATATATATTCAAGCATTCAAACATGTTTCTCACTACTGGAACAATGGGTCAGGACAAAGAAGGAGTGCATGGGTGGCTCAGTCATCTTAGGTGCTGCAATTCACTGTGCAGAGTTGCATCACTTAGACTTTATAGACTTGCCAGAAACCTATGGCCGTGGGTTCAAATCACGCTTTGCCCTGATTATGTTTCTAGGTTTTCCAGCACCATGCTTGTCGGTTTTACTAAAGTGGTAAACATGGTAAATGCATCACTTCAGGTTTTCCTCACTCATCAAGCTGACATGATGTGAAATAACTAAATTACTGTACATAGCAACACGAGTGGTTTACCTTTCAGGGTTTCCTCAACGACCTCCACGACCCGGTCTATCTGCTGCACTCCCAAGACACTCAGCCCCTGCAGAAAAACACACACTGGTGAAACTGTCCGCCCTTATACATGAAGTTCCTTCAACCTTGTACCTTTCTCGGTCTTACACAGTCCATTCAACAAATTACAATATGTATTTTTATCTGTTTATCTAATGAAAAGTCTTAACATTAAGATAAACATATGTCATGAAAAGGTAGAACTTTCAAAGGCTTTCATTATTCAAGACTGCTCTGATTTCAGAACTAGGGGTTTGTATGCAAACAAGAGACAACAGTCACGTAATAGGCAAAGTAGCTAGTGGTGGCAGAGTAATGTCATCCCTTCACGGAGTGTGGAAACTGACCACATACATTGAACTGCTTAAAACTACTAATCTCTGGCTATAGAATCAGAATGTTAACCAATACAACATCAGTTATAATATAATAGACTTATTGTGTTTCATATCTCTGGTGACCCATGAAGATCCGGGCTAGAATAGGTCTTCAGCAACCCATGCTTGCCGTAAAAGGTGACTATGCTTGTCGTAAAAGGCGACAAACGGGATCGGGTGGTCAGGCACGCTGATTTGGTTGATGCATGTCATCGATCCCAATTGCGTGGATTGAAGCTCATGATATTAATCACTGGATTGTCTGGTCCAGACTCGATTATTTACAGACCGCCGTCACATAGCTGGAATATTGCTGAGTACAGCGTTAAACAACAAACCAAATCATATCTCTGGTGTAAATTCACAATTCATCTGTGAAAATTGTGACATTCAAGTGTTTGAAATTAAGAGATTCTGGGTTCCTGTTGTCTTCTGGAGTAGCTGAATCTAGAACCTCTAAATCTTTTTAAGTTTGGGTCATGATAAGGACACCTTGACTTGCATGCTTAATGTCGAACACTGGCCAGATGTTACCATGGTCACTTGTGAGTTTCTTAGTACCTGGATGTAATCGGCCTTGGGTTGACCTTGAGGAACACACCCCGCCAGCACCAGTTGTTTGCCCAGCTCGCGAGCCCGAGTGATCTCATTCCGGAAGTGATCTTCCGCTGGACTTTTCACAGTACAGCTGTTCAGCAGCCACAGGTCGGCTTTCTCTTTCTCCTCTAGAAATAGAAGCAAGAATGCAGGGTTAGAATTAAACACAAAAGCTTTATTAGCTTGGGAAAAGATAAAATAACCCTGTAATGTTATAGCAATAGGGAAATTTGTACTAGCCGGCCGGAATTCGTATTAGCCCTGGGCTAGTGTCAAGATCTAACCGTAGTTTGTACTAGCCCCTGCACCAAGACTAAATTATATTGAAAGTAATACCAAAATACATGTTTGGGCAAGTAGACATTTTTGGAACTGATTGGAATTGAGACATTAGGACTGTCTGGAACCTAGAGTGACATTGATACCTGTGATTTTGTAACCGTATGCTGCTAGCTGTCCAGCCATATATTCACTGTCAGAGTTATTGTGAGAGCAGCCCCAGGTCTTTACATACACCTTGTGGGTTCCTGAAAATAACCATGGCAACAGAATTACAAAATCTTGAATCTCCAAGTGACAATAACTGTGATGTGGAAAGTATCAATACATGATGATAAATTTAACAAATCCCGGGGTTGTCACATATATCATGTATATTATGTACTGACACTGATGAATAGTTCGTCTCTGCAAATATGTTTTTGGTCTCTGCAAATATGTTTTTGGTCTCTGCAATGTTCTTACTGACTATACCATGTTTACCTGGAATATAACTATCAGCTTCAACATTCTCTTCTATTGACATATGTCGCTTCGTAACTTTTGACTTGCGAGCCCGTGGCAGCACTTCCGAGCGAGATATGTCTCTGTCATAAGAACCCAAATCATGCTGAGAGACTATGTCCTCGATATCATCAACCGTCTTTTCGCACAGGGCAGGCATATTGTATATTTTGGATTTGACCTGGGATTATGTCCAAAATATGCAGTGATTGGTCAAAAGTACGACACTTAAGGCACCTGTTCAGTGACGAACTTGTAATATGTCGGCCCTCAAATGTCAGTGTTCATGCCACATTCGCAACTATCATTTCTGACGAGTAAGAGATCCAGTTTTCGCGCACGCTATATTCTTGTTAACAGTTTCTTGAGAATTCTTCAATATGTGACATACGGTATTCGGGTAGTTCTTTGAAATGTTATCAATGTAAGTGATATAGCTGGTATTGTCCGACCAACAAAAGGCTCGACATCTTAAAAACATTCGATCACTCAATTGCAATTCTCGCCAGCATGTTGCGTGTTTAACAGGAAGTTTTCATGGGAGACAACTGGGATAGAGTTCCGCTAAAGAATACCAAACTCCATTCTACGCTACGCGCTGGGGTGGAGCTTGCAGGTTGCGCCCTGATATGACGACTGCGGACTGTCAACAATAACAAGTATGACATGTTATAAACAGTTATAAAAAAAACCCCTTAGAAATGCAAGTTCTTTCTATTCACTCAACCATGCGTTTCATAAACTTTTCAGAGTAACAAAGCGTACAACTGTATGGGGGACAACTTCAGATTCATTGTATTACGAGACGTTTCGATATAGATTCTAACGTCGTTTAAGAATCTATGTCGAAACGTCGCTACATGCAAAATGCAAAAAGTCAGAAGATGTTATCCATGAAGTTCACAGCTTTGTTATATACTCTCCAACTTCTAGAATGCCAATCAAACCACGATGTTTCCGAAAACTATTACAAATGGACGCTGAATAACACTGAAAAAAAAATCCAAATTGAAAATAAAATTTAGTCTAGGTATCAATTTGTCATCCGCTTTCAGTCAATAAGGACGGTTCAAACGAAACCGGTTTTAATAAAGAAACATTACACAAACATATCCAAAAAGACAAATGTCAAAAGGTTGTGCAGTAAGACATTTAATCTTAGAATAGTAAATTTTCTATATTCAAATATTCAAAACCCAATTTCTGGCTCGCGTTAACGAATGAGAAAGCAACTATTTTATATATTTTATAGAAGGCGAAAAAACATCCTGTGCAGTGGGATATTTTTTTATAGTTTGCTGTGGATTAGCCATGAGATTATATGGGTGTATGCATACATCGATGGACCCGTGAAGATCCGGTTGGGAATAGGACTTCAGCAACCCATGCTTGTCACAAGAGGTGACTATGCTTCTTGTAAGAGGCGACTAACGGGATCGGGTGGTCAGGCTCGCTGGCTTGGTTGATACATGCATGTCATCGTATCCCAATTACGTGGATCGATGCTCATGATATCAATCACTGGATTGTCTTATCAAGACTCGATTATTTACAGACCGCTGTCGTATAGTTGGAATATTGCCAAGTGCGGCGTTAAACAACACACAAAACAAAACAAAACATACATCGATGACATCAAGCATACGAGTGAGTGAGTTGATTGGGTTTAACGCCGCTTTGAACAGTATTCCAGTTATATCACGGTGTGTCAGCTTAATGTGGGAGGAAAGCCCGAAGTGATGGAGGTCTCAGACCACATCGGTGAACCCCACGAGTATGGGTATGGTGTAGAAACACAACAGAACCGGGATTCGAACCCGTGGCCATAGTTTTCTGGAGTACCAAAGGGACACAACTCTGCACAACGAATTATTGCGCCGCCTAAGATGACAGGGCCACCGGTCCACCCTTAAGCGTACAAGATAAGAAAAAGTAATTGATTTTAGAGATAAACACACACTATGCGCCGGATACAAACATTTAAGGGATTATATAAACTATAAATAATGCATACCCGAATTTCAATAAAGATAATAAAAATAATGCACTGAATAGTGTCAATTTGGTGAAATACACATGCTATACGCTACACGTGCTATTATAGATGCGCGTGTCGGTCAAGGGTTTAACATATGTGATAAGGCTATGGTAGTTACACGCTCTGAATGTCATGTGGAAGTTATATGTGAGTGTGCAACAAACGCCACATCTCAAACCGAAATGGGTCCTAATGCTGAGCTGATGACAACATTAACATTCAATACAACAGTAGTAGTAGTGAGTGAGTATGGTTTTACGCCGCTTTCAGCAATATTCCAGCAATATCACGCCGGGGCACCAAAAAATGGGCTTCACACATTGTACCCATCTCGGGAATCGAACCCGGGTGTTCGATTTGCGAGCGAACGCTTTAACAACTAGGCTACCCCACCAACCCAGTAGTAGTAGTAGTAGTAGTAGTAGTAGTAGTAGTAGTAGTAGTAGTAGTAAAAGTAATACAGATGATGCGTGAGTGAGTTAAAATGTAATGTATTTCACATCGGCAGTATTTGTTAGTTTGTATGTTGTTTAACGCCGCACTTAGCAATATTCCAGCTATATGACGGCGGTCTGTAAATAATCGAGTCTGGACCAGACAATCAAGTGATTGACATGAGCATCGATCCACGCAATTGGGATACGATGATATGCATCAGCCAAGTCAGCGAGCCTGACTACCCGATCCCGTTAGTCGCCTCTTACGACAAGCTTAGTCATATAGTGATTAGAATAAGTTTTACATTAATAATAAATATTAAAACAAGTCGACAATCAACAATTAGAGTATCACCGATTTGTATTTGAAACAGGTTTGTAACCATAAAAAGAGATTATGATGATGATGATGATGATGATGATACACCAATGCAACCCTCATCTCTAATAGTCGTTGGAGATAAATTGTATCTTACAGTCGTTTTGAACTGAATGACTCACCCATAGCGTGCTTACTGGATTCTGACCTATCCTTGATTCAGATTAATTACTGAAAGAAAATCAATAGTAACGCACTTTGCCACCAGCCAAGGATGCGCTATCCCACAGAAGTGGAGTCGTATCCCACCCCGCGGCATGTTGACTGCCGCCCATGACGGTGGCGCTCTTGCAACATCACCGACAAGATTCTTTTGATGTATCAGGTTATAGGACAGGAGACAAAAGGGGTAAAGATGGTTATCATCAGAACTAAATTTTATAATTGACTAGGTCAGCCGGACTTGTTTGTAGCACTTAAGACTGACCACTCTAAATAAATACTGTACACCCTGAGGATGACAAGAAACACGTGGTGTAAAGGCAGGGAGGCGGACCCTGCAGGGAGCTGTGTGTTATTCCTTCTCCGGGGTTTCCCGGTAAACTCCGCCACCGGCACATCACATTCAGATAGTACCGGATGGCATTCGTCTTTATTGATGGGTGTTGTGCCAGATCGTGACCTCTGTAAATATGACCTCAGTGTGATGTGTGTATAGTAACATCAGAAGCCACAGCATCAGCAGCAGCAGCACGATGTCAGCGCATCTTTACAGACAAGACATTGTTTTTTCCTTTACATTTTTAGTCCATTTTTACAATCACATGAAAAGCCTGTGACATGTTGACCAGAACTTGTAAATAGTATTCTGTTTAAGTTGACTATTTTGGAAAGTAGGCAGTCTTTGCTGTTTCTTTTCGCAAATAATCTTTTCACAAATATAACTATTATATTTAAAGGGTCATAAAAAACCATGAGCAATATGCCAAAACATAGGACAGAATACCTTAATGGCTAACATCAAGTTCGTTGACGAGGAAACACAAACAACAGCACTTGCTTGATAACGGTGTTAGAACCTACACGGAAACGTCGCTCCTAATTGTGATAAAGAAGTTGCTCATCCATAAATCTTATCCTTGATTAGTACTCCAACTTCTAAATGCCTCTCAAAGAAGAAAAACATTAACATGAGCTTTTAACAATAAAAAGTAAAGGTATTTAAAAAAATGTCTCCCGCCCAACCTCTTAACTATCGTCCACAAAATAATTGGTATGTTTATACGAATGGACAATCGTTGAGCACACCAAACGAGAGCACCTCTGAAAATGGTCGTGTTTTATGCATGTGTCCTCTGATGCATATGTCTTCTGAGGATTTTTAAGAGAGAGAGAGAGAGAGAGAGAGAGAGAGAGAGAGGGAGAGAGAGAGAGAGAGAGAGAGGGAGGGAGAGAGAGAGAGAGAGAGAGAGAGAGAGAGAGAGAGGTTGGCTGGGAGGGGGAGACAATGGGGGGGAGGAGCTATTTGTTTGGGAGGTTGCCCTTCAAGGCATACCCATACGCACCCCCCAGCAATAGCTCCATCAAATGCTTGCTTTTAACATGCCAGTGTATCAACACACTTAAACGCTTTACGATCAATGTCGATGATTCAAAATATTCATTTACACCCTCGGCACTATGCGCACTTTTCATTCCCCAGCTCTTGTTTAAAAACGAAAGTTTTCCGCGGCACGATGGAATCATTAATGCTTCTCGCTAAGTCTATACAAATATTCTACAACCAAACATTTTGCCAGTTCTGTGTTTGCTGAAGTCTATAATACAATATTGTAACTATGAATATTCCAACAGCCGCAAGCACGAATCATTCAACATATTACATAAAAAACTTCACACGTCAGAACCAATCGTGGCATATCACTCAAGCCATTGGAAATGTCGCCGTGTTTACCTTTCTTGTAACACGTCCTTGAAAGGTGAAGGCCACACGCGTTCTGAAGTAGATTTCGCAGGGGTGTGAAGTCTGATCTTTGGTGTGTTTCCACTTTTGTGAAAGTTCATCAACTTATAATCACCTCCAATGATCTCTGTTTATTTTTCTTGGCAACATCCAAAACATGGAAATCGATACAAACAACGTTAAGTGATATTCTCCCCGCAGGAAATATGATTGTTCAGATAAGCCAAGCCGGCGGTGGCAGTTGGACTGGGAAGGGAGACGCAGCTATGATAAACCATGCTGAGTTTTTGTTGCATTTATTACCGTAAACACAAGAGTCTGTGCAAGACAGGAAATGTTATCTTGTATATATGACAAACAAATAACCATTTGGCCTGACACGCGCTTGACAGCCGACGGGCGAGTGAACGAAGCGTACGTATAATCCAAGACGGCTAGTTGATATTTGATGAAACACTCCTTTGTTTTTTGGTCTGTGTTGTTTAACACCGCACCCAGCAATATTCCATCTATAGAAGAAGAAGAAGTAGAAGTAGCAATATTCCATCTATAGAAGAAGAAGAAGAAGAAGAAGAAGAAGAAGAAGATTTATTGCACATAAACAGCCACAGGGGACAGGGTACTAAGCATGAACATGACTAATTAAAAACATTGACATACACAATAGGATACAAATATTGCTATGATTATATTGCTAGAGAGGAGATGCAGATTTTCTTTGCCTGAACATTTTGTGAATGAGATTCTAGATATTTTTGCAAAAGGCTCTGGTGGATTTAGTGATTTTAGTGATATTG